GAGGGGAACACAAGAAGTGCGTCAAAGAAAAGGAGTTTTGTGATAGAGTTAGCAATATAATAAAATGAATGAGTGGACGTAGACCCTAGTCACAGTTTTTGCATGTTACAGACAGACACTTCATCGTATGACCTGACATGGCTGTTGCTGCCAAGCCCGACAATGCGAAGTTACACCGAACATGTCTACTTTTATCTTTTATTTTTTTCTTATTCATCACACATACTTTTTTTTTTTTTTTTTTTTTTTTAAAGCCGATGGAATATGTATGATTATGTGAAGTTACGGAAAAGAATGGCGAGGTGAAATGAGTGAGCGATGCCAATAAAAGGAAGAAAGATGTTGCTAAAAAAGAAAAAGGAGCATATTTGGGTGACTATAGCATAGACTGCTGTTGTTTCGCAAGCCACGTTTGTTGAATCGTAAAAGGAAAATGTAGAGGAAAGGGTGTTGGAAGCCCAGGCCAGGTCTCTTTTTTTTTTTTTTTTTTTTTTTTTATAATTGACTTGATTGGCAATGTGGGCGGAGGTTTTATTTTATATTCGACTAATTATAATCCCTACAGTCCTATAAAAAAGTCGAAATGACATGTAAAATATATTATGTAGGTCAACAACTGCAGGGTAGCATCATCGATTGCTCTTGCTGCGCTTTCATGATGAGAGAGGATGGGATTGAGATGATGCTGCTGATGGTAGTAATAGTGAACAAATTGGCTCTGGATATCATTGATGTCGCTCATTGAAAAAAAAAAAAAAAAAAAAAAAAAAAAAAAGTATATATATATAAACGCGTCTATGTGCTACCATAAGATTAGCTGTTCTACAAACGATGGCAAAAGCCTATCAATTGATATACAACTCCAAAGAAGCAATACCGTTCGCTCTTGGGAAGAGTAGGTTTTTGCTACTATATTACCTCGCTTCACAGTCGTAAAGGCCACGCACAGTACATTATATCAACGACTTTGGCTAATTCTTTATATACAAACCCTCATATCCCATCCAAACCCATTTTGGACCTTCATAAACAATCTAGCTACAGTAGGCTATGATCTCCCTCTTGAACCAGAACGAAGCGTTGACGGCTGAGGAGCCTGTAGTATCTATTTATTGGCTTTGTTGTGAAGGAAACAGTCTATGAAACCTTGATGACTCTATCGGTGTAGTACACAGACAGCTGAAATGATTTCGAATGTTGATGCGAGCAAGGGACACCATCGAATATGGAAAGACCACGGAAACTCATTCCAGAAAAGAATTAGATATAACCTGCAGGTATTTTTACCAAAAGCTTCTCTCGGCTGGTCACAGGTATACATATACATACTTGGGCCACTTTTTTGAAACGATGTCTCCCTCTCTCCAATGCAGCCACACGCCCATCACTGAGAAAGGACAAGAGCGTATACAAGAAAGCTTTCGCCAAGGGCTTTTTGTTTGCTTGAGGTCATTTTGGGCCTTCATTCTACTGATCACTAGCAGACTACGGCTGCATTGCATCGAAGAATCTTTCTAACGTCAGTAAGTCAAGATTGTGCTACACTCGCTTCGTTGTTCCAGCCTATTGGTGGTGGCTTTAGGGACACAATCTCCGATGCTTTATTACGCGTCAAAGAGGACTCCAATAAAAGAAACTGTATCATTTGCCAAGTTTTGTTCAAATAAAGCAAGGAGATGCTATTTTATAATAGACTAGTTTTAGCCAAGCAAAGCCCAAGTAACAGGTACCATAAAATCATAAAGCCAGTATCAGAATCATTTCAGGCCTTTTAGCGCCCAAGAGTCAGTAGAACAACTGTTAGCCTCCTACTTTATTAACCAAGGTCCCAGCTCGATCTAGAACGGAGCGTCTGGGTCTTCTTCTATATAAAAGGTGTAAAAGGTACCCAATGCTTCATTCTGCCGGTTCTCCTCTGGTATATCCTTGGCTATGACTTTCTAAAGGAGACGATGTTGCCGTATTTTGTTTGAAGGGTCGAAAAAGAGAAACCATGCGTGTGTATGGATAGGATAGTCAATATAGAGATCGCCACGTGGGTATTCTTTCCAGTCGCATCTGCGATTTGATGCAGAACAGTGGAGTCAGGGGGGGGGGGGGGGGACTTTGTAGATTTGGGGAAGGCTAACTGGCCGATTGTGGCTCACAGGAGGCCATCATCTGAATAAATACTGTAATAGAACATTACTATCTTGATATCCTTACAGGGAGACTTGCATACCAAATCTAATTCTGATCCGATTGCTTAACAGCCCAGCATTGCTCGAACAGTTGAAGATCACCTTTCTAAGCGAAAGCTCCGAAAAGTCAAAGGGGGTGAGCTGTGGTTGTTTGACAAATCAAAAACACATCGGGTATCATGCAAAGCGAGGACAAGGGAAAATCTGGAGCTTGTCGCTCCAGGACGATGGTTGCTTACGCAAATTAATGCTCACTCCTCCTTCCCCCTCGTCCGCTTCGTAGATTTATAAAAATGTTATTCACCCAGAAGGCTTTTTTTTTTTTTTTTTTTTTTTTTTTTTTGAAGAAAAAAAAAAAAAAAGGTCAACTCATGTTGGGCATCTTGTTACTACATTTACTGCATGCATGTAAAGAGCCTTGAAAAAAAAAAAAAAAAAAAAAAAAAAAAACATCAGTTGTATGTACCATCCTTCCCCTTTTTTCCCTTTCAAAACACCAAGTCTTCGAGACAGATCGGCTGTCCATGACAAGAAAATATGTCGTTGGACTTCAGGGGAAAATGAGAATAACAACAAAAGCTCAGAAATGCTAATGTTAATGCTGTAATAACAATAGTAATAATAACAAACAAAAAGATCGGTGTGAGTGTGTGAAGAGAGCAAGAGATTTGGGTCATAAATATCGCAATCGGCGAATGCAAGATTTAGAGGGTCAATGAAGGGGAGAGGATGGGTTGCTTAAGCTATTCAGGGCTCATGACAGCAATGTAAGAGTCCTGTAGTAACTAATATGGATCAGCGATGCAGGACAATTCGCATCTTTTTTGTACCTCTATTTTTGTGAATAAAAAAAAATAATAATTAAAAATTAAATCAACAAAATAACAAAATAACAAAATAACAAAATAACAAAATAAAAAAAATAATAAAATAAAAATAAAATATAAAAAATTAAAAAAGGATGATCGTATATAATTTGGGGCTGTAAAATCAAATGAAACTTCATTTGACCATCATATCGTCAAAACTTCGTTGACAACCTCAACATCAAAAACTAAAAAAAATAAAAAAATAAAAAAATAAAAAAATTGGCTCAGAAGAGCACTACAAATTGTCTCTTTAAGAATAAGAATAAAAATAAAAATAAAAATAAAAATAAAAATAAAGGCGCGCTTTTAAAAACGTAATTTTCGTGTATCACAGAGTGTGAACAAAGATCGGAAGGGCTGTTGTTGAAAAAAAAAAAAAAAAAAAAAACCTCAATGGCAGGGATCCAAAAAAAGAGTCTTTTTTTTTTTTGCTCTGTTTTGCCCTGCATATCAGGTCCCGGATTGTGAAGGACCCGTAGAGGCCCCGTCGATTTTTATAACGATTGATTGGTACTACATCATTAGATCTCTCTCTCTCTCTCTCTGTGTTCAAAATACTTTTTACATGAATCTGTCTTGTTTGGATCCTTTTGCCGTTATGAACCAATCGTGATCCCTCCTCCGATCTTGTTTAGAGCGGAAAAGAAAAGAAAGGGAGGAGAAAGGGGGATAAGGATGTGGACTTGGACAGTACTCTATTGTCTCTATAATGAACAAGCTAGTCCAAGTGTCATACGCAAGCATAGACACAGACACAGACACAGAGACAAACAACATACACATGTTAGGCTAAGGCAAGGTAAAGCAAGTCTTCTTATTTACTTGCTTACCTACTATCTGCTCCTCGAGGGGACCAATCGTAGAACGCTATCGAAAGAATCAAGCCAATGAAATCGCCCAATTGTCTTCCTTAGCTGACTAGATTACTACAAGAGCCAGCATGACAGCCAGATTACTGAATTATACTCTTTTGTTTTTTTGTTGTTTTGGAGAGAAGACCTATCTAAAACAGTTTCATGGCTCATTGGCAACTGGCTCAAGGGTGGATTTATGTGTAACATTGTTCCGTCCGTTCAACGTTGGTAGGAACATGAATAAGGTTGAAAGTCGAACAGCTCACACATAAAAGAGGGCAAAGCACGCGTTCAGATATAGACTGACTGGGATATATGCTTGCTCAATACATTGCATGCAAGAAAAGGAGGAGAAGGACCCTTTTTGTTCTTCAGAAAATATTCTCCGTTGTTTAATTAGGATAGTGTATATTTTTATACATTTATCTTTTTTTTTTTTTTTTTTTTTTAGAGAGAGTTGGGAGTAAATCCCTAAGCTCACAAATGTTGATGTCCAAAGAAAAAAAAATAAAAAAATGAGGAAGGGGCTGAAGACCATCCCGCACCGTTGGCTCCAGCGGATACCCATTTATTTCCATTTATAGTGATTGAAAAGAAAAAGAAAAGCGGGCTTTTGCTCTGGGGTGTCTTTGAGCGTATATTTAGCCCAGATGATGTAGAAATGCTGAGCTGTTCTCTTGGTTAAAAAAAAAAACTCCCCATGATGCTAAGGACTCCAGGATGCTCTCAATTCTTCTTTTTTTTTTTTTTTTCTTTTTTTTTTGGACAAATGGACTTTTTCTTTTTCATGGATAACGGTTTTTTTTTTTTTCTTTTTTTTTTTTTTTTTTTTTTTTTGGACAAAACGATTTTTTTTACTTTTACTTCTACTATGGACAATTGAGCCTTTACCCTTCAAACGAATTTTTTTTTTTCGGACTTTTGGGCGTTTATACAGTACAGCCCGATGCTTGAAGTCACGGGAACGGGAGCGAAAAGCCTTTTTTTTTTTTAATGAGAGCGGAGGCAAATGGGGAATTCTTTTCAATAGACATCTGTTCACCGTAGAAGACGTGTTCATTTTACTATTGTCATAGTCATGCTCAACAATAGGAAAGCATGTTCATTTTTTACTTTGCGTTATTGTTATCATTCGAGTGACGACTTTGTGATCCTACTTGTCAACCTCTGAAAGGACTCCGTTGGGTATGTGATGACCTTGTCTCTATCAATAAATGTTGCTATTATCTATTATCTTTTCTTCCCCTATTTTTTTTTTTTTTTTTTTTTTTTTTTATAACACAGGGCTATTTTCACGCGATAACGGTTCCAACGAGTTGCAATGCTGTGGTCTATATCCGGACGGACAGGTAGACAATCGTTGTAATGTCGCGTTTTTCTTTGTTATTTTTTTCTGTTTGTACATCCCACGCATTCTATCGTTATCGTAAAAAAAAAAAAAAGGGATTACCCTGTTCATATAAATACATGTACACGATGACAATATTGCTTGCAAGGAGAAAAAAAAAAAAAAAAAAAAAAAAAAATTTTTTTTGTTGACCATTATTTATGCCCTGATTGAGGTTTGAGGTCACGGTTCAAATGATGTAATGGAAATTTATTTGAGATCGGGGGAACAGGACCAGTGCTGAGCAATGCAGTATTCCAATACAAACAAATACACATAACACAGCGGGTCGGGCACCTCGTCAAAGGATTGGGGGACGGTATGACAAAGACCACGTCCCCTTTAACTTACCTTCTATCCCCTTGAATTTGATTGATTTTAAACTTTTCAGGTTTTGAAAATGGCTGCATTGTGTGAAGCTGCATTGCATGTATGATGCGTTGTCAAGAAACAATGCAAACAAATGGAAATAAAATAAAATAAAATAAAAAGAGTTATCGTGCGCATGGGACAACATAAAGTCCCACTTTGACGTCTGTATTGCAGAAAACAAGGATCATCCAATGGCCCTATGAGATAGATAGAGAGATAGATAGAGAGATAGAAAGAAGAGAGTTGGCATTGACGTTAACGTTGACGGGATGCTATACACATGCAAGGATTTGTCATTTTTTTTAAAAAAAAACAACAACATTGGGTTTTTTTTTTTTTTTTTTTTTTAAATTCTATTGTCAAGACATTGTCATTCAAAAATGAGACTGTGTTGCATCCTTCATGCAGTCTCCCAAAAAAAAAAAATCGTTGCCCTGTGCATTTTTTTTTTTTTTTTATTCTTCTTCTAACAAGCTAATCAAGCAAGGGTCTTCGATCCGCTATGATAAGTATGACAAAACACGCAGATCATTTGTTTTTTTTTTCTTTTTAATGGTGTATAATGAAATAAAATAGATAAATAAATAAGTAATTAAAAAAAAAAAAAAAAAAAAAACTAGTAAAGTATATAACAATAATAAACTATAAAACTATAAAGCAACACTATCGCAAAACATCGGGACATCAATTGACCATTTATTTTCATCAGGGACAAAAGTTGCTATGCTTGCACTAGAATGTATTTGGCTATGGTGTTGAGGAGAAGGAACTCGTTGTTGATGGGTCAAAGGAAGGAAGGGTTTAGGAACGTCAGCTCAGTTGTCTTTACAAAGGTCGATTGATCAAATAGCCCAAAAGTGTCAAAGGAGAGAGAGAGAGAGAGTATTACGATCAAGACTAACTTGCTCAGTAGACCTTCCTTTTCTTTTCTTTTCTTTTCTTTTCTTTTCTTTTTATTATCATTATTATTGTTATTATTTTTATTTTTATTATTATTGTAATTAGTATTATTTTTATTATTATTGTAATTAGTATTATTTTTATTATTATGATTGTTATTATTACTATTTCTTTTTTATTCTTCTCAAAGTACATGCACATATGCACATACACCGTTTTTTTTTTTTTTTTTTTTTCTTGCGTTTGGATCAGCGACCTATTAAAAAAATAAAAAAATAAAAAAATAAAAAAAAAAAAGAATAAAAAATAAAAAAAATAAAAAAATAAATAGAATAAAAAATAAAAAAAATAAAAAAATAAAATATAAAAGTAAAATAAAAATAAAATAAAATAAAACACCATGTTGAGAGATGTGGCTACATCCCTAAGAAGCGAAGGAGTTTGGTGGAGAGTGTGTTCAAAAGAGTTGAGAAATAGAGTAGAACAGAAAAAGCGTGCTAGTGCGAAATAGATATTTTATTCAAACATCTCTCGTTCAATCTGTCGATGTATCTGTCTCAACCTTGTCTACCTTCCTCTCTCTCTCTCTCTCTCTCTCTCTCTCGCAACTCCTAACAATAACATGCATTATCTTCCTCTCTTCCTGACCCTAAAACATAAAGGAGTAAGGAAGTGCGATATGTATATTTAAATAAATGTGGCAAATTATGTAAAATGAGAGCAGCTGGTTCATTTTTAGTTGGTGCGATCGCAAAAAGCTGTTGAAAAAAAATTTTTTTTAAAAAAAAATCCGGGGGTGGTAATTTGATGAACGGGAAAAGTCATTTTCCTAACTTGTTTGCTAACCAGCGCCTGTTCTCTGTACTTTTTTACTCTTTCTTTACTCTTTAGTTTTGCTATCTTTGGTTTTTTAATTGTTTTTTGTTATTGTTGTTGGGATATGTATACAATATCATTGGTGCTGACTTGATCGAGATGTAGATGTGCACGGATTTCGCATGCGCTCTTTTATTCCGCTTACTCATTCCAGATAATTTAGCACCAGCGGCGGCTAAGGAAAAAAAAAAAAAAAAAAAAAAAAAAACGCCCCTTTTCCTCACCCACCCACCCATTTCCACTCTCTCTTTTTGTCATTCTGTCTCTGTCCTTCTTTTGATGTTTCACTGTCATTCTTACTTCAAAGAGTCTGTGTTTTTCTTTTTGTGTATGTGTGTGTGTGCGTGAGGGTGTGGGTGGGTGTGAGTGTGGTACAAGGTAAAGAGCATTCTCCTATTCCCCAGTCCAGGGGAATAGATTTGAAAATAGGGTACTTGGAAAGAGGAGCGTGTGAAATTTGGTGGTCAATTAATTAGGCTTTACATAGTGGATAATTTGTAAATGACCCATCAGGCCTTTAAAGACTGCGCGACCATTCCCGATTTGGCAAGCAATTTCGGAAATGACATAATCTACAATGGGGAGATTGGATTGTTTATTGTTTATTTATCCTGTCTGTATTGTTTACAGTTAATGAATGGCTCTCATCTCTTTTACCTGTTCCTCCCCATTCACTTTCTCCGTATCTTTTCTTTCTTTTTCTTTCTTTTTCCGTATTTTTCTATTTCTCCTTTTTCTTTATTGTTCCATCTCTGGGGGGTTTTTTTTTCTTGTTCCATCTCTTTCTAGTTTTTTTTTTTTTTTTTTTTTTAAAACTTGTCTTGATCCATTTAACGTTATAGAAAAAATTGAGCAAAATGCAGAAAGCGCAATTTTTTAATTTTTTTTTTTGAGCCAGTACAGGGACGGAAGAACCAATGAAAGGAGAGATAGGATATTCCTGTTTCCCGATCTTTCTTTCCTTCTACTTTTTTTTTTTTTTTTTTTTTTCTTTTTTTTTTTCTTTTTCTTAATTAGTATTATTATTATTGTTAGTTCGTTGTCGTCGTTACCGTAGTTAATTACTCTTGGCATCGTTACAAAGTATAGAACATGAACCATAGTAAATTGACAGCAGTATTACTAAAAAGAATAAAAAGTAAAAAAGTAAAAGGATTAACGCTTGATGATGAACTCTGATGACCATGTTCGCAAACACTGACCAAAGGAAAGGAAATCATCCATTCCACACGTGGTCTAAACACGGACACCCATGACATGCAAAGATGCGATGAGGTTGAGAAGAAGAAAAAAAAAGGGAGAGGAAAAAAAGGAACGTTTATATGTTTTTTTATTATTTTTTTATTTCGTTATTTTTTTTATTTCATTCTTCATTATTATTATTATTATTATTATTATTATTATAATGATAATGATAATGATGATGATGATGATATATATGTAGTCCACACTCGTGTTTGAAAGACCGTTACATAGCAATAATAAAAAAGAACAACTTTATCGGGGAAGCATGCATGGTCAAATAACAAATCGACTTTTTTAATTGAATATGCGATTGAATTAGATCTAATCTTTACGTCTCTCTACGTCTTGCTACGTCTTTGGCTCTTTCCTCGTTTTACGTCAATTTTTTTTTATTCAAGTAAGAATGAATGTATTTTAAAGAAGCCTTGGCGAAATGCATTATTTTCTATTTCGTGTGAACCACTTAAGGGACTCTAAGTGAAGAATGAGAAAAAGATTATTACACAAAAAAAAAAAAAAAGAAAACCAAACAAATAAAGATAAACAAATGTGTCACAAATATGGTAAGTGATGAGCCATTATCGCGTTTGCGCACAAGCATAATTCTTCCATAGCAAAAGCATTGCACGACTTTTTTTTTTTTTTTTTTTTTTTTTTGTTTGGTCATGGATATGATCGTATCAGAATGTCCGCATTCCCTTTTTTTTTCTAAGCGGGGGGAGGGCAATCATATCATTGCCATAACAGGGCTGAGGATAATTGTCCAATATCATTTTATCCATAGCCTTTTTGTCTTCCACCAAAACCAACCAGACCACATACACACCTTTACAGAAGAACCAAAAGACCAAAATGAAATTTGTTTATCCATCTTGCCCAATCCTACGTTTCACACAGCAAAGAAAAAAAAAAAAAAAAAAAAAAAAAAAAAATTAAAGACAATAGAGCGATCTCGCGGAACTGGATGTGGTGATATTCAGGACCCTCAACATCAGGATCTCAAAATGTTACGACTTTTTATTTTTTTTATTTTTTTATTTTTTTCTGTTTGCACATGAGAGAATAATCATAATATGTATACATTTATAAAGTTTTTTCAGAAATATACATGTAGTTCTTCCTTTTTATTTATCTTTGTTTATTATAATCAGCAAAAGAAAAAAAAAAAAATTCTCTATTGCTGTCATGGGTATCAGAAGGATATAAAAAGGATGAATGTTATCTAAACGTTGTAGGGGTGGAGCTATTTACAAGAGTCAGCTGTAAAGCAGGGATAAAAGAAAAAGAGAGGGCTATATACATTGAAGTGATCACATCATGTGCGATGCATCTTTTCTCTCGTAATGCCAAGAGAGCATAAAGGGAAAAAAAATAAAAAAAGTTACCCTTTTTTTTTTTGTGTATGTTTTTTGTTTTTCTTGAGTTCCCTATCTTTTTTTTTTTTTTTTTTTTTTTTTTTTCTTTCTTTCTTTTGATTATTCCGAGCTGTTTGAATTGGTTCGGGAGTTGAACCAAACAAATGGGAAAAGAAAAATAAAGATTGGAAATGACGGCGGTAATACTTGGGGTCGCATCGTTGCTACTTTGTAAAAGGAGAGGAAGCGACCTCTGGTCTTGAGCGACCTGACCTTACTGTTGCTGCAGGACAAAGGCAGGGTAAGGTGGTGGTGGGGGGAGTTTTTTATATGGATCAGAAGGGGGTAATTCATCCGGTAAGGGAACGAATGGTTGAGCTCATGGCTGTATCGATAGCAGCGCGCAACTTTGGGATGGAGATGGGCTTGCTGACACACTCAGTCATGCCGACCTGCTGATAGAGCTCACGCTGTTCCTGTCCATCGCTGGTGGTGACGGCGATGATGGGAACCTTTTGGTTCTGTTCCAGGATCGGGTGCTCTGGAGCATTTCGACGGATGGCGGCAGTGGTCTCAACCCCGGTGAGGACAGGCATATCAATGTCCATGAGGATGAGATCAAATTCTTCTCTGTTGAGGATTTCGAGTGCATCGACTCCAGAGGTGACGACTGAAGCCAGGTTGACGGTCTCTTTGAAGTGAACAGCGAGCATGCGGGAGAGGATTTTGAGGTTGACAGAGTTGTCGTCGACGATCATGACCTTGATCTTCTTTTGGCTAGAGAGCTGAAGGGCCGAGTCGAGCAAGAGAGGGTGACCGTTAATGCTTTTCATACTCATTGTGGGCGAGGGTGGGGAGCCCGGGGGAGTGATGGAGGAGCCTGCATGGGTCATTGTGTGGGAGGGGGAGGCTGGAGGGGAAAAGGCATAGGAATCTGCGTCTGAGGACATATTGGCGGACCAGGGATGTTTTGGTGGTGTAGTAAGAGTTGTAGTAAAAGTAGTAGCAGTTGTAGTTAAAGTTGTAGTAGTAGTAGTAGTAGTAGTAGTAGTAGTAGTTGAAGCAAGGTATCTGCTGTGAGTGGCTGAGGATTGTGAACAGAGTGAATGTAAAAGAGTACAGAGCATGGCTGACTGCAAGAAAAAGGGTAGTTGATTGTTATATTTTTTTTTTGATGCCACACACAATACTTTTCTTTATTATTTTTTCTTGACAAGAGAAAAGAAAGAGAGAAAGAAAGAAAAGAAGAAGAAGAAGCAGAAAAAGAAAAAGAAAAAGAAAAAAGAAAAAATAAAAGATAAAGGTAGAGTGAAGAAGTGAAGGAGAAATAAAAAAGAAAAAGTTGGTCAATCATCGCCTCATTTATATACCCATCCAAAAACAAAAAGGCAGGGACACCAAACAACGCAATGTCTGTGTCTGTGTGTGTGTATGTGGATTAATAAAATACCATGTCAATGTTGTGTCCATTGGATTGTATTGACTGAGGATATATTTATTATATGTGTATAGATAAATAGATAGATAGATAATGTATAGAATATAGATATATATATATTATACATAGGATAGTATTGTATACTGTGCTATTGAATCAAATTGGATAAGGTCATGATTACAATACTTGGCCTATGAGATAGCCAAGTTTTGTCCAATTACAAAAGACAATTTAGAATAATAGAGATATATATATTGCTATATATTAGACTACTCTATTCTATATTATTTATATATATATGCATATATTATGCAAAAAAACAATTGAATGCAGGCATATATCTATCTATACAGTGTTATATACACTATATATATGTGTATAGTATATTAAACATATATATATATATTATATATATTCATTATCCATTGTCTATTGTCTATTGTCTATTGTCTATTGTCTATTGTCTATGTCCTCTCTTTTGTCGAATTCAAAATAAAATAATTTTATTCATTGAATTAAAATAGACTTGATCATTTATCCACTGGGACCCATCTCTCACATAGTCAAACAACGAATAAAATAAAAAATAAAAAATAAAAATAAAAAATAAAAATTGAAATAAAAATAAAATAAAAATTTATTGTGACGAACAAACAATTGCGACTAATGAGTGAGAGACAGCGACAGTCGTGGTCGACAATCATCCTGTCAATTGAGCTTCTTGTTGGCCACCATCCATCCCATAAGAGTGGAATTGGTTACACACAGCACAAAAAAAAAAAAAAAAAAAAAAAAGCATAATGCAGATGCACACACAAATGCACAGTCCACAAATAAATTGCCGGTTGGCCCAATTGCTATCCTTGATCATGATACATCGCAACATTATCAAAGAAAAAGAAAAAGAAAAAAAAAAAAAAAAAGTGTTTCTAAAGCCGACCACAAAAAAAAACTGGCATAAAAACATAAAAAACCCTTAGGCGCCCTTCTTTGCATCTGCATTTTGCATTTACTGCAATGATAAGGAAAACCGCATTCCTTTTATTTTTCCTTTTCCAACAGAGATGATAACCACATCCATAATGACAAAAAAAAAAAAAGCATGCAATCCTTTTTTTTTGTTTTTTTGTTGTTGTTTTTTGCTAGCGTCAGCACACAGCTAAAACCAATAAGTTTTTCGTTTCACTTTTTTTTTTTTTTTTTTTTTTTTCTTTGGCCCTTCGATTATGCCAGCCACATAGACCGTATTACAAGTCCGGAATAAAGACCCGTCCTTCCTCAGCCAATGTGCAATTATTTCTCTATGACTTCTCGACTTTTCTTTAATGCGAATGATCTTCAACCTTAATTTTTTTTTTTACACCGCAAAACCAACCAGAAACAACACCTGTTAAATGCAAGGCAGCTTCAGGGTAATTCATAGTCTATCTTTGTCCTCTTTTCTTTCTTTCTTTTTTTTTTTTTTTTTTTTTTTTTTGCATGAATACACCGGAACAACGGATAAAGATACAATTGATCCCCTTTTTAGTTTACTCGAGTACTTCAAACCAGTTGGTTCTAGCTGGATCATCACGAACAAAAAAGAAAGGACAATCCTTCTGATTGATCTCTTTTTTTTTTTTTTTTTTTTTTGTATTTCCTCTTCTCTCCTCTCTCTTCTTCCCCTGGCGATCTAAAGAGTGAGAATGACGTTCCTTGTTACTATGTTTATGCTTATGTACTTTCAGAACAAAGTGGTTAAATAATTAGAAAAAAAAAAAAAAAAAAAAAAAAAGAGTTCCTGTGTTAGATCAATACCGAACATGATTTGTAATGTCTCACTCAATTGCTTAGGCGCATTGGGTTTGTTGCAGGTTTCTTGGTTTTCATTCTCGCGCCGCAGACCTTTACCGAATAATATCTAATATTTATGTTTCGCGGGAAAAAGATTTAGTCATAACCCTTGTGAGTAAAGTTTCTTTTTGTTGTTTTTTTTCTTCTTCTTTTCAATAGTCCCCCGTCCTTTTAGTCTCTCTTGGCTAATGAGGGTTTGGACAAGGGCATGGGCATAGGCACAGCCATAGACATGGGACATGGACGTAGGTATAAAAGCGTTTTCTTTTTTTCTTTTTTCTTTTTTCTTTTTTTTTTTTTTTAATATTTTGTTGTTGTTAATTCATAACTGACTGACCCAAACAATATAAAACCCGAGATAGCGGCCATTGTTGTTGTTGTTGTTTTTTTTTTTTTTTTTTAAACTATTGTCACTACCGGATCATAAAACCGGTATTTTGTAAAGGAATGAATGATGAATTCCTCTTCTTTTTCTTTTTCTTTTTCCTTTTTTTTTTTTTTTTTTTTTTTTTTAAATTTACACGCCTTATGATCAGGTCTTCGGTCTCGGTTCCTGAGCATTTAAATGGGTCCCTGGTTTGGAGGCGATAGAGTAGTGTGTTTTATATATTATGTGAAAAGAATAGATCAAATTATACGCGGGTCCACCCGCTAGTCTAGCTAGTTTGTCCACAAACTCTATGCAATAACAATCTACGCGTCCTAAAAAGAGACCTATCATCTTTAAAGAACTTGGTCACGACACATTTAGAGTTCGATTGCTATCATGGACAAACCAAATAACGGGCTTTTTATTTTTTTTTTTATTTTTTTTTATGACCACTTACTAACATTGCTGTCGGAAATGTTGTAATTGCGGTAATAACCATGATTGCGGTAATTGCTATGATTGCTGTAATGACCGTTATTGTTGTAATTGTTGTAATCCTTACTGAGGAAAGGGAAAATAAAAAAAAAAAAAAACCCCCCATTGGTACTTGGAATGTACAGACATCTTGCAAGGATAATCTCTGCCTAGTTTGACCTTTCACCCCCCTCAGTCTCACTCTCTCAGTCTCAGTCCCTCAGTCTCAGTCTCTTTCTATAACTCCGTCTTTCCTTGATGTCCTCCTCTATCGCAACCCAAAAGGGCCAGCTACATGCTCAATAAAGCAAGCGGAAATAGACAAAAGGATAGGAAGAGCAACAGCATAGGATGAATGAGGTGACTATGACTGGACACTACCCTAGGACAAACGCATTGACATATTTGGCAGGTTATCACATCCTCCTCAGTTGAACTCCTTGTGATCAAACACACGGTTCTTCTCTCCTGTACTTTTTTTTAACCTTTTTATCATTGGATTGGGTAAGAGTACATGTATATATATATATATCATAAATGCACATTTTTACAAGTTTTTTATTTTTTTTTATTTCTTTTTTTTTTTTTCCTTGTCTCCTGGCTCTTTCTCTGCCTGCATGGTCAGAAAATGACGACCCCAACCCAAAGAAAAAAAAAAAACTTACGAATCGGGGACATTCTCTCCCTTTTAGCTTATCACCCATTGTTCTGTCCAAAAGAGCTTTTGCCTGACCTTTATTCATCTGACAGGACAGCATGACAAAAACCAAAAACCAAAACCAAAACCAAAAAGAAAGAAAGAGCCTCAAGAATTAGATTGAGCAAAAAAAAAAAAAAAAAAAAAAGATTTCTCTTGTCTAACGGTTCCATGCACGATTAGTGATCAGACCCAAGCCATCAAACCTACACAATGAGGCCTGTTCGCTCTCAATTGTCATTTTGTCTTTTGTGGCTGAATATAAAAAAAAAATCGAGGTTTATCTGTCTGTATCTGTTAATCTAATCCTCTATATATACACAGAAGCTGATTAGAAATTATTTTCTTTTTTTAATTTTTTTTTATTTTCATTTTCAAGGAGGTGAAGCTGAATGGAGTTAATGGGGACCAGGTGCCAAAAAAGAAAAAAGAAAAGAAAAGAAAAGAAAGAGCTGCTCTTATTCTTTTTTTTTTTTTTTTTTTTGCTAATTCGCGTATTTTTATTTTATTGTTTTATTTTTCCTTTTTAGATTTTTTTGTGTGACATTGACAGCATCGCCACACCCCCCACATAGATATATACATACATTAATTTTTTTTTTTTTTTTTGTTTTTGTTTTTGTTTTTGTTTTTTTTTTTATGGACTTTTCTGTTTTCCCTTTTTTTCCACGGGAAATTAAACTAGGATAAATTCAAGATTTGCCTGCCAAGCAAACACAGAAAGAGAGAGAGACAGAGAGAGAGAGAGAGAGAGAGAGAGAGAAAGAGAGAGAAAGAGAAAAATAGAGCACAAAGGAAGAAGGAGAATATAAAAAAAAAAAAAAAAAAAACTCAGGAACACAGTAAACTACACACAAGGCATGATGATGACGATATGGATGTTGATATGGATGTGAATGTTGGTGTTGATGTTGATGTCGGTGTTGGCGTTGATGTTGATGTTGATGTGCTCAGATAAACAAAAAGGCACATCCTTACATCTCTGCAACACATGCGCACACGCGCACATGAACACATCAGTTGAAAAAAAAAAATAAAAAAAAAATAAAAAAAAAATAAAAAAAAATAAAAAAATAAAAAAAAAAATAAAAAAATAAAAAAAAATGGAGGAAAGGGTTTAGGCATAGGCAAGTAAAGAGATGCATTGGGTGCAGCACACCATAGTTCGCAGCGTCCGTAGAGAGGGCTTGGGCTTGGGCTTGGGTATGGATTTGGATTGGACTTGGGCTTTTTGGCTTTGGAAAGCTGATGGGGCGTTAATGTTATTTTTACTTTTTTTGTCCTATCAGCCTCTTCTATTCAACCTACCAAACAACCTCTTCAATCAACCCCTGGCTGTCTTGTTTATTACTGCAACACTGATTCTTTATAACATTGAACAGGGTACAATTGAGCAAAAGGCCCTTTTTTTTTTTTTTTTTTTTTTTTCTGAAAAAAAAAATATATATATATATTTTCGCCCTGTCGCGTATCTCTTGTAGAAATTATATAGAGCATTTTTTTTTTAAATAAAAAAAAAAATATTCGATAGGTCGAGAGAGAAGACCCTAACGAAGCAATCATGGTTCAGTGGAACAAACCAAAAAGTATTAATGATATTAATAGTAAAATTGTGGCAATTGAGTCAACAAAAAAAACGGAAGAAAGACATTCCTTCCTTTTCCTCATTCTCTCTCACTCTCTCGCTCTCTCATTCTCTCTCTCTCATACACACACACTCTCTCTCCTTGAACTCCCTATGAGGTTTTTTTTTTTTATTATTATTATTATTTTTCGGAACAAAAAATCATTTAACAGGACACTGTACAGAAAATACCAAAACAAGTAATTAAAAATGAAAAACAAACAAACAAACAAACAAACAAACAAAAAAAAAGGGTTGTTTGCATGAGGGACAAGCCGCATGTGCAAAATAAAACAACGCAAAGTATGATATCTATCTAATTGCAGGAAAAACTACAAGGAAAAAAAAAAAAAAAACGAGAGGGTGGTGGGATAGAAGATAGAAGATGAGTGAGGATATGAGATCTATGTTTGAATAATGTAATGTGAGCATTGCGTTGCGTTGCTCACACCATTTTTTTTTTTTCTATTTACCCACCCTCCCTCACTTCTCCCTCCAATCCCTCACTATATCCTCTACAAGACCGGACCTCGATCTATCCAACTTTTATTCTTACTCTTCCTGCAGGATTATTTACATTGTCAATAATTTTTATTTTATTTTTTTTCCCTTTATTTTTTTTTATTAAAAAATAAAAAAAATAAATAAATAAATAGGAGGGCGAACAATCTCATTTGAGCATACTCTGGTTAACTGAAGTACCTGCCCAAGGAAAAAAAATCTCTTTGACCCTATTGGATAATAAATGATTTGACACGTCGCGTCTAATTTTTTCTAGATTTGTTTCATTAGAAAGAAAATTAAATAAAACGTTCCTGACAAGCAGTGGTACAAGAATATACGAATTCCTCGGTAAGGTCAACTCAGCAGTATAGGAATGTCTTGTATTCATTAATCTAAAAAAATAAATATAAAAATATAAAAATATATAAAAAAAAAAAATATCACCTTTTTCTTTTTCTTTTTCTTTTCCTTTTCAAAAGCATTAAAGACTCTTGATAAAGATATGACTCGAGCAACAACCACAACAACAACAATAACAAAAAAAAGTCAACAAGGGAAGGGGGAGGCAATTGGACTTGTAACAAAAAAAAAAAAAAAAAAAAAAAAAAAAAAATAAAGGGTGTATAAAGGACACAGGTGGTCCTTCCCTGGAGGTGTCTCGGAAAAAAGTTTCCGAAATTGTCTACCTACAATGGAAAATAATGTGGACCGGGTATTTGGGTGTCGAAAGGAGGATGGTGGGAAGCATGAAACCCCTTTGCACGGATGTTTCTTTTTTAAAAAAAGAAGAAAAAGGAAAAAAAAAAAAAGCAAAGCGGCCAATCAAGTGAAATAAGGGGAGGTCCTTGCGTGCCTTGTCTTCCCTGGAACGGAGAAACAAGAACAATGCCCTTTTTTTTTTTTTTTTAAAGCAGGAGACAGGACCCAGTCAGAATAAAGAAAGAGTCGTAAACGTAAAAAGTGGAGGAGGGTGATCCAAATATCTAAGATTATTGATTCATCATTAATAACTACATGTATATATTTCCCTCTAATCTATTATAGTGCAAACTTTTTGGACAATTGCCTCCTTGCATCCAAGGACTACCATTTTTCTTGGTTCTGGACTTTTTGTCAAGATGACGATAACGTTTGTCACAGGAATGGAGTCGATCACTATCATATAAAACAGAATAGAAAATGATCCTGAGGACCCAGTCTCGAGTCGGTGACGTTCCATGATCAGTACCCATTAAAAAAAAAACCATCATATCTCACAACATCCATCCATCCACAAATAGTTGTTTTGTTGCCGTTCTAGATTACAGTTTTTTTTTTATTTTAATATACTCAATCTCAATCTCATTCCACACCATTCCGTTCCATTCCATTCTATCCTATCTCCGTCCTATCTGAGGATTAGCAACCATCACATGTCTATTCTATTGTTACGATCTGCAGAGCCCCTTATCATTGCCTATTTTCTTTTCTACACGAACCTGGCCAAAAAAAAATAAAAAAGAAAGTTAGTAACAACAATGCCTTGTAGAAGAAAGGGCATACGCGAAGATTATGAAGCGCATACTTACGCGGATGATTTAGGTGGAGTATATCGACCTATATGAGCTCCCTTAGGGATCTCTACCGCATTCGCAGGGCCCTCCTTGGCGATTTGTCTCAAGACGCCTTACGTCAAAAAAAAAAAAAAAAAAAGTCAACTTTTGTCATTTCTACAACAGCAGTAAAAAGTTACATCCCTTTCCAAACTCTTTCTTTCTACTTCCCTTACCATCGATAATAAACGCAGTTAGACCCCAGATGGCGATGTTTTCATGCTCAACCTGCCATACTGGATAGAGAAATTTTGAACTACGGAATTGCACCATTGCTCTCTTACTATCACTGACGAGATCTCGAAAGGGAACAGTAAAGACCTTGTGGACTTCATCCTTGTTGAAGCGGATGGATTCAATGTCTTCGATTGGCTCCTTGATGAGCCCTACAAACGTATGTACTATCATGGTACAGTCCTTATTGGGTAAGGGTGCATACTCTCCCAAGACCTCGACATCGTCTCGGGAGATGAAAATTTCTTCTTCCATCTCACGCAGTGCTGTGTCCAAAATGGTTTTATCTGAAGGATCACGCTTCCCACCGGGGAAACTGTAGAGAGAATGTATCAATTTAGTATACATATATGTATATATATATATATATATATATATATATATATATAAATGCCACTCTTGTCAAGTTTCCAGGACTTGTCAAATAAAGTGGCATTACCTGACTTCACCCCTGTGATTCCTCATATGTTTGGCGCGAATCGTAAAGAGGACACTAGGAACACCTTTATGGACACAGAGCGGCTAAAAAATAAAGGGAGAAATAAGTTTACACATCCCTTAAAAAGCGGTTAGGAAATGCTATTCTACCAAATACAACATAAAAAATAAATAAAAAAAAAAAAAAAAAAAAAAAAAAAAGAGAGGAATCTCATGTTCTTTACCATAAATACACCTGCTTGACGAACAGGCTCCTGTTTGCAATGCGTAAAGTAGGCGCTCGTGTCTGTTTTAGCCTCTAATCGTTTCCGACACATATCCAGGAATTCTTGATTGTATTCGATCAAATTGCAAAGACTATTGGATGACGTTGACGGCATTGATGTCGATGATGGTGGTGGTGATGATGATAATAATAACGATGATACAGATGTTTTAGTGGCGGTGGTGGTAGAAAAACACAGTTGCAACAAAAGATTGTTTGTGGTCCGAGTTCTTGTCATACAACTAGGTCTTTTTCTCCAGAGTCTTTGAAAAGGATTCGAAGACTTGATGACATGGTTCAAACTCCATTGTGTTGAAGGTTGGACTAGAGAATGTAATGACATTCTGTTCATGATTCTGATGGCACAACTGAGGCGTTCTTCTTATCCTTTTGGTGGGGTAACTTTTTTTTTTTTTTTTTTTTTTTTTTTTTAAAAAAAACCCTTTCGCGAGTCAGGTTTTGAGGTTCTTTATTTTTAAACAATGACAACATTCGGCGTAGCACAATAAAGTACCCTTAATAAAATTATCATATTTGATTCTGGACCCAATCTTTGGGGCTTGATCTTTCTCAATCAAGCTTTTTTTTTTTTTTTTTTTTTTTTTTTTTTATTATTAAAGCAAGTATGGATGCATTCAACGACTTGAAGTGTTATATATCCATCTATCAGTCCATCAATCCATTAATTAACATATCGATGATCGTTTCATCTATAATGAAGACAGAAAATATGTCTCTTCTATCTCCATTTGAGTCCATTCACTCATATGGCTGAAACTGATGGATTGATGGATTTTACGATTGGATCTCATAAGATTATAAAAAAAAAAAGGAGCATCCCATACTTACATGGACCAACCGTTCAATTTTCAATCATAGAAATGGCCAAGGAATCCAAGGGTACTAAGCGTTCTACCATCCATGATGTTGTTGCTCGCGAATATACCATTCACTTGCATAAGCACGTCCACGGCAGGTAAAGCAAAAAAAAAAAAAAAAAAAAAAAAAAAGTTCATAGTTTAATCACGGGACTTCCTTTCTTATCCAAGACCATGATTGAAGAGTTTGAATATCAACACAAATCTCAGCTGGAGTAACTTCAGACAGACATACCATACAACCCATCTCTTACCATCAAGATATCATTGGAGATAAAAAGAGCAATAATCCTCCTGGACCAATATCCTTCAAACTATGGCGTTCTTGCAATACCATTTTTTCTTCAGACAAAAAAAAAAAAAAAAAAAAAAAAAAAAAATACCTCTTGGAGGACAAAACCGGACATTGGGACTTTCAGAATATCCAAAGTGATCGAAAAAAAAAAAAAAAAAAAAAAAAAAAAAAAAAAAAAAAAAAACTGACCTGTGTATGTTTTCAAATTCTTGAAACTCTGTCAACTCTTTAGATCCTTCAAGAAGCGTGCTCCCCATGCCATCAAGGCCATTAAGGCTTTCGCCCAAAAGACTATGGGCACCTCCGATGTCCGCATTGATCCTAGTTTGAATAAGCAGGTCTGGGCCCGTGGTGTCAAGACTGTTCAGCACCGCATTCGTGTCCGTTTGTCCCGCAAGCGTAACGATGATGAGGACGCCAAGGAGAAATTGTATACCTATGTCACCTATGTTCCCGTCACCTCTTTCAAGGGTCTTGAGACTCAGGTTGTTGACGAGTAAAAAAAAAAGAAGAAACAAGAAATAAGAAACAAGAAATTCTGCCAACTTTGGATAAAAAAAAAAACAACACCCGACCTCTCTCGAAACATGCATTAAGGCACTGTGTGCGTAAATGTGTATGTGATTTTTTTCCTTTTTTTTTTCAATAAATTCTTCATCGGCTCAATTTGGTTCTTACCCAACCAACGATGTAGACGAATTAATCATGTAGGGAAGACTTTTTTTTTTCTTAAAAAAAAAAGAAGAGTTCTCTCGCATGTAAAAAAAAAAAAAAAAAACATTTGTAAATTTCTTTCAGCAGATGAATATATGATATTATTTTATATATATTATATATATATGTATATACATGACATGTGGTGATATGAGGTTGAAAAAGTTGACACATGTGATGATGATTACTACACTTATAACTTTTCGTACCCGTTTCTCTCAAGTCATGAAAGTGCTTTAAGCTTTAAAAGTCTCACTACTCGAGGAACTTTGATCACTCATGAATATCAGTAATCGATGACTTGCATAACACACCGTGATCGAGGTTGGAAGTTTAAACACTGTGAGTCACTTGCTTTGCTTTGGCGAATCATAAGATGTATAATAAGGTAAGTTGACAATGAAGCTGTGCAGTAAGTGGTTTTTGATTCAGATAGTTTTATTCAATTAGAAAACTATAAAAAAAAAAAAAAAAAAAAACTAGTTATGATATATAATAAAAATAAAAATAAAATAAAAATAAAAATAAAAATAAAAATAAAAAATAAAATGAAATAAAATAAAATAAAATAAAATAAAATAAAAAATAGCGGAGCAAATTGCTTTTAATGTTTCATTTATTGTATTTGTGTGGCACCTTGCTCCTCTTCCTCCTTCATCTCCGGAGGTGGCGCATTATTTTCTGTCGGACCTGTTTCTAACACTTCGTTGGGCTCTGTGTCAGCTGTAAGACTTCCTCTAGCCCACTCAGGTAACTCTGTCTCAAATGACCAATCCTTAGTCTGATATCTCCACGCATGAAGAAACATTATCCTTTTTTCTGGCTCTGGGTCTGCTCTTGAAGCAAGTCCGCAAATGCTACAAAACTCTCCCTGAAAATGATTGATACTATCATCGTTCTTCTGGCCTATACTAAGGTTGGATGATAATGATACTGATGGTGATGGTGATGGTGATGGTGATGGCGATGGCGATAATGATGATGACAATGATGACGATGCCGACGACGCCGCTAATGCAATATCAAACTCGTCATCCATCTCACCTCTCTCCAATAATCTCTTGACAAGTTCCTTTTCTACATCCTCAGTAATACCGCCTTTACCATTCAAGCTACCCCAAATATCTGTGTTCTGGTACAGAGGGTCGTTTGTGATCGGATAGCCAAGCCATTGGAGGTGCACGCGGATCTGATGAGTCCTCCCTGTAACAGGACGAGCCATCACAATCGATGTATCTGACTCAGCGTCGTACCGTAGCCGTTCAAAAACAGTCGAACATGCCTTACCCTCAGGATGAACCGTATTGAGTGTCAACTTGAAACATGCTACGTGAATCGGCTCATGACATTCTATTATTCCGCTAATGAAGGTTGGGATAGGGAGTAAATGAAGAAGGAAAAGTACTACCATATTTAATACTTGATTTTTTTTTTTTAAAAAAAAAAAAAAAAAAAAAAAAAAAAAAAAAAACACATCGGGTATGACATAGGATTGACTAACCTTGGGAACTGCCCTTTGACTTTACAAACATACTCCTTTTTGATTTCGCATTTCTGCATCATAAGCTCAAACTCTCGAGCCTTCTTTACTGAAAGTGCCATGATCATGAGTCCTGATGTGAGACGATCCAAACGATTAACCGCTATTCCAAAAACAAGAAGTTAAATATAAAAAAAAAAAAAAAAAAAAAAGTTTCCTCCGAATGTGAATAGCCTTCATTTTAACCAATTCCAGAGCTCTCCCTCGATAAAACCTTTTGAACATAGCAATATAACCTACGGTACAAGTCCTTGTATCCATGTTCTTTCATCAGAATATGAAGCACTGTATTGTGTCGATAGCGTCCACTAGGATGGACAGGTATACTACTAGGCTTGTCTACGATAATGACCCCATCTTCCTCACGCACGACCTTGACAGGGATATTGGCAACGGGTGGTTCATGGCGATGAATATCGTGTGCAACAATGTCGCTGTTCCGAATGATATAGTCCTTGGTCACTGGCTCTCCATTGATTTTAATACGCCCATCCTTGATCGCCCGTTCCTGGAAGCAACAATGTCAGAGAGGGTTTGGACAAGAAAATTAGTTAGTTATCAAAACGTCTTGATAAGATCAATCCTTTTTTTTTTTTTTTTTTTTTTTTTATAAAAAAAAAAAAAAAATTACATATACACATTACATAAAAATCGTTGTCCCTGTCCCTGAATTCTGTGTTGAAGACTTCAATGAGTGGGCGGCCCAACCATCGCCCTTTAGCAAACGTTTGGTACTTGAAGAAGTATGGCTTGATCTTTCGAAGGTCTGTAGAGTATTTCAGTAATGGTGCATTAGTGTCCTCTGTACTAGCGAAAGGGTGAAGGCAGTTGTTCCTCGATTTTTTTTTTTTGGTTTTCACTTGCCGTTTTCAAAGTAATAGTGAGCGCTCTTGAGATCGTCTTCTATACTGACTAAGTCGAGTCGCTTCTTTTGCTTCTTGGGCTGCTGCTCGCTTCCATAGTGACCATGTTTTGATTCTTTAGGTCTCTTAGAGCCGAGATGGATGGCTCCTGCTGTTTGATCTTCCCCTTTGGGCGCTTCCGGCTCGCCTGTGTTTTCTAGTATGGCCGTTGCTGGTACTGTTGATGTTTCCTCTACCTTGGAGATCTGCTCTATGGGCAAAGACTTTGACCCTGGTTCTGAGAGCTCGTTATTTGAAGGAGCCAATCCAGAAGTGGTTGATGATTTTAATTCTGACGATTCCTCCTGAATAAGAACAGCACTTGATTCTATTTCCTTTTGGGTCGTATGACAACCGGTGTCCGAGACTATTTTGTCCATGAGTTTGAATGTGGCCAAAGAAACATTATGCATGTACTGGCAACTGATCTTTGCCACCAGATCTCTGGCCGATGTGTCACGTGCTAAGGACATCCAAACGATATTTCTTTGGCACAATTTGTTCCCACTTGGTTGCTGTTGTTGTTGGTATTGTTGTTGTCGCTGCAGTTGACAAAGCCCCCGCCACCACACAGGACGAGATGAGCAGGGATGCAGCATTTTACATAAAGCGATGATAAAGAAACAAGAGAAATAAGCGGATCGGAGAGGAAGAGGAAGAGGGAGACAATAGCATTGACCTAACTTTGTGAATAAAAAGAAAGCAGGTAGTGGGGGAGGAATCTGACTTTGTAAATAGTAAAATGTAAGGCAATAGCAAACGCTGTGTTGTGCTCCGAGGGATGGTTGATAGAACAATTGAGGATGCAAGAGAGGATAGCAAGTGGCAAGTGGCAAAGCACGGTGATGAGGAGTGTTAGATAATTGTAGTTGGACATTTATACACATTTATGTTTTGTAATGGGGGCTTGCACACAAAGAGTGTGTGCATCTTGACATAAAACCATGATCTATTCAGAGTTACATTCGCATATCATGTCATTACATTGACATGCCATTGGCAGCAGTGCATGCGTCCAAATGTCCAATTGCGCATACGTCTTCCTACTCCTGCAACGCCCAATGCAAAAAAAGACAAAGCTCTTCTTAACCACATTTGACCCTTATCCAATTGTCTTCTACTCTCCTAAACTCTTCATACTCCTTCCTCTTTCTTCCTCTTTCTTCCTCTTTCTTCCTCTTTCTTCCTCTTTCTTCCTTTTTTGATTCCTTTTTTGATTCCTCCCTCATCATCATTGCATCGGTACAATACACATACGCATTCCCACTTTTATTACTTTACATTTACACATTCATACATATTACACTACTTGTCATTCATTACTTTATTATTTCTCATTTACATTCTCATTATTCATTACTTTGTTTTCTTCATTCGTTTCTTCACACGTCCATACTGCTTTCTCTTCTTCTCCTTCACTCTTCTTTTCTTTTCTTTTATATATTTTTTTTTCTTTAAAGATCTCATTTCCCAATGGGTTGCTGTGGAAGCAAACAGACTGAAGACGAGCGGGTTAGTATAAAGATCCCAATTCTACTACCGATACAATCCATATTCTCATCTATGCTACCAATGTCAATATCACTATCGATATCAATTCCCAATATCGATAAAGTTTCTATATATCGATAGTAATAATGAAAACAAAATGACAACAGCATTTCTCGCGCGGACTCGTGAATTATCAAGACAACGCATCTCCACCCATTGACAGTGGACGATCTAATCATTTACTTGCGCTAAGAGCAAGCACGGACAACACACTAGAGAGAAATATGAATTGCTTCAAGAAAAGAGAACCCCCCCTCATTCAGACCACATATTACTCAAAAGCACAGCATTGACTGGCAGATACAAAACCAAAGAGAGAGAATGTTTTTTTTTTTTTTTTTTTTTTTTTTTAATGCTGTTGCTCTAACCAGCTAAACTGATGCTTAATGAATTTCGCCCAATTTAATTACAAAATTTCACCATAATGCCAACAATTGGCGAAGACTCTCTTGCATGAGCACAGAATGTTGTTTTGTTATTCCTACTACTCCCTTCATCAACATACAATTGCATTGTACTCCGTCTTTTTTTTTTTTTTTTTTTTTTAACATCCCTCTTCTTTACTGACTTATTTTTATTTTTATTTACTTCTGTGCTGTTGTTGATGTTAGGAGGAGCGAGCAAAGATTCTAGTGAAGAGCCAAGGTCCATATGGGTAAGTTTATACACATCTTTGATCTATCCAAAGAGCACAATGCACTCTATTGCATTCTCTGTGCCTCTTGTATCACTACAAACCATTCCTCTTTTTTTTTTTTTTTTTTTGTTTTTTGTTGGGCACAGATGAAAAAAAAAAAAAAAAAAAAAAAAAAAAATGCTTCACAATCAGATTATGACGACAAAGGAGAGGGGTTTTCAATCCTCCTAAAATTTCAACTCCACCCTGAAATTGTATAAACATACGAAAACAAATTACAAAAAAACAAAAAACGAACCAAGCCCAATAGAATGAATGCAAAGCATTGGGCAGTTGGATGTTTTGTTTTTAATGCTCTCGTTTTTCTTTATTATTATTACTACTACTGTTATTATTATTATTATTATTATTATTATTATTATTATTTTTATTTTTCGTGGAATGAATCCTTTGGCTCCATGATAAAATGTGTTACTGTTCTTGCGAACGACATTGGTACTTTAGTCCTCGATGACCATCATTACGATGTTATTATTATTATATATATTATTATTACTTTCGTGTTTTTGCTCGCTCTTTTTTTTCCTTTCAAGCCCCTCCTCCCCCCTTTTTTTTCATAAAAATTATGCAAACTATAGGACATCCGTTAGGAATCGAGGGATGAAAAGAAGGAGAGGATGCTGTTATTTCAGTACCAATGAAGCATTGATCTTATGCGGAACCATCCATTCATTTGCTTTTTTTATTTGGCGGGAAGGAGAAAAAAAAAAAAAAAAAAAAATGAACAACAGCATGATGGGTCATATCCTTTTACTCTTTGTTTTTGGAGGGAAAAAATAAAAATAAAAATAAAAAAGGAGACTTTGGGACGTCATGTTATTTTATTAAAAAGAAATTAGGAAAGTGTCCTTGGTTCAGTCAGGATATATTTATTTTAAACGTCTGTACTTTCTGTTCATTCCATTGTTGTTTACAGTAATCTCATTTCTGTTTTCTTGGCAAGAGATCGAAAGAAGACAGGGTACTTGGTGAATAGCTGCGCCAGTTGTTGTCTTTATTTGATTCGTGTATTTGCTAGACCATATGAGGAAGGATGTGGAGGGAGAAGTGGCAACGGATGGCAATCAGAAATGGACTGTTTGCCCTGAGCGCAATGTTTTTTTTTTTTTTTTTTTTTTTTTTGTAATTAAACAAACGATTGCGTGTATATGATTGTGTTTAGTGTAAAAAAAAAAAAAAAAGAAAGAAATAAAAAGAAGGCTCTGGGCGATGCAATGCGATGCGATGCGGTGGTTGAACATCAACAATGGCATTTCAACGCATTAATTGGTACGCAACACAATTTTTTTTTATTCTTCAGTTGGATGATCAGGGCACAACGCTGTTCGGGCACCCCTACCCCTAGTCTCCTAGTCCTTTTGTTTTTATTTACTTTGTCGAGAATGAATAACTGACATTGACCCTATTTCGTATTTGTTGCTTTTACTTTGTAATGTTTTGACCTCTCATCCTTCTTTATAGAGCATGCCCGATGGTGCCTCCAAACTATACCGAGCAAGATCGAGTACGAGATTCATTCCAAAAGATTGTCGAAAGGACAGCTGGGTAAGTAGAATCTCTCCCCAAGAGATGTGATATCCGACCAAACATTCTGCAATACCAATGCGCACTTCTTGCACATTCATCCATTTTTCTTTTTTTTTAAACCTTCAAATAACGGAAGTATGTACAGTATATATTATACATGTACATGCCAACAGTACATTCACAACACAACATCACAACTATGGTGTGCATGTCATCGAAATGTTTTACAGTACGCGCGCGTTTCTTTCTTTGATCCTCCTATTTTCGTTTTACATTTCTTTCGCTCATGCAAGCATTATGGCAAGCATATGCAAATTGGTGGTGTTGAGAGCATTTTACCAACAGTATTTTGACAAAAAAAAAAAAAAAAAAAAAAAAAAAAGAGTCGGTCACCTCCCATTTCATAGTTCAGGTACACTGACCAGTCTTGAGTTATCAATGCACGCAACATCCTGTTTCTTTTTCTTCTGATTGCTATCATGCCTCCCCTCTCCCCCTCTCCCCTAACTCAAGGCATATGAACACGAGCATTGTCTTTAAATCTACGCCGTAGTTGTGCGGCTGTTCTGATTGGTCTCTCTATTTAGGACTGTGTGGAAGAGAGGGAAAGGGCCAAACGCGTCTTTGTGTCTGCCTATGTGTTTCAGATACTGGTATTTACACTTGGCCTTTTGGCCCCGACATTATGTAGTGTTGGCGCTGCTGCATTACTGCCCTGATAGCTGGTTTATTCATGCAATTAGCGGCTGCTAATCTGAAAATCTGCAACTATCGCTAAAGAAAAAACTTTTATGACGAAAGAGTCAAAGTGCTCATAGTTCTATACTTTCATTTGTCCACTAACACGAGAAAGAACTTTTTTTTTTTTTTTCTTTTCTATTCTTTTCTTTATTTTTGATCAGAAATCTTATTGATATCCCATCAACGCTTCAAGTTGAAAGACTACAACAGCAAGAAGCCTTGAATCGCTCGAACGAATATATGTCTGCGCTCAACACTGTCAAGCTACCACAACAGACCATTCGCAAGCTATACAATATGACTTCCGTCAAGGGATCGGGCACAGATATGCCTGCACTCAACGATGCTCTTGAGACAGCTGTAGGGACAAATGATGGGGCCGCACTCAATACCAAAGAAAGGATCTCCACATCGTCTGGAAACTCGATCAAGGCGCCTTCGGTGCGCGAGGTTCTTGCAGAAAAGACGGTCGATTCAAAGACAGTTGGCTGGGTACTGCCTTATTATTATTATTTTTTTTTTGAAAGAAGAAAAAAAAAAAAATTAAATGAAATGAATGACAAATTAATAGAAGACTAACCATCCTTGTTCGTTGCTTACAAAATTGATTCCTAGATGGCGAACGTGATGGGCGAGTTACACCAGGCTACAGAATCAATTGATGTCGAGGATGTTGGGGACCTTATTGTTACTTTGTCACCACCCAGGGCTTGAAGGTCCCCTTTTTGATTATTATTTTTTTTTTTTTTTTTTTTGATATGACCCGCGTTTCTTTTCTATTTTCACCATTCACATTTCACATCATCATTGCACTTTCTATACTTTATCTTTTCTTCTTTTTTTTTTTTAAAAAAAAAAAAAAAACAAAAACAAACAAACAAAAAAAAAAAAAAAAAAAAAAAAAAAAACATATTCTTCCATGAGTCAACACTTGTTTCTATCTATCAAGTCAACCTTAGCTACTCCACCAGGTTCTTTACGAAATATCCTCTCATGACAAAGTTCTTCATCCATTTTATTTTTATTTTTATTTTTCTGTGTACATACCATTCTTTACATTTTCTTCCATACTTCATTTTTTTTATTTATTTATTTTTTTTTTTTATTTTTTTTATTTTTATCATCCTGGTCTCTTTTCTTTCGAAGAGAAGCCATGATTTTCACGTTTATGACCCATGCCTCTCATCCTACTATATTTTACTTGAATATTTTTTGCAAAATCCCCATGAAATGAACTATGGAGATATAACAATAGAAATGAAAAATAAATATTTTTTTGAAAAAAAAAAAAAAAAAAAAAAAAAATTATACTACGAGGCAAAAAATGAATCTGTCAAGTTGATTTATACTAAAAAACGTAAAAAACGTAAAAAACGTTACTCTCAAGCACTAACGTTACATGTCCAAAATAATGATAAAGAAAGACGAAGGAAGTGGAAGTGGAAGTGGTAACGTTTCACCAACTTTTATGCATACTACATAAAGCCCCTCCTTCACTGATCATAATATTTCGTGTTCAGCATTCAGACTCTCTCTCTCTCTCTCTCTCTTTCCTTCAACTTGGACAGCCATATCAAAATGATGTCGTAGTTCTTTTCAAATGCTCCTTGGAAAGGAAACCGGCTGGAGAAGCAAAGTTTCTGCACCGCGTTTCAAGATGCGTCTGCAAGTAGATGACATTAAGAGGGTATAATATCGAATGTTGGAGTTGAGACAGAGAGAGTCCAAGGCAAGATACCTTAGCAAGTCTGGATAGCTTATCTCGCTTTGAGTCCGAGGCCGATCATCAGCAGCGCATGCAATCAAAAGACTTGATGTGGATGATGGACCATTGAGTGCCTCAGTAGCGTTGTGAGCTATGATCAAAGTTTCTTTCTTTCATAATGAAGGCATGCTATCCGGGACTAGAAAAATCTTTTTAAAAAAAATTTTCGTAGGGTCAAAGGGACGTAGTGCAGGATAAGCACGTGTGTCTTGGTGGAGAAGACTTGTTTCGTTGTCCCCAAGACGTTCTCTAATATTGCAGCTCAAGCTTCTTATACAGAAAGACAATGGTTAAGGCAACCATACAAGTCATTTGACATTCATGAATAAAAAAAGAAAAAAGAAAAAAGAAAAATGGGCCGCTTAGTTCCCTATCCTCATAAAAACCCCACTCCATTGCATCAAAAACGTCTCCTCGTGCGTTTATATGCATTCAGAAGCGAACTTCTTTTTTTTTTTTTTTTTTTTTTTTTTTTTTATTTGTTTATTCGCGACCGTCATGCAGAGAGTAAGAGTTGAATATTGTATTTGAGGTTGCGTGTTTATTCTTTCTTTTCTTTTTTTTTTTTTTTTTTTTTTTTTTTTTTAGCTTTATCTTTATCTTTATCTTTATCTTTATCTTCTTTTTCTTTTACTCGGTATCCATGGCTTCTCCCTGTGGAAGATCCTCTGAAGCAGCAGCAGTAGGAGCATCTCCTGACGTCGGAGCGCCGGCTTCTAATTGATTAAGATATGTCCTCAATCGCTCTTCCTCGATTAATTCCCAATCATGATCCTTTCCTACGACACCAATAGCGCAGTTTTTGAGGTTCAATTCCTTGTCCTGCTGAAGAGTTTCACGTAATGCATGCAATCCGTGCATAATGAGAGCATCCAGATCAGCTAATTGAAAAAAAAAAAAAAAAAAAAAATACAAAATTAGCCGATATTATAAACAAAGAGAATATTATCTTCAAAGTGTTATTTGACTTTACCAGTTTCAAAATCATTTGCAAATTTCTCGAGATATGTTTTTGCGCTCTGGCTCTTGGCGCCGATAGCAATAGCATAGTATTCAAGGCAATTGGCGTTGGGCAGGCACTCGTACAAGTGAGGACCCGTGCCCTCGTCGTAGCTTCCTACCAACAATCCTACACCATATGGGCGACGGCCATAATTTTGGGTGTTGATCTGTGCCTCTGTGAAAACAACAATATATCAAAGTGAGAACAAAAGTAAACGCATTAGATCCTTTGGCTAGAAGAAGAAGAAAAAAATAAAAAATAAAGAGCACTGCTCCAAAGAATGAAAGACGTACTATCGCCGATCAAGGATACGAGTCTGCTGCCAGGCATGGGACGATCATACATCATCTTTGACTTCATACACTCGGTTCTCATGAAATTGCTATGGTTCAAAATATCATTCTGCGTTAATACGTCCCTTCTTTTCAAAAACCATCCATGAATCCTGAAAGCAATAAAAATAAAAAATAAAAAATAAAAATAAAATAAAATAAAAACTTTTTTTTTTTTTCCTACCTCAAAACACGAGCATCTGAGACAAGGCCCGCAATGGCAATTCCGACATGACTATCAATCCTGAACAACTTTTGTTGATGCGATGCAAGTTCGCCAGAAGAACGCTATTATTGTTGTCATTATAAGAAATATACATAAATATTTTAAGTCTTCCATCTATATCTAACCCAAAGCTCGCACCTTAATATTTCTTTTTTTTTAAAAAAAATAAAAATAAAAATAAAAATAAAAATAAAAACTCAAGAGCAATAAATAATTACCTTCAAAGCCAACAGGACGACATGGGTTTTCGAACGCAATCCAACAGAAGCTGATCCCTGCTTGACAGCTTCGAGTGCGTATTCAATTTGGTGCAGACGACCTTGTGGGGACCAGGTTGAAATATCGTTATCGTATTGATTGCGGAACTAACACATGGCGCGTAAAGAAACCGAGAGAACTGGAACGTTAGCCATGGAAGACATTGAAAAAAGCAATTTGTTTATTATTAAGGCCCAAAGTTGCCGGTATAGTTTTTTTTTTTTTTTTTTTTTTGTATCGATGGGCGCAGTGGGTTCATACCATGTTGGCTGTCTATCTGTACGTTGAAGGGTCGAAAGGATGTAATAATACAAAAAAGGCGAATGAATGCGTTTGACTGACTTAATGAAATGAGAATGAGAATAAGAGAGGAGACAACACGTCAAAAAGGGACGCGCGTTGCGTTGCGCGAGCGAGCGAGGGTGTAGGGTTTTAGCAGTCAAATCATGTGGAATCAAGGCGAATTGTGCCTTAGCTACGTCACACACCCAAGCCACGAGCCCCAAATGATCCTTGCTTCGTTCTCTCCCTGGAGCTTGTTTGCGGGTCAGAGTTACTTCGCTTGCGTCCCTTTTTATTTGATTTCATTTCATCTAGAGATATTCTCCCTTCTCGTCAACAGGCTAGAGCCACTGAGGCCTCCCTTGATGGCTCAAATAGTCGCTAACAAAGTGGCAGATATTCTGGTTCGCTATAACGTCGTGGTGCGTGCCTCGTGTCAGCTCGCTATGTATCATAGTCGGATGAAGGTTACTGAATGCTCAAGCCATCAAATATATATATATATATGCCTTTTCTGGCATTTCTTAGTTTTTGCTTCTTCTCCTTGTTGACTTTATACCTAGTGCGGATGAAGACGTATTCATGCTGAAGGCTTTCATGGGTAATGAGTGGCTAGTCAGGCTCCCAGAAGATGAAGCAGGTCCCTTACCAAGCCCCTCCTAATTTCTTCGAGGCCTTGCGTAAGGGAATGGGTGTCTAGATTTGATAAACAAATAGAAGCAATAGAACTTGAAAGCTATTTGCCCTGTACATTTTTTAATTGGCCATTACTATCAGACATTTATAACTGCACCATTGTGTCAAGTTGCCAGAATCTAAAATAAAGTTAGCATCTGATTAATAGCTCTAAGAGGAAAAATAGAAAAATATCTCCTCCATCTAAACACTTGGTGACTCCAAAATCCTTTTCAGGCCCCAACGGTGAAATGGTAATGCTGTAATCATTCTTCGACACAATACTAAGTAGTCTGAGTTGAACACTGTTAATTCCTAAAGCCGTAAGCACGCCTTGAATGTCATAGACAGGGGATCGCCTTCTTAAGGTATGTCTTCAGATGGCCTCTATGGTTTCGTATACTAGCATATCATTGTCCCTTGATACGGCAATGTCACTGAGCCCATAGTCGAGTGCTTTCTCCACGTCAGTCTCAATCGGGTAGGGTTTTATGCTCCAATTTCTATTTACCATATAATTTGCAAAGTCCCTTCGCCCTCCAGACGCCAATAGAAGAATTTCCTCAGATTCTTCTCAACGGCCCTGGAATGCTGCTTTTACACCCAGAGATCGCTTTCGACGCGTCCCTTCAGGCTTTTAATGCCTTCTTTGACGACGCTCAAGGTTTTCGCACGAACGTCCTTACGAAAAACTAGAGTTTTAGTCATTTTGATGGGGATAGGCCGCCCAAGTAGAGGATCAGGTTTTGAGGACTTCTAAGCGTTTAATTTTGGTTTTCGAGAATAAGTTGTGCGGCATCCAAGGTATAAAGTGAATAGGCATAACGAATAAATGCGAAGAAGGCTCCGAGCACATAGACGCGATATATATTCGAGCTGAGAGGCTCGGCAGATCCACATCTAGCAACGGGATCGTGCCCTTGTTTTGGTCAGGAAAGCCGCAGGCAATCTCCATATTGATAATGAGGATTGTATTGCAGCAGACGGATTATGGTTCTAATGAGAGAGTAAGGGCAAGCGGAAATGGGAGAACAGTCTTTTCTTTTTCGTGTCATATAGTCGATAACAAATATTTTTGTATATAGCAATCAATTTTTTTTTTTGTTTTCGCTTTTTTATGATTATCGGCCAAACAAAGTATAAGAACCAAACGAAATAATAATATTTATCTACTACCCGGAACGGGTAAGCATCCGGTGTTTTTGCCAGTACATGTGCCTTGTGGCATGTGCTCTACCAAGCTACATGTAGCATGTTTTGCGTTCTGTCGACTTAGTTGTTTGAGGAACTTTAAAACAAAAATAAGAAAAATATTGTGCTGTTACACCAACTCAAATAAATGCTTCTTTGCATTAAAAAAGCACTGGCTTTGCTCCTTGATTTTCCATTCCTGCATCTCAGTTGACGATTCCCGCCACGATATAGCCTATAAATAAATGGCGAGGATTTCCGGCCCCAGCATACTTCCCCTTTCGTCCTCCAAAGTAATAAAAAACGCCAAGGTATAATCTATACCAGTGCTGTAGGATATTCCATGTCTCTCATTGTTAGGGAATGTACAGAAAACAAAGACACACTTCAATTGCTTGTTCAATGGCTTGGCGCGTGTACACAACACAGCTGACGGTGATTGACGGAAACCAACACCAACAAAAATATGCTTACGCGCAAAGCAAATAACTATCCCCTAACTTTACTGGCGTAGCAGCATTGTTTGCCGTGATACATAACACTTGCCAATGCAGCAAGACGGCGTGTGCAGATAGCAAAGGAGCACTTCTATTATTTGATCAGATACCAAACCAATGGTTTGCTCCCATTTACTTCAATCAGTGGTATCTCTACATCTTCGTTACCTGAGCCATCGTTTCATTGCTTTACATCGGCTCACTTGGAAGAGACTGGGAAAAGAACGAAAGGAAGCAACTGCTTAGTTGTCAGGACACAATAATGATAAAATGATGGGCGCGTGGAAGAACCTGAGCATAACGCAACAGATCTATAGAATATAGTTCGTAAGTAGGCTTGTCCCCAAGCTTGAACAAAATCAGTCTACAGTCGTCCCTCAGTAATTCGCGAATTACTGAGGGAACTGGTCTGTTTTTATTCACTTCAATTCAATTTCAATTATATTGGTGGGCGCTCCTTTATTCTTTTTTTTTTTCTTTTTTTGAATTTTTCATTTTTTTTTAAACAGCCACCCTTTGTATTTTTCACTATTCTGCATACAAAACACACAAAAAAAAAATAAATAAATAAATATATTTATTATAAAATATGATTATTCTTTACTGCTTGAATCTCCATCAAGACAGGCCCTCAGTCTGCTCAATAAACTTGGGTTTCTTCTGTGTTCGGTCTCTTCATTTCGTATTGCACGTCTATCCATGAAAGCCTCAATGTGGTCATACAATTTATCGAGTTCTTCTCTCTCTTCTTTACCCTGTGGCCTTGTTAGGATATCTTTGGTAAGCTCAAAAAAGTCGCGCGATAGACCGAGGACAACTGTAGGATCCTTTTTTTTGCATGGGCTAGTCTCTGGCGAGGAGTACCCATCATGGGGAACCTTCTGGATTGTACGGTTACGCAGGACAGTGCAAACCATTGAAGGCGAATATTCTTGCCTTAGTGCTGGACTAAAGTCTGCATCAAGATCTTCGGCATCTTCAACCTCCTCCTCGTCAATAAAATCGCTATCCTGGTATTGACGAAATATAGTACTGAATTTGGGATTGGCGATCGTCATCATTGCACAATTAGTAATAGATTGTGTAGGACCTTCGGCATGGCACATTGTGAGATAATTGAGGATTGTGAAGTCTTTTTGGTAATTGATGACATCTGTCAATTTTTCGTATTTTTTGATCAAATCATCTTGAAGTTCCTTTAATCTATTGTCAACGGTATCCATCCCGAGAGCCCTAAGTTGCCTATTCACATCGTCAGGCAGCGTCGGAACATTGGCAAAGCAATGGCGAATACAAGCAGGGGTAACAGTATTCCATGCCCTCACCAAGCATTCCCAGAGAGAGGCATAGTTAGCTGTAGCTGTTGATGATTGGAGATTCTCGCGAACTCGAGCTACTGTCTCAAGCATCTCTTGGCTGTAGTGAACCTTGAATGAACGAATAACACCTGCATCCATAGGTTGAGTGATAGATGTTGTGCCTGGAGGAAGTCGTACTAATGTAATATTACTAAGGCCAGCTTCCTCTCCTCCACAATGTCCTGGTACACTGTCTATGAGTAGTGCAATTTTGCGTCCCTGCCTTTGCATATCCTCATCCAAGTCCTGAAGCCATCCATCAAACAGAGGTTTGGTCATGTAGCCGGAACAGTGTGTATTTGAATCGATTTTGCGTTGAGTGTCTTCTTTTAAACCTTTGGGCTTATGTTTTGATAGCACAAATAGCTTGCGTTTGTCAGTTCCTGTGGAGTTGCTGCAAATAAGGATTGACACACGAGCTGCACGAATAATTTTTGTTCCCTGTACAGCGCCTGCTGCTAGGGTTCTTGCTGACAATGCTCTAAGATAAAGGCCAGTCTCGTCGCAGTTATAGATGTCCTCTGGGTGGAATGTAGAGAGCGACTTCTTTATCTCCTCCATCCGAGCCTTACAAGATTCCATATCGACACCTCCACTTTCTCCATGTCCAATCTTTGATGAAATTCCTGATCGTGTCTTGAATCCCATCCTTTCGAAAAGGCAAACGATTCGGGTATCTCAGTCTCCTTATAATAGTCCTTCATGATGCTCCACAGTATAGCTCCTATTCCTCTTAGTCGAGCCTCTGTTACAATGATCTTGAGTCTCCTTTGTTCTTCAAACCACTTTAGCAGCGCTTCTTCAACGGCCTCCATGGTCCTTGAGCTAGTTCGAGTAATAGCCTTAGCAGCTTCCTCAGACTTTCCATCTTTCATACTCAATAAAGAATCTCTTTTATTCCAAATCCCACTGGCAGTGAAAATGTTGATGCCAAGTCGTCGAGCAATAGAAGATACTGGGGTTTTGGGGTCAATATCCTTGGCTTTTATCACTTCATTGATAAATTTTATTTTGTCATAGTGTGATGGAGTTATATGTGTTGCCTTTGGAGCTGCCTTTCGCGACTTGTCCACGCTTATTTCTTATAGGCTTGGCAGATTTCTGGTTTAGTTTTCCTGCTTCAGCTGAATTTGGAGCTGAATTTTCTTTTTCACACGCAGACTCACACGCAGACTTTGATGGTCGAACTGGAGTAGCTTGACTTAATCGCTCAATACGGACCCAGTCCCATTGACTACTGGGTACTTGTGCCACACTCTGCTGGGACTGAGGGGAGGAAGCTGACAAACTCATAGAATGAAGAACACTTGGGCTGAAGGCAGTTGTTACATTCTTTGAAGGTCTTCCTCTTCTCCTTGGTTGACTTGATTGCAAATTGGATAGACTTGAGTCTATAGGAGATAGCTGGCTTGACTGCAGAGGCAGAGGAGACAATTGACTCGAAAGCCCAATAGGGGACGAAGAAGCGGCCATATGTTGAGCTATGGGTATATTGGGAATAGCGGTCGCCATGATAATAGGTGAGTGTGAGAAAAGTCTTTTTTTTTTATTTTTTTATTTTTTTGGAAATTTCAAAAAAAAGAAAAAAAAAGAATAAAGGAGCCCATCAATATAATTGAAATTGAATTGAAGTGAATAAAAACAGACCAGTTCCCTCAGTAATTCGCGAATTACTGAGGGACGACTGTACATCACAGCAAATATTGCTCGGATAACATGCCGGCTATTTTTTTTTTTTTTTTTTTTTTTTTTTGTTATAGCTATTGTTTTTGAATAAACTATGCAATGTATATAATGAGATCATGTGACAATGTCAAGAATTAGTGGCGCAACCAACCAAGGCCATTCATTGTGATGTAGATCCTTTGAGCATCTCCCTCCGTTACCATTGCGTGTGCGAAAATTTCATCCATGAGTGATCGACCACCATCAAAAGCACAAGGAGGGAATGAGAAAGATACTCCTAGTAGCTCTAGTAGTACGCTCAAGGACTCAGGCACTTCATCATTTATGTCTCAGTTCTACACACCCATGAACCCAACTTATATTACATCACAATCCCAGACATCTGCATCTCAAGCACAGCCATCGCATGCTACTTATACACAGCAAACAACGCATTCACAATATACACAGTACCAGCCAAGCCCCGCTGCGGCTGTCACAACAGTACAGCCTAACTCTAATACTTCTTTAATGGGTGCAGGGGCAGCCTTAATCTTGGCCAATTTAACTACGCTTCCTGGCTTCCTCTCGGAAGCTGCGATCCAAGAGGCGCGTCAAGAGTATTTGGGGCAACAACAGTTTGGCCATAACTCAGCACAAGCAATCCATTCGCACCCTTCTCCTCACTCCTCTCACCTGCCATTGTCTTCCTCCTCCTCTCATCCCTACTCTAATCCTCAATCGTATCATTACCAACCTTCTACATCCACCGGAAATCCCTCAACAGATCCGCATACTGCTATTGACTCCTTGCTGAAGGAACTTCAGCAATCACAATCCACGTCTTCTAATACATCATCTCCATCATCAGCATCACCAGTACCACATACAATATCACCACTAAACCTACAGCCACAGCCATCACAATCGTCCCAACCACTTGAATCCACTTCTGCAGCTGCTGCACCTGTGACTTTAGAAGACTTCAGTACTGGAAAGATCACGCCACAGCTCCTGAAAGCTTTAGCCAGCGTCGCTGAGGCAGATACCCAACAAGGAGGCCTGCTTTTAGACGAGATTAAGCGATTAAAAGAAAAGCAGCTGAATATTGAACGGTCATTGCATAAGGATCGACAAGCTTTATTAGAAAAGCATAAAAAAGAGCTAGTTAGGCTACAAGCAAAGTAAATGAAAATCTTATTTGCCGGAAGAGTGAACTTTTTTTTTTTTTTTTTCCTTTTTTACGTTTTACTCTCTCTTGCTTACTGCTTTTTTTTTCTTTTTTTTTTAAAAAAAAAAAAAAAAAAAAAAAAAAATAGCGAGATAATGGGTATAAATATCAAACATGAATTACAGCAAACGAAGATGAACCATAGTGAAGAGCTGAAGCAATTTGACAAGAATGTGATCCGGACATTGGACAAGGAGATCAAGCGCGTGCAAGAATCGCTAGCCAAGTCCAAAGTTCCTATGATGGTGTGTACGACTGATCCTGTCAAGATTGCTGCGCAGATCCGAGTATTACGGCTACTTGAGGACATGCTGTTGCAGACAGAGTAAAAAAGAGCAAAATAAATATATTTGATGGTACCCAATAACCCCCATTCAAAGGCATAGTGTGCTAAGGTCACTTAATAAATTGTGTTGCAATTGAGTGGGCTGGATCGTGTGTTTGTTTGACGCGTTTCTTTGCAATTACTGCTACGATTTTTTTTCGGTAGCAAAAGTTCTAGAAATGTCGACAGATGACGAATGGGGAAATGGAATGCAAAACTATAAAACGCCGCATTTCTGCATTTTTGTATCACCACAAATAAAAATAAGAAACTCACCAACAACTGCGCACTTGCTGCTTTCCAAGAACGCCATTTGACGACAACGTCAGCAAACATTTCCAAAGACGGGGAATTGGTGGCGGATGTTCCCAAATTGTCGGGTATAAAATGCGACCGTTTCCCCTCATTTAGAACCCCAATCCTTCCTCAAATCATAACCATCCAATCCCTTTCTCTCTATCAATTTACTCATCTCAACATGGTTCTCTCCAACTGTGCTCACTTCGACCGTGAAACTCCTAGCTCGGAGTTGTCAGAGATCATGACCTCAGCTGATTCGTACTGCCTCAAGTACTTCCCCATTGAGGGCTTGGGTCAGACTAGCCGTGATATCCTCGCAGCCGGAGGCGCCAAGTGGGAAAACCTTTTCCCAGAGGTATTTTATCAATCTTATTGTTGCTGTTTTTTATTGTTGTCGCAGGACATTACTTTACAACTAGCAATGGTACATCCCAACGACAATAGTATCTAATGAAACGACTCTCATTTTTTAAACTATCGTTCATGATCCATTAGAACTGGGCTACGGAGAAGGATCAGACTCCTTTTGGATGCATGCCTCTTCTTTATATTAACAAGAACGGAAAGGTAAAATGAAGAATTAAAAAAAAAAAAAAAAAAAAAAAAAAAAAAAACTTGTAATATTATGAAAACCATCTACTTTTCTTCTGACTTTTTTTTTCTTTTTTTCTTTTTTGGTTCTAGGAAGTGGTCATCTCCGAGTCAGCTGCAATTGATTTCTACTTGGCCAAGCAATTTGGCATGCTAGGCTCGAATCAATATGAGGAGGCATTGATCGGAGCCTTCTATACCTCAACCTCATCTGTAATGATTACCTTTGTTTCCCAAGTTACCTGGAACCAATCCGAAGCAAAGAAGGCTTCCCTTGAAACATTTAAGGAGCGTTCATTCAAATACTGGGTTAAGGCCCATGAGCGCCACTTGATTGACAATGGTAGCAATGGACACTATGTCGGCAACGAGGTAATGGTCATTCTTTTTTTTTTTTTTTTTTATACTTGTGAGCTTGCATGAAACATTTTAGATGTAACATAGTGAACTAATATAATAATTGGCATTCTTTTTTTCTTTTCTTTTCTTTTTTTTTTGTATTTATTCCTGGTTCTATTAGCTGACTCTCGCTGATATCAGGACCACTGCCTTCTTTAACCATCTCTCTCATCAGCCTGAGGGCCCTGAATTGATGGAGATTGTCAAGGCGGCCCCTGCACTCTGGAAAGTCATGGAGACTGTCAACAATCACCCCAAGCTGGCCAAATATCGTGCAAGCGAGGATTATAAGACCTTGGTTGAGAATACAATTGGCTTCTACAAGGACCCATTTGCCGCTGTTGCTGCTATGGCGGCCAAGTAAACGAGAAATACTTTAAAGAAGTTTCTTGAGTATATTAAAAGAAGACATTTTTGTCTGATTGTATAAATAAAATCGTGTCCTCAACAACTGCTATTCCACACATGTTTACTTATCAATGGTGCTCTCTCTCTCCATATCTCCGATTTTGGGTCATGAAATAAACCATGTTTAATTTTCATCATTCTCGATCAGCTACCAACCGCAGTTAAGAAGGCACCAAGGATGTACTTGATCTCTGTCAAGTACGCAAACCAAGCCCACATGCATATATTTATTAGACATTCGTGCGTTGCATGGGTACATATTTTAGGTATTTCAATCGATAGAGGAGGCGGAAATTCTCATGCCCCTCGCTATCTAAATTTCGAACCTTGTATACTGTATAAATTATGATTATGAAGGTTTCAGAAATGTTGAGAGAGGAGAGTACATGTACTGTACAGTCACCTGAAATAAAGTTTGACAAAATGGATTTTCTTGATTTTTTTTTGAACAACCTGGACAAACAGCTCATATGCAACATACATAAAGACTTCATCAATACACATGAAATTTTACATGCTCACTAAAGAGGTCAATACTGTTATTTATTGGGGTTTTGAAGACGGCATTGTTAGAGTAGCAAAAGTGCCATGTAGGTTCAATAGTGAGTGTTCCTACCATCGACCCCATTCACTTCTTCCAGCCTTTCGGGCATGGTAGCGACAAGGCTGGCCAGCCTCTCTTGCGGTAAATTATTCCACTCTTCGATAAGAGCCCGTGTGAGAGTGGGAAGATCTCTTGGCCCTTTAGCGCGCCTATCGAGTGCATCCGCAAGAAGTGACCATACATGTTCAATAGGGTTCAAATCTGGGGAGCATGAAGGCCAGTCTGGAATCCTCGGGATGCTGTTTTTTTCGCGCCATTCTTTTGCAATCTTACAAGTATGAACTGGAGCATTATCCTCCATAAGTATGCCATCCTCTACCTCAGCCATAAATCTGGCTAGCTCGCCTTGATATACATCTTCCACGAAACACCGTGCATCTTTACGACCTCTTTCAAATACAACCAACCGAGACTTGCTGGTTGCTGTGAACGCCCCCCAGACCATCAGAGTTGTTCTACCACTTTTGAAAGTGGGTGCGAGGCAATCATGATCGTACTTTTCCTCTACTTTACGCCAAACTCTTATTTGACGAAAATGCTCACCAACTTCAAATGATGATTCGTCAGTCCAAACTACCCGATTCCAGTCTTCCATGGACCAACTCATATATTTTTTGACAAACTGCAGCCTCCTTTTTATATGTCCTTCTTTTAAGAATGGTTTTTTTACTGCAATCCGGCTGAAAATACCCAGTGAATGCAATGCCTTCGCAACTGTCCTCTCGCAAACTTTGTTCGGCAATTGGTTAGTGATATCATTAAGAGTACACCTTCTATTCTGCTTAGTATGGCGAACGATGCTCCTGAGGTCCCGTTCACTTAGTACTTTGGGCCGTCCTGGGATCGGAGTGCAAGCAGTGGTGCCTCCTTCTTGGTACACCCTGATAATATTAATAACAGAGGTTCGGGGTACACCGCGTTGCAATGCGATTTCCGCAGCCTTCATGCCCACGAGGTGCATTCCAACGATGATACCTTTATTCTCAATGTCTAAGTGTCTCGCCATGGTGGTTTACTCAAGCTGTTTGTATGTGAAAAACAGGAAGGAAAGAGATTGAAGGAAACGCTTCCCTACGTAACTATTTCAATATTTTATTTTTTTGTCCAATCTTTGTTTCAGGTGACTGTACATGTACTTCAAGGGATACGAGGATTGAGTTGATGGCAGATCTGCTGAATTTTTTTTTTTTTTTTTTTTACTACATATTGGATCGCGACCAAAAACGTGTTTTTCTTGGCAGTATTCAATATCGGAAAAAAGATATTTGCACGGCCCTGTGCGAATATTTTTTTTTTTTTTATTTGCACAAGGAGTTATTATCTTATCTCAGTCTTTCAAGTAAAAAATCCGCCTTGAATTAGTGGAGTGGACTATTTTTAAATAAGAACATCAATAGACAGGAAGCATTAGGATCGCATAAATACGTTGGTGCGTCTCTAACCGTTACTGTCACTGAATTGTAGCTGGATGTTATAATTAAAAAGCTACATTGAGCCTACAGCGGCGAGCCTTTTTTTTTTTTTTTTTTTTTTTATTGGATATCAACAAGCTCAACAGGAACTCCTGTGCTTCTCATCAACACAGAATTGTCCTCAGTGAAGGTCTCAATGGACGGCACATTGTGAACCGTTGTTCTTCCCTCAAGAACCAAGTGCTTACTACATGCTACTATATCCAATCTACAGAAGAGGACGCTAGATGTAACAGTCCGTTCAGTGCTAAGCGAGACTGCACCTAAAATTGTGACGAAGTTTACTTTAAGCATGAATGGCTCCTATCAGAGTGAGCGACAAATGGAACCTGTTATATACCTTCGATTTAAAATAATTTTAAAGGAATCTATAATGGATCCATGGAGCGATTACTTGTATAAACTATTATAACCATAGAAATAGTAAAATTATGCCATTTTATGATGACTGTATGTTATTGCGCCGGAGCCTTGAGAAGCAGAGATCACTCACCTAGGCTATCGCTATGATATGGACAATGAGTTTAAATTTATCCAATAATTGCTATTTCTCACGACTGGTTTTAAAAAATGAAAAAAAAAATACCGTCATGCAAATAACTTCATCATTTAATACTTTCGTATCCTTAAAGTTAATAAGGAGTCCAATATAAAAGAGCAAAACATAGTGAAGAGAGTGGGATTCGAACCCACGCCTACGAATAGACCGCGGCCTTAACGCGGCGCCTTAGACCAACTCGGCCATCTCTCCATTGTTGAGATTTAGGAGTCTAGAATGTCAATAGTACTAGAGTTTTTTGTGACAAAGCTCGAGTTCACGTGCTTCGATACGTGACTTAGTATGGCCTTACAGCCAAGCTGTAACTGCCTTTGACGGCCAAGGAAGACCACTCAATGCTATAGATTATTGGACACCGCTTTGCTTACGACTTAGGAATGGGTTCGGTGAATTGTTTATAGAGCTAACATTTTAATATATTTTATATGACCTCATAGATCCTTGTTATCAAAACCAAGAAAAAAACGATTGACTTATTGCAGGATTTTCTTCAGCATTATTGCCGCCTTGGCACACTGTAAAAGAAGAAGTTATAGATAGGATTAATCTGTTGTTCATACAGGAAGTTCGGAGTACCTTGAATAGTTGATATTGTTGACAAGTTACAAAAGAAAAAAACGTCATTGTGGTCTGTGCACTTGTTCCTTTAATTCTGTTTTTTGCAATCCGGACAGTACAGTTCGTGTTTCTGATTTGGGGCAACCCATTTATAGAGCTAACATCTAAATAAATCCTACATGACCTCGTGGGTCCTTGTTATCAAAAAAAAAAAAAAAAAAAAAAAAAAAGTTCGTGTTTCTGATTTGTTTATTACATGTTTCCTGTCGCCTTTTCTTGAACATTAATGATTAGTATTTGCTATTAAGTAAGTCAGCAGGATGGTCGGTTTCGACTGTTCTATCGGCGAGATGCCTCCTGTGGATGGTTAGCCAAGAATCTGTGAGGAGCGATCAATTTGCTCTATTGGAAGAGCACAAGAGTAAACTTTTCGGAACCTACTGGCAATCCTTTCATCGAGGACGTTGGTACTAGTGTTTAACATTGGGTTGCAACGATGTTAATGATCAAAGAGGTTGCAATTGATACTACCAATGGACCGTGAGTGTGATGTGACGAAAAGCAAACTAAGATGTGTTTTGAAAATATATAATAGTCTTTGTGATGGGGACAAATCATGGAGTTGGATTATGTTTGTTTCGGGTGTTGGCTAATCCTTACACCCTAACATAATGGTAAAATATAGTTCTTTCACTAAAACAAAAAAAAAAGAAAGATAAAGGGAGTACATGTGTTGGTCAAGTCCATATTTCATTATTCATTAAAAAAAAAGAGCTTGGAGATCTTTTTGTGAAATGAATCTGGAACGGGACAAGTGTAGAAGAGAGAGGAGAGCCGAGGTAAACAGTTTCATCCTACATCTTCCTTGCATGTTTTGATGAGACTGTGTAGCCTAGTGAACAACACGCATCATTGAGTGACCTGTCAGACATAAATGAACAGTTTAATATTCGTGTGCATGTAAATTGTAAATGGTGGCACATGTCTAATGGGCTCGCTTTTTTTCTTTTTTAACTGACTGGAAGGCTGTACATGTCTTTTGTGGGTTTCCGAGAGCAAATGTCAGCATGTACATCTGTATTCTCTAGTGCGTGAGTCTGCATCCCAATCAATGCATTCTGTTATCATTCGCGAAATCAACCAATTAAAGAGAGATAGAAGAAACGCAATTCCCCTGACATGATGTCTTCGCCCAAATGCAAAAAAGAAAAAGCTGCCTGTCTAAATTGAACCCGTAATATTCCTCCCTTTCCACCCTCGTTTCTTCTCGGGTCGTGTAGCGGGGCAGATATTTTTTTTTTTTTTTTTGCTTCTTTTGGCATTCCCGTCATAAATAAAAATTTCTGTTGCGCATTGAATCAATCAAATCAAAATCCTTTAATACGCCAATTTGAAATTTCTCACATATCCATCTTTCCATTGCTTCTTTCTCCTCTCCTGTCTCTCCAGTTTCTTTTCTTTTCTCTTATTGTACGAACCATTCTATTGTGCCATATACCTTACTCTGATTGAGCCAAGTCATAAGAAATGCCTTCTTACACTTCTCCAAACTTGTCTTCTCAACAAAATCAATATCACGAATCCTCCAATAAACCACATATCCTAATCGTTGGCGGCGGCATTGGCGGCCTCACTCTCGCGATTTTGCTTCAACATGCTCATATTCCATACACAGTCCTTGAACGCTCTTCCAATGTCCGATTGCTAGGATCGGCGATCGCACTTGGACCGGGCGTACTGCCACTGTTTGAACAGGTGGGCTTATTGGAAGAGATTGAGCAAAGCTCTCGCCCTGTGACTCGAGGTATGGTCTGGAGTGAGAAGTTAATTCCCATTATGGACCTGGACCACACTTCAACCCAAAAGAGGCAAGTAGATCAACGAGGACAAGGCAACCAATGCAAGCAAACACAAGGAGCATCATTTGCTGTGTACTGTTATTTTATTTTAAAGTTGTAATGACTGATAAAAAAAATTGTTACATATTTGAAAATAACAAATTAGATATGGGTCTTTGACCAGAGTCATTGCACGACCCACACTATACCAGATCCTACTTTCACATGTTCCTTCTGAAAAGCTGTTCATGGGCAAAAAGGTCATATCATTTACACAGCAGCATCAACATCGGTCAGCTACAGCTGGAGGCCCAAGTGTGGAATCGACTGGATACAAGCAGCAGCAACACCCCATTGTCATTCAATGCGCGGATGGATCACAGTTTTCAGGCGATATCCTTGTCGGGGCTGATGGTGCTTACAGTATTACACGACGTTTATTATATCAACAGATAGAGAATGATTATATAGCATCGGTGTCTGGACAGGTCAACATCCCGCCTTCATCCTCACTTCCTTCACCATTGCCAGCTTGTGATAAGGAGCTACTATCTTTCACTTCCACCTGTCTTGTAGGCCAGACACGCCCGGGACTAGATTTGAGTAAATTCAAGTACGTCAGAGGACCAGACTGTAAAGTCGGCAGTATTATCGGAGACCATAAGCCGTATTCTGTAAGTAGATAAGAAATCCCTTTCTCTATATTTTGGTTCTTATTTGCTTACTGTCGATCCCTGGAGCTGACATGGTAAAAATATTTGATTCCCGATCCCTTTTTAATACTGTAGTGGAGTGTATTCAGCATGCCTGACGACTCAATTTGCTGGATGGTGACTGAGCATCTTGGAGAGTCCTTTTCTGCAGTCTCGCCTGCTTCATCAGTACCTTCACTTTCATCGCCTTCCCCTCGCAGTGCATCACCTGCTCCATCCGCTTCCTCTACTTGTTCAAAATCCGATGAGGCCAGCTCAGAATGGGGGCCATTACAGGTTGATATTATGTGTGAACAAGTCAAGGACTTTCCAATCCCCTGCGGACCCGGACTCAAAATGTCGGATCTGATCCAGAATACAGACAGAGACAAAATTTCCAAAGTCATGTTGGAAGAAAAGCTCTTTGAGACGTGGTCATATGGGCGTGTGGTATTGCTTGGCGATGGTATGGATTTGCTTAGAATTGGATTTTTCTTATTCTTATTCTTATTCTTATTTATCTATTTTAATTTTTGGAATGCAAAAAACTGACAATCATTTGTTTCATTAAATTATAGCATGCCATAAAATGCACCCTTCAGCCGGTTTAGGTGCAGTTGCTGCAATCCAGGATGCAGCTATTCTTTCAGACCTCCTTTATCAACTACCAGAATCGCCATCACTGCAGGATATCCAACAGGTATTCGAGATCTATCGCGAGGATCGGTATTGTATGGCGCAGCAGTCGTACGAAACTAGTTACCAGATGTCAACCTTGAATGAGCAGGTAATTGGCTTGACAACGATAGCTTCCATCTAGCTGTATTGTGCTAGCCTTTGGTCCTACTTAATAATAATTGATAACTTCACTAACGTGACCTTCATTTAAATTTACATCCCTGTCTTTAGTCCTGGATCTCTAATTTCATCCGGAAGGTTATGAATAATCTGCCCAAGTGGATATGGTATCGCGTGCTTGATCGTATGTATGAGTACCGTCCACAAGTATCATTTCTACCTAGAGTACAAGATCGTGGCGAGATGCCTCCATTGCCGCCTTCATATACGACCTATAGCAATGGATTTGATATTGACATCGACTAAGAATAGAGAAATGTACAGCTAAAAATTTCTCTTACACAACCATACCACTCATCAAATTTGATCCATTTTTGTTTTTGTTTTTTATTCATTTCTATTTTGATTTTACTTTATGAATATGCATTAACGGCCCGACATTACTGAAGGACGATGTCCTTGAGATTGTGCTTTGAACACTATATCATCCGGACTGGGTGTATCAAACTGGAAAACCCTTGCGGGTGTTACTGTTCCGGTGTCTTTTCCTGCTTCTGAACTTAATTTGATCCTGCGTAAAAGGAGCTCTGGATTCGTGGCTTGGAGAAGAGAAGCTGTAGAAAGCGCAATAGGAGACGGAGTCGGCTCCAGTTTTTCGAAAATTGATAGCGCAAAATGAGATGGTGGAGCAATCATAGACGAAAATCCTATTACAGCAGGCGTTGAATCCTCTCCTTGTTCAGATGTTGTTAAAATATCATCAGCCAAATTCGTTCGAGCAGCTGCCTGTTCAACAGCGTTGCCTTCTGATTGTGAGTTCATGTCAACCGCAATCTCGTTTTCAGAGGTCTCCTGGGTATATGATGCTATGTTTTTAGAGGCCTGTGACTTCTCCGATAGCGGCTTCGAAGGGTTGGATACTGATGGTAGTGGCTTTCGAGGCTGTAGTGATGATGAAGCTAAGCTAGACAGTGAAGGAGAAGATGATTCCATTGAATGCGAAGCGGTTAGTTTCGACGAAAATGCGCTCTTCTGGTCCCCTCTAGGCTCTCCGTCGCTTAGAGTGGCTCCTGCCCGGGCAGTCAGTCCTAGTGATGACCCGGTCAGGCCAGTACCATACGTCGTTCCAGATGTGGAGATAGATGACGATGGTAATCCCGATTGAGTAAGTTTGTTCGTAGACGATGTATTCGGGCTAGCAAGTGATGCCAGTGACTTCCGAGGCGGCGCAGCGTTTTGACTCGCTACAGACAATTCTGCGAGCGAGGATGAAGCTCTTGAAGTTGACGATGAGGTAGATGGCGAGTCATTGGATATATTTGTATCTGATCGGGCTTCGGATGCTACAGGGCCCGTTGCGTCTCGAGAGTGGGCTAGTGCTGCCAGCGATGGTCGCTCTGAGGTGCCTCCAAGCCTTGGTCCTAGTCCTGTTTGACCAAAACTACTGTTATTCTTACTGCTATTTGCCGAGGACGAAGCTCCAACTAGACGAGTCAATCCTCCTGCAGGTCGCGCCAATCCTGCTCCAACATTATTAGATCCCTTTGCAAGTTCTTGAAGAGACGACCCGTGATTGTTGCTACCGATGAGCCCCTTGCGTGCTCCTAGACTTGACAAACCTCTTCCATTACTACCTCCAGTCGCTGCCCCTGCTGCAAGACTAGTAAGATTTTGTCTAGGTTTGACTCCCGATGCCAATGCGGACAATGAAGGGGGTGCATCCGAGTCTATGGTTGTAGTTGAGGCATCAGGAGCTGATGGGGCCCCATTTTTCTTCTGTATGTTCTTTGTAAGTCCTGCTAACCGTGACATAAGTTGTTAATGAGTTCAAAGATGGAAGTGTGAGTAGGCTGCAACATGTGGGAGTCTCTTGTCAGCAGATCGGCACGTGACCATACGCTCCAACCCTGAAACACTAATCAGAGTACAGACAACGCATGGGGCCAGTCTGAAATAAGCAATAGACGCATGGGATGCATGATATGGAAATGCACAGTTGTAAGTCAACTTGTAACATCCTCTTGCGTTACAATGCGTTAAAACGACGTCAATAACGTCGTCTTGTGTACACAAAATATCACAAGCTATGCTGTCATTGCAACTATTGTGTGAGCACAAATGGAAACATACTGATTATTCAATCTCAAAGTCAAAGAACCGAGGGTATCCAGCCGAGTATTATATTAACTTACTACTGGCTATTTCCATTTTGCCTCGGACGGTGCAAGGTGAATGAACTCAATCATAGAGAGACATGATCCGGTATCCAGCCAGAATTGTTTCATTATGAAATGGTCAACACTCAACATGACGGAAGACGCACTATAAATTTATAGACTAGGGGCTTCGATGTAAAACTCGTATAAAAAGCCTATCCTCCTCACACTCGAATAGTTCACTCATTCCAACACATTATTCATTTTACTTTTTACATTCTACTCATTGAACCATGGAACAGAAACCAAAGTCAGCTCTTGGCAGGGCTCTTTCGCGCTTCGGCCGTAAATCAGCGCAACATCCACCTGCTGCTAGTGCAGTCGCGCCAGAGCCCACCGCTCCTGCACCTGAGGCTGCTCCCAATTCGAAGCATATCGCAATCGACACCCGCGCTACCAACGAACCCAAGCCTACTTCAGCCCTTCCCCAACCTGCTATTGATACCAGCGGTACTGGGGCACCAGTTATCGGAGATGAGCACAACCATGTAAGCGAGCCGACAGGTCCTTCAACGCCTTATACTACTTCTCCCAACAGCCCTATCATACCTGCTGCAGAGCCAACAGACTCGAAGCCAACTATATCGGCTCCTTCGGCAGGTAGACATGATAAGTCTGCCACTGTTGATCCCCTTCGCAATTCCACACCGCAGCCACGCGAAGGTACCATTTCACCTAACAACAGTACACAAGGTGGGCTCTCAGGCACAGAAGGTGCCAATAACCAAGAGAATGGTCTCAACCCTGCCAATATTCTACTGAACCGTCTTGAGGCCTATCATTTAATTATCAAGAGCCTACAGCAATACTTTATGGAGATTGCAACAGTTGAAAGTGCAGGGTCTAAAGCTATGCACAAAGCTTCTACTGTAGTCACAGTACCTTTTAAAGACGGCAATCAGTTTCTGGGAAGGGGAGGCTTACAGGATGTCTTTGTAGGCATTCGAGACTCCGCCAAACTGAGGGGTGACCAACATGCTAATGCGGCGAGCTTTGTAGAGGAGACAATTGTGAAGAATTTTCGACGATTGAAACAAGATGTCAAGAACCAGATAAGGTTACTCAAGTCTGATGCGAATCTGCATGAGACCAAAGTTTTTAAGGAAAGAGAAATTACGCAAGAGAAGATTACTGCTCTTGCTAAGGCTATTGGGTTGCTGGAGAAAGGTGGAGGGCCTCTGCCTGAAACGGAGAAGGTGCATTCTGATCCATATGTCATTAACCTTGGTAAGTTTAATCCGATGGATGTGAAAATATGAAGACTATATTGCATTAATAGAACTTAAAAAACTAAACACTTTATGCAAAATCTTTCCTAGCATTGCGCCACCAGCTCACAAAACAAGTCCATGAGGAGAACTTGTTTGCTCGAGCATTTCGACAGTGTCAAGAACGGATTATGATGTTTGAGAAACAGCTTATCAATGAGGTCAAACAGACCCTAAACGCTTTTGCCCAGTTTCAGGCTGGAAACAACGTCGGTGCTAACTTCTCTCAATCCTGGGCGCCTACAGCGAGCGCATTGAATGCGCTACAAGAGGACAGTGAATGGAAGCACTTCTTTGAGCTGCATGGCCACGAGCTCTTCCCTTTGGAGCTAGTGGATGCAAATCCAGAAGAGCTGGAATATCCATGCAAAGATAGCCAATGTTTGGTTCCAATCAAAGCAGCTTATATGAGTCGAATGTCTTCAGTTCTCAAGAACTGGAAAGACGGATACTTTGTACTTACACAGGCTGGCTGGTTGCATGTCTTCCCTTCGGCGGACCTTCTCCATACATATAATCCCGAGAAGTCCATTTATATCCCGACTGCTGTTCTGGGTCCACACAGTGATCCGGAACAAAGACAACACGTGTTCACAATTGATGGAAAGGGAACAGGCCTTCTTCATAGAGACGCCCAGTCATTCACGTAAGTTTCTCTTTTTTTTGTGACATATTAAGTCGCAGCCGTCGTAATCTCTCTTAATCAAACCATGTGTATAGAGAAGCAACAGTAAAGTAATACTTATTAAATCCTTTTTGTTTCCTTAGCATTCGTGCTAACTCTCGAGAAGAGATGCTCGAGTGGTGGAGTGAAATCTCCAAGCGCGCACACTCAACCACGTTCACTCATGCAGGCGATGGTCGCCTAGAAGGAAACCTTTCTCGCAGCGGATCGGTAACGCGAGGTTCCACTGTAAACCCAGCTGCATCCACACAACAACAGCAACCGACCACGCAACAGCAGCCCGTGCATCAGCAGCAGCCCGTGCACCAGCAACAATCCTTGCCTCCGACTGCTCCTCAGGGTGATACTGCTGCTACCACCAATGCTCCTCTTGCCGGCGCTGGTATCAACAGTAGTGTCATGCCTCCTACACATGAGCCTGCGATTGCTGCTAATAACGAAGCAAATGTAGCTCCTCCGCATACCGCTCCTGCTACTATGCAGCCTGGCCAGTCCGCTCAAGAGCCAATTAATGCGCCAACTAATAATGGGGCAACCATGGCTCCTGCGAACCTCCCTCCAACCGCAACCCAGCCTATTCAACAGCAAACCCAACCAACTCAACCAGCTGAATTGAACCGTCGAAACACAGGTTCAACAAGCTCGCTTCGTACGGAAGAGCTTCCCGTGCTCCCAGTTCAATAAACAGAGAGATATTTGTTGCTTTTTAATATCAGTTAATCAAAGTTCTCAATAAAGAACAAATTACATTTTTTTCTTGTGCACGGGCACCATGGCAATAGAAAAATTTATGCAAGCCACTGCTGGATCAAAAGAATTATTATTATTTTTTATTCACTCTGAACATCTCATTCAGTTACTCTTTCATCTTCATGGCCAAGGACAAGAAGCCTCGTGGATTGGGACGTTCCTCCGGTGTTGCAGCAGCTACGGGCGCGACTGGGAAGAGCGCTAGTCGCTTCAACCCGCTTGCGAGCAGTTCCAAGGATGCAGCAGGCAAATCCAAGACTAGGAAGGATCAGGATAGTGACCAAGACCAAGTTATGTCTGAGGCGCTATCTACCTCAGAGTTATCACGGCATCATGCGGCAGAAGGAGAAGAAGAACAGGGGAAAGGGGATGAAGAGGAACATACTGCTAGTATTGCACTCAAGGAAGGCGAAGCTGGGGATGAATTGGCAGAGCTTCGCCAAACGTATGAAGCAGCTCAGAAACAGTTTGCAGAATCAGGAACGCAAGAGTATTTACGGGGGACGATTCACGAATGTGACAGGATGCTACGTAACTGTGGTGAGGAGGTTTATGCTAGTAGTGAATTCAATTATATATATGCGTCTGCTTTGCATGAGTTTTCGTTGATCGGAGCAGAGGATGAGGAGAGAAATGGATTTGTGGAGTTGGCATTGGAACATATTAGTCATGCAGCTGATCTGTTGAATAAGGAGAAGGACCAAGCATGGTTGTGGAAATACTACCTTGTTGCTGGTAAATTGAACCTTCAAAAGGTAACGAAAAAAAAAAAAAAAAAAAAGCTGTTTAGATGGCATTTTATATTTTGATAACCCTTCATTTATTTCTAATTTTTTTATATGTATATATATATATATTTAAAAAAAAACCCAGGCTGACGCTCTGTACGAAGAACAAGAAGCAGCATCATCCAAAAAGCAGTTTAAGAAGCTAGGAGATCAAATCCACGCAACACTATTACAAGCAACTAACTTGTTGGACACCGGATTTAAATTGATCCCTGAACGCGAAGAGAAGCATGTAGTCCGACTAGATGCAGACAAGTCAATTGAAAAGGTCAATGTTAAGGAGCATGAGATGGTCTCTGCAGCTGCGAATGTAGCCTTGCATGCAGATCGCTTTGAGGAATATGATCGCAGGAAACAGTGGAATACCTGGGCATTGGAAACCTACGAGAAAGTGACACAAGGTAAAGGAATTAAAAAAAGGGAGGTATAGAGGTATATTGTCCTTTGTTTACAGGGCTAACCTCGGATGACATATACCTTCTTTAGATACCCCTAATAACCTGGAAGCATGGCAAGGCATTGCAACATGTATGCACTCAATTGTTGGATGGTGGGCAGACCAGGCAGATGATGAGGAAGAGGACGATGAAGATCCGGATCAAGATGAGGAGGAGCCTGAGGATGAATATAGTCTTCCTGTGTATAGTACAGAGCGCGGTCAAATGTCATTACAAGCTGTGGAGGCTATCAAAAAGGGCATTGAGCTAGCACGCAAGTCTGAATCGCTAACAAGCGATCTTTTGACATTGGTGAGGGCTTTCTCCTATGCATTTTTGGGTGTTCTACTATATTAGCTCTAGCATGATGATTATTATTTTTTGTATTCATATTCGAGTACCATAACATTGTCTACAAATAGGGTGCTGAATGCCATTTGAATCTTGTGAATATTGCGGTCGGAGACAAGGCAGCAGCGGAGCAATCTAAACAGGCTGTTACGTTGATCAAGGAGGCAATATCAACGTTCCCAGATCCTGCTCTAGAGGAGCGGTATGCAGAAGTTCTCCAGGAATTTGAGGAGATTGCTGGCAACAAGTGAGTGCTGGACACATATACATACAAAAATTAAAAAGAGAAATGAGTAAATAATAATAATGGTATGAAAAAAAAAAAAAGAATAAATACGAATATGGACATGTAGACTCAGAATGGATCTTGGGCCAAACTTAAAATAGACAAAGTTGCAAAGTATATCTATACAATTCGATCATTGTCTGATAAGATCCATCAAACACAAAAATGTGTAAACATTATAACAGTTTCTGCTTTTTTTTTTCTTTCTTCATCCGCAGATCCAACTTGAATCAACTGGTAAGCAACACATCGCTGTCTGCTTTACTATGCATACTCTCATCATTCCTCATGCAATTCTCACATTTACTTCCTCAATGCACAAGTACTCAAAAGCTTTTTTTTTTTTTTTTTTTTTTTTTTAACATCCAATAGAAAAAAACAAATGACAACGCTTTCTTTCGATCCTTCACACCCACCCAAGGCACCTCTTTCAGGGAGCAATTGTGGCTCATTTGGATATACTACCCTCCAGAGACGTTTGCCAGTCATTGTTTCTAAGATTGTAGATGATGTCTATAGGGCATATAATGCACTGTCAGATACCGACCCACTCAAGGCAGAAAAGGAGCAAGAAGCTAAAAAAATAATTGAGACCATTGGAGGATTGAGATACGAGTTACAGCGCGATAAGCCCTTTCGGTAATGATGAATAACTAACTACTTTTTTTTTTTTTTTTTTTTTTTTTTTTTTTTTTAAAAAAAAAGAATTTATTTCCGTCATGTTTCTCATTGATCGATCTTTTTTTTTTTTCTAGACCGTTCACTGATACACTTCCAGATGTTGAGGAATGGAATCAAACTTTAGCAAAATACTACCCAAATTCATCTTGGTACAAAGCTTCGTGGCTCTTTTCAGAATGCTATCTTTATCGTCGTGTCAAAGAGGCTTTTGCATTGACACAGCATTGGCGTCAATATGATCCGTTTTTTGAGCAGAAGCAGACTGTCTTCAAGTCATCTCAAAAGGCCGTGGTCGCGATCGCAGTCCAGTTGATGTCCCCTACGAATGAAAATGATCATCTGTCTGCGCTGGACGTTTTGGTCAGTAAAGGGCCGGAATCTAAGGGCACAAGAGAAGCTTTCCTTGAATTGACTCAAATCTGTCTTTGGGGCAATGCTACAGATTTGTCATTGCTTGATAACCCAGATCTAGAAAAGGTGGAGGAATTACAGCGCAGGTTGATGGGAAATAGGCACCAAGCAAAGAATAGTGGTAACAGTAGTAATACCAACAATGACAGTTCATTATCTACCTCAGAAGACTCTTCAACAGTCAATGCTGATCAGTCGCAGAGGGAGCATAGAGAAGACCAAGAACCCACTGAGCTAGAGAAGCATGCTGAAAAAATCTTGCAGAACGACACTGAATTATTGTGGCAGAAGGTTAAGGCCATGCGCAATGGGCGCGTCGATATTATTCTGGACAATGCAGGTGAGTTAAACAAAAAAAGTCTTTTTTTTTTTTTTCTATGAAAACATTGCATTTCACCGTTATGTTTCCCTTCAAAATGCATTCTATTAACTTGTATGTTTCTATTCGCCCATAGGCTTCGAACTGTTTGTTGATCTTGTGTTTGCGGATTATTTGGTCCGTGCAGGATTTGCATCCACTGTTGATTTCCACGCTAAAAATATCCCTTGGTTTGTCTCGGACGTAATCCCATTTGACTTTCAATGGACTATTGACCAACTTTACAAAGCAGGCGAGGATGAGGACAAAGACAATAATGCCACGGACACCTCAGCCACATCAACCTCGTTCTTTAATCCATCTGATGTGAATGAGCAAAAAGCACTCAAGGATCTGGGTAAAAGATGGCAAAACTATCTCCAGCAGGGTGTCTGGAAGGTGGGGACTCATGATTTCTGGACATCGTGCTTCGCGTTCTATCATCTTCCCAGTCTACCTTCCGCTCGAGATTTATTCCAGGATATGAAGAAATCAGATTTGTGGATCTTTAAGGGCGATCTAAACTATCGTAAACTGGTTTACGATTGTCAATGGCCCACAACAACACCCTTCACAGAAGCCATTGGGCCATTGAGTGGTAAAGATATCCCCAGCTTAGTCTCGTTTAGGACCTGTAAAGCGGATGTAGTTGTGGGACTTAAATCCGGTGTTAAAGAAGAGGTGGAGAAGAAGGCCAAGGACTGGATGATCAGTGGAGAGTACGCTGTTATTTCATTTAGTCCATAGATTTCGTTGATTATTTGATAAATAACGCCGAGAGTATTTTAATAGAGAGTCTAGAGAAAAGCAGTGAGAAAAATACTAATGATCTGTGTGGTGTGGCTACCCACTACCTTGCATGTCTGTGTTCATTCCTCCAAAGGACTAAAAGAAGGGGAATTGAAAAAAAGGGAGTGCAGAACTTTGTGTTACGCACAATTATTCCTAGACCTCACCTTTGCTCTCACAGCATATTCAACCCTGCATTTTGACACTGACGTTCTGACTATCGCTCGCTGATGGTAATATTCAAGCTTAATTATACACCCATGGATTATTTTGAAAAATGTATTTTATTTTATTTTTTCCCTTTTTAAATCAGAAAAGCAATATCTTCCATATTTTACTTGGAGTTCGGTTCATTTCCTCCACTCATCGACGTGCCATAATCAGTCTACAACATGCTTCTATAGTTGCAACCTTCAGAGCCTCAACTCCGGTATGGTTCAAAATACGAAAGGGTTGAGTGTGCAAGTACAAGGCCCAAGTGTTACTCACGCGTTTCTGAAGACTTGGATGATCGTGTATCTTCTCAAATATGTTATTGAAGTCTTACCTTCCATTTTGACAGAGAAAAGCGCAAAGTAAAGTAAATTGTCATCATACCCGCCATAGAAACGTCAAGACTACACATCCATTGCTTATGTTTTATTGCGCCTTGTAGGCGCGTCTGGCACGGAGTCTCATCTCATGATTATCAATACTGCGCTTTACTTCATCCTCTTCACACCTAAGCCCAAACTGACTTAGATACCATCACTAGAGGATTCGTACGTGCTCTTCAATTTGAAAAGGTAACAAAAAAAAAAAAAAAAAAAAAAAAAAATTAAAAGAGTTGTCATAATGGGCTATGTAAATCCGAGGCGTACCAAAGCAGAAAGAACATCGAGATGACCTCCTTTACTCTACCGTTGGTGGTTTTAGTTTTAGTCACGTGGAGGGTTCGCCACCAACTATTTAACGAGCAACAGCTCAGGAAAATCTGGCTCCTTGTTCCTTCTTTTACACAAGAGCCATTTGAGTACTGACTGTTCTCGTTCAGTCTTTGAGTAGTGTGTTCTTTTATTGTGTTAGAGAGTTATCTCATCTATCCGTAGCTGGAAGTGACCGGCTTCACAACCCACTAAAACGACCCAAAATCTCCTATCATACATGCCCCCAAATTTTCCAACACCGTCATTAGCTTATTACGATTGTATTCCAGTACCAGAAAATTGCGACTCGTCCAGGATATATTACAAAACTCTATAGCAAATTCACATCCCTTGTTCCTTGCTGTCTCTATGTTTGTGTCCCACGCTTATTATTATGAAAATTATTGGGATGCAAGTCAAAGCTACATTATTTCGCTGTTTTTTTTTTTTTATTTTTTTTATAAAAGCATGACTTGTGCTTGACTGGCAGCCATGTGACAAGCCTCTTGTCACTGATATTTTGGAGAGAAGAGGATATTTCGCACATCTCTTATATCGCCAGTTTGATAAACTAAGGCGACTTATAGGCATCACCAACCATCCTGATAGGAAGGCAGCAATACAAGAGCGTGGTGCACAAGGGATAGTAAGTCCCTTGCTTTTTACTTTCTTCGGGATTTTTCCCATGCAACTGTACATTGATACCGTACAGCTGATTGAATAGACCCCGGTCAGTGTGATGTTTTTTATTCAGTGCTCTGGGAGCCACTGAACCTGACATTATACGTCAAGATAGGAATGCAAACATAAATTCATCAAAACAAAAACGGCATGCAACTTTCTCTATTATTTTTTCTTTTTTAATCATAAAACACTTTCTAAATGATTAAAAGAAACAATAAAAATGATAATGCGAAAATAAAAAATTGGATAGAGGAATGAGGGATAAAGTACAAATAACAGCAAAGTGGAAAGAGTGAGTAAATGAAAAAAGATTGGAAGGAAAGAAAGGTGTTGAAAAATTTTTTTTTTTTCCAGCAACTGAAAACATTTATTTTGATCTCTCTTAATGCCCCCGACAGAAATACATACGGTGACGGCGCCAATAAAAAAAAAAAAATTAAGCTTTTGTGTTTATTTCGATGCTTTGTGATCAGGAACTGAAGAATGGTGTGGCTGGTTACATTGAAAAACAAATATGAAAGGAAAATTTGAAATAACTGAACAATGTGTTGAGAAACTATGCATTGTTTCTCCAGAGCCAGCTCCTGCGATCTGGAACTTGACTTTTGGGTGAACTTGGAGAGTGATCTTCCGTTGGTACACTATTTAAATCAATATCAACCAGGCATTGATGATAGTTAGCAACATACTTGAGATCGAGATAAAAAAAAAAAAATAGCGGTGTATTCATTACCCATTGTCGACAGCAGCAACTCCTCCACGAAGAGGCTTGGCGATTCTGCCGAAGTTTACGGCTGCAGATTTTTGAGCTAGGATAAAAAGTAATTTGACAATAGGTTAATGCTAGTTTTTCTTTTTAAATAAGTAAATAAGTGATCCCGCTGTGCTTATTCTTACATCGTGCTTGCTCGAGACGCTCGCGGAGCGCCCGGAGTTGAGTCTCGAACCTGAATGAAATTAAAAAAAAAAAAAAAAAAAAAAAAAAAAAAAAGGGTGAGTGAAATGTACAAGGATCAATCAACAGAGTCTTTGACTTTAAAATAGCGAACGATACATACTTGTGATTCTGAGAAGTCAAATTCTCTTGAGCATCTTGCAAGAGACCCTCTAGATTGGCAATACGCTCGTTGCGAGCAGCGAGCTTGCGTTCTGAGATGGCAACCTCCTTCTTGAGTGCAGAGTTCTGTTCTACAAGCTTCTTCTGTACCAGCGTTAGCTGCTCTAGATTACGCTCCAAGAAAGCCATTTTTTGTTGCTGAGCCTTGTTATTGCTATTACGAAGAACGTTGTTATACTGCTCTCGTGTCTCATCCAGCGAGATCTCAAGCTCAACCACCTTTTCGCATCGGTTCTGAAGATCACGCATGAGGGCTTTCTTCATCACGTCAAAGTCAGCCAGTTGCTGGGCCATAGTCTTACGGATACGCTCCATATCGCGTTCACGCTCCGTCATGTCCTTACCCTCCCATAGACCGCTGCTGGTATGATTGCTCTGGCGCTCAAGTTGTTCTTTGAGCTCCTCATTGCCACGTCGAAGATCTGTAACATTGGAACTCAGCCGCTGGATATCCTCATTGCGACGCGCGATTTCCTGTTTAAGTGCTTCAATCTCCTGTTGGGCTTGATCCCGCTTGGCAGAGTACTGGGCCTCAAGCTTGACTCGCAGCTCTGAAATTGTTTCCAAGACATCAATGGAAGAGTTGGCTTCTTCATCTGCAATAGTCTTGTCCAACAACTCTTCATACTCCAACTCTGCTGTCTGAAGACGCATCTCCAAAGCGTCTCTGTTCAAGGTCAGTGAAACGTTCTCATTGTTCAAATCAGCAATAGTCTGCTCATGCTGCTCAATAAGAGACCGTGCTTGAGCAATCTCTTTACGGAGTGCAGAAGCCTCCTCAGGGGTGAGACCTGCAGGTGACTCAAACTTAGAGAGGGTCTCACGCATTTGTGCTTCTTTGGCAGAGAGTTCTCCAGATGGATCCAGATTGGCCATCATTTGAGCCATCTTCTCCATCTTCTTCTTCTCTTTGTTGTCTTCATTCGAGTCCTTCTGGGCAAGACGTATCTCCATAAGAGTCTTCTTGAGCTCTTCCAACTCTTTAGACAATTCCTGATTAGCCTCGCGCAGACTATCTACAGTGATTGCACCCTCTTTACTCTCATACAAAACTTTTTCAAGCTGCAACTTGAGGTCGTTTAGCTCGTGCACCGCGTTTGGTGAGTCTTGTTCTTTAAGGAATGTGAGCTCCTCCCTCATCGAGTCCACCAACTGTTGCCTTGCAAGCAGCTCAGCCTCCTTCTCAGCGATTTGGTCTGTCAGCTCGTTCTCACGCTTCAAGAACTCTTCTCTCTCATCCAACTCTAGCGCCACTGCAGGTGTTGAGGGTCGGGATGTATCCAATTGCGTCATGTGGCCAGGCAAACTGGACAATGGCGTTGCCCCTCCGCCAACTTGAATCTTCTCCATACTGGCCCAATCGGTCTTGGGGACAGTACCACCCTGTCGCCAAATAGTGACCTCTCCTTCCAAAGCAGCAATATACTGTGTGAATGTCATAGCCTCGGTCTTGGCCTTTTTAAGTAAGAGCTTGAGTTCAGCTGCACTGAGTTCTTGATTAACCTTGGCCTTGTTTTTGATACTCTTGGCTCTAGTACCGAATCTGAGGGTACCAACTGTTTCAGCATCGTTATAGGATGATGGTGAGCAATTGATAATCAAGGTCGTCCTGGAATTTCCTCCCAGAGACTCTTGTAAGATTCTTGTAAGTTTACTGTCACGATACGGAATATGAGTAGACTAGCAAATACATGATAGGTCCAAATCCTTACTGACGTTAGACCGAGTTTTTTAAGTTTCAAAGTTTGTTTGGAAATATGCCGTTCCTGCGTTACCTTTCCGTCAGTCAAAGCGTTGATGACCATTCCCAAAGCTGAAAGTGATTTGTTAATCTTTTTTGCCTCCTCTAGTGTTTGACCGGAGGCTCCAGTCTTGCCGACCTTCTCAGAACCTGCCAAATCAACCAAGTATAGCTTTCCGCTCTTTACACTTCCATCGAGCAAGTTCTTTTGCGAGATAGTAACCACAAAAATGGAGTGTGAACGAGAACTCTCAGCGTTCATGTCTGGATGAGTAATAGTAAAATAATTGCCAAATGTCAGATGGCTTTACATGTAATTGCTCTATTATTATTACATATCTTTAGTACACTCATGATGCAATAAGCTGCTTACTTGTGTATGCAACCATTCTGCTGTTGCCTCCGCGACGCATGACCTCATGAATTTCCGCGATTGAGCTCACATAAACCTCGAACAGCCCCTTTACGTACACTCCTCGATTTTTTTCTTCGTGAATCGGCAGATTATCATTGACGGCTATGTTTGTGAAAACAAGGATATAGGTTAGATGAATGATATAAGAGAAACTTAAGACATGATTTGTTAAGAAGTGCATTCGAAATGAGTAACTTACGATTCAACAGATCACGAATCTTTTCCATATAAATTTCCATGTACGAGACCTTGACTGTATATTCCATGGTCGAAGGTGACGCAAGGATACTTGCAAAAATTTTGTCCACGATACGAGGAATGATACCTTTTGTCTCCTCGTCGTCAATGGAAGGTCCCTACAAAAGCCAGCAGGCAGATCATAGTGTTGATATGTTATTAGAGATGGTTCCAAAAACTCGATTCAAGAGTTTGAGTACAGTACGTACCATCATTGTGAAAGTCTTTCCGGATCCGGTCTGACCATAGGCAAATACAGTACCGTTATATCCATTAATGACATCTAATAAGCAGCCAGATCCGTATTAGAAAAACCTTCCTTTGCATCCATGGGCGAATTTATGGTGTGAATGTTCCTTTCGCTTACCATCGACAATTGGGCTAATAGAATATTCAAAAACATCATTTTGCTTTGCTGTCCATGGGAAAATACGATCGAAGGTGAATGTTCCTGGATATTCTTTGCTCTATTGGATAAATGAATGGATGAAAGTAAAGTAAGTCAATGCTTGATGTTAAATCCCAGATCATACAGGTGGACCAATGTGCATTAGCTGTCAGCGAGTATGCCCCTCATTATTCACCACCATCCCTTGATGTCTCTTGAGCCTGTTCCCTCTTTTCCCTCCTTATTTTCCTTCCCGATTTTGATCCCATGTATAGTTATTTTCAAATGTATTCTTTCTTCGGCGTTTATTTTTTAATGAGATAAAATTTTTGTTATAGTTCCCACCATGTTGAGTTTTGGCACATGCCAAAAAAAAAAATCCCATCATGCCAAGGTTTTCTCATATCTTGCGCAACCCATCTCCTATCGGTAACCCATGAATATGAGCACATCGCACGCAATTACCCTTCATATGTTTACTCAACACTTCTGCTCCTTCATAATCGGACAGAGATGTTGACGCCAGTACATGATACAATTGCAGTGAGTCAATACTCTCAGTGAAGATTCTCATCAGGTCATTTCCTTTTGAATTCTTTTTTTTTTTCTTAATTGTCAACACAAGCTAATCGCGATATGTTTGACCCAGTTGCGCTTTGAGATGAAGTTTGCTTTGTTTAAGACTAATTCTCATTAGCCAGGTCGAGCATTACTAAGCGGTAGCAACATTATTTACCTCTACTTTGACGGATTGACCATTGTCATCGAATGAGACAATAGGCTGACCACCCTCTCTGATTTCGAGAGCATTCTGTGGACGGAATCGACAAACGACCTTGATGTTGTTGGACATGACTGCAGAGGAATTCAGTAGAAAAAGAAAGATGAACTTGCGCCTGTGCTGTCTATGTCTCTGAGGTGGGTGATATTAGAGCAGTTCTTTGGGAGCGATTCTCGTATTATAAAATATGGCAGGTATAGGGGTGTGGAAGAGAAACTGCCAGGTTGCCTTTGGTGCTGGCTTGTTTTGCTCACTAAGTCGGTCAGACAGACGGCTGGCGGCCAAAAAAAGAAAAAAAAAGTACTCCTAAAGTACAATGAACAATGAACAACGCCAGTTGTTGTTTAAAAAAAAGGGTCGCGTTAGTTGGACATGGTGGGATGTGTGCCTGAAAGTAAGTCTGTATTCGAGAAGAGCCGATTGTCCCCAGTCAGATGAAAAAAAAAAAAAAAAAAAAAAAAAAAAGAGTGAGGGTGATCACTACTCTTACACAATGTGGACACAAGGGTTGTATGAGCTAAGTAGAGATGATGGAGAGAGGGAATGAAAAGAGAAAAGAGAGGTAACTGTGAGCGGACCTAATCTCAGGAACAGAAAGGGCACAAGACACAAAAGATACAGAGGGGTTATCTTTTCATCAATTAATTTCATTCTTTTGAAAGAAGGAATGTTGTAGACGACCATGTCCTCCTCAGACACATTGGCTTTTCCAAACTGGCATCCTCATTCCTTACCCGGATGTCCTGGATGTAACTACTTTTATTAGAATAATAAAAATAATAGAATAGAAATAGTAAAAGAAGAGGAATAGGAGGAATAAAGGTGAGAGAAGTGAGAAAGAGAAAAGTCAAAAGTATAAAAAAAAAATAGACTAGTTTAGCTGCAAGCCAAGGCGGGTCAGGGCAAGCGGAGTAAGGTTGTGCATGTGCAGACAGATTGGCACAGGGCGGGTTCTCTGAATTTTTGCAAACACCATGCGCGTGCTTGGTCTCTGACCCCTGTTTTCTACCCATACATGTGCATGTGGAAATAATAAATGTCGGGGAATACGACCACAATTGTTCAAATTGGTGGCGCATCATGAGAGGAATCAAATTGCAAGAAATAAGAAATAAGAAATAAACAAAACGTGATTATGGGATCAATGTGGCAATTGGAGCATCAAGGATAGAAATACCTTTGTACAATAACTATGTACGTCTCAATCTTTTATTGCGTTACTGCCGACACTGGACTCATTGGAGATAAAAAAAAAGTCAGAATAAAAATTAAAATGCCTCTTACAGCACTTTCGTACGTCAAACGTGGTTATAACAATCGCGTCTATTTTGCCGAATGTGCTGATGGGTCTGAGTATGTGATCCGAATTGGCGGTAGATTCTGGGACTATAGAAAGATCTCTGAACAAGAATGGTGTGCGGGATTTGAATGGCTATTTGCGCGTGCAATAGACCCATTTGATGAAACAGAGCAGCAGAAGCTTAGTGATATGACAGAGGGCCAGAAGGAGTTGCTAGAGTACTTCCTTTGGATCTTGAAGACTAAGCATGGTATATTGCAATATGGGATAGGCTATCAAGAGTTTAAGGTGGCGCTTTACTACTTACAGACCATCATTGCGTCATGGTGGCTTCGTGACCCTGCAAGGGAAGAATGGACTGAGAGGCAGCTGCTAAGCATGAAGACAGCCACTGATTCACTGGATAAAGCATTGAGATATTTTGGCTGCTGAATTGGTGGTATCTTTAGAAACTCTGTCCTCGAATGTTCTCCGAGCAGAAAATGATGGGTGGCAAATGATCAAGGCCTTTTTTCTTTCTTTATATTTTTTTTTCCACTTTTTATTGCTATTAGTAGAACTATTGTTACTTTGGCAAAGACAATGAATGTGAATGATAACGAGGAAATACTGAATAATTATGGTACAGATTGGTGCGAATAAGACTAAGAGTCTGAGAAATCATCAGGATGAATGAATGTATTTGTATGTGTACGTGTAGTGAATGAATGTTTAGGAAAAAGGGGTGGCTCCAAGTAGAATACGAGCTAAATTAATTGGCTTGGTCCCTATTGAAGGTTGGAATAATCGTTAGTCTGCTGATAGTAACCAGTACTGACATCCTGCTGCTGATACAATGCGGCATCATCAATATTTTTGATATCCTCTTCATTGTCTTTGTCCTTGGATGAAGCTGCCTGACGCTCAATCTTGGTCGCCTACAAATGCCACAGAAGAAAGCGAACGTATAGAGCATATTAATGACAGAAAAATAACGTAAAAAAAGTTAAGTCAATGCCCTTGTAAGGTTTCTATAGACACTGGGTACCTCTCTGTATTTGGCAAGATAAATCTTGAGAGCCTCAGCATAGTTTTCAAAACCAAGCGATTGCATCGCCCAAAGAATATCCTCGCCATTAATTGTCTTTCGTTTCTCAAGCTGGCACCTGTCACTCGCTATGAAGATCGTAATTCACAAGAGCGTTAAATAAGTAATTAAGGATTAGGCAAGTGAACACAATTGGCACTCTTGTCCAATAATTTTATTTGGACACGTAAACAAAAAAAAGTCTGCTAACCTTCGCTTGTAATAAATGAAATGAACTCGGAAACACATTCCTGTACAGTCTCCTTGGCTTCCTTTGCAATCTTGGCATTGTCAGGGAGTGCTTTTTTCATAATCCTTGCAACATTGGCAATGGGCAAGAAGCGATCTTGCTCCTTATAATCGTCCAACTCATCGCCGGACTGATGCTGTTCAGACATATTGAAAATTATATAAGATGCCTATTCGCAATAGTTGATTTTCTGGTAGGACAAAAGTATCAAGGTGCAAGTTGTATGGAATATAAATGAGATCAAGTAACAGAGGGGATTAAAAAAAAAGCCGGGAAAACGAATACTTCATTCTTTTACCTCATGCTTCTCTTTCTTTTTGAAACAAACTTTTTTTTTTTGTGTGACCACGTTCCACAACAGTTGAGCTCATATTGACCCATCTACCCTGGCACGCACGTGCTACCAAAGTATCTTCGTGCCGCAAAGTCATCATTTGCTGTAGGAGCACATTCAATGAGCCATCCAGGAGAAATACAATAATACAGGAAACAATCACGACTCCAAGAATATCCACCATAATTAGCAATGGCAGCAAACCAGGTACCGTCGAAACAAGTTAACGAATCCATAGTCGAATTCCTGACAACAGAAATGGTAGAAGCAATGATCAGGACGATCAAAGACGATGCTCTCAAAATTGGCTCTGAACGTGACCCTTCCTTTGGGAATACAACTGATGGTGCAGGAGGACCAAAAGATCATTCAGAAGGAGATGAAGCCATGGAAGCCGTATATTACAAGCTGGAAATGATTGGATTTCGTGTAGGCGAACGATTAATTGAAAAGTATGTGCATGCTATGCATTTACGGAGTTACTTATGATAAATTTCCAGCTGGCATAATTTATACCAGTGGTTGTTACTTCCGAAACTCATCATTGACTGCAATTCTCACTTGCTGGCGATCCTTTCGACATGGTGATATAGGATCAGCAAAGACAGAATGAGGTTCACTGATAATTTGGATGTTGTTAAGTTTATTTGCAAAGAAGTTTGGATGTTTCTTTTCAAGAAACAGATTGATAACCTCAAGACGAACCACAGGGTAAGAGCCATCTCTCCATTCGCCAGCTGTTGAGATAAATTACTAGGAACCTCATGATATCTACCTTATGTATTATCTCGTTTATATTTTCTTTATCTCATATAGGGAGTTTATGTACTTCAGGATAATAACTTTCGCTGGTTTGCTAGGATGGCTCATGATCAAGCTCCCGTAGAATCTGTTAAACGAGTGACTCCAGTAAGATTGACACCATAAGATAGTATTTGTGAAAATATAGGCTTGCTCATACATTTGAGATACTGATATTGAGAAATACTCCTTCGGAACTTTTTTTTAGTATCTGTGGTTCCCATGTGGTATCTTGCGTGGCATTCTCTCCAATTTGGGCATTCCTAGTGTAGTTGTTGCTGAAACATCATCACTACCTGCTTGTACCTTCCAGATCAAGATCGCAAAGACAACTTAGAACGAGCCATTTGCGTGACGAAACAAAATAAACAATTTCATTAAACACTCATGGTGGCCAAAGTTATTTCACGGTGCACTATGAACCTAAAAAAGAAAACCTGCAATGCCAAAGGTAGTCACTAGTGATCCAATACGCACTCTTTTTCCTTTTTTTTTTTTTTTCTCCTTCTTGTTCGTCATTTCATTTGCTCTGTTCATTCATTTCCTATACTTTGTTGCGATCGCTTCAACATTTTGCTGAAGCGTCTTTTGTATCCTTCATTCATAAAAAGTATATATCCTCTTATTACTATTACTATTTTTTTTTTTTTTTTTTTTTTTACTTTCATTTCATCTTTCAAAAACGCAATGTCGTCCACTTCAGGTAGAAGAACTGGAAAGGTCAAGTTCTTCAACAGCCAAAAGGGCTTTGGATTTATCATCCCATCTGAGAGCACTGAAGCAGCACCCGTTGATGAAAGTAAGTAACCATAATACTCTCTCTCTGACTTCCTTTTCAGTATATTTTATTATTGCTATTGTTATTTTTCTTGCGCAAGGGCCTCAGAAGTAGTGGGTAGAGACATGAGGAATGTGTTGGTCAAAGGACGGAGAGAGTAAGGAGCATGTAATCAACATGTTATAGCCTATTGAGTAACAAGCCTGGATGCTTCTCTTGTATTTGATTTGGGATGTGCAAGCCTTTTAATTCATTTGTGACGTCGATAAGCTCTACAAACGTCTGGATCGAAGTTTTAATAATAACCTTGCAAGAGCAAAAAAAAAAAAAAAGACTACTGTAAATGCTGACCCCTGTTCGTGGGAATGAAGGGATAGACTACGTCTTTTTATTGTATCGAGATATTGGTAGAAATATGAACTTCGTCATGGCAATGGTGTTATTACACAGTGAACGGTTTTTTTGTGCGTGCATAAACGGGTTGCGTTATGTTTATATTATCGTTGATACAACCATTGATCAACGGGTCACAAGATTGAGAAGGAATACAAGAGTGTCACGATTGGTTTGTGCAGCAAAGCGTTGAGCAACTTTGCCGTTAATTAAAGGGAATAGATCGCATCCTCTTGAAGACACTTTTATGCGTACACAGTAACCACCATCGAAGTGTCGTCCTTCCTACTCTCTATCACCTTGTTGAATATGAACTGTATTTTCAATCAAAATGTCTGTAAATCTGTGCTGATCAATTTACCGCTCTCTCTTTCTTTCATCCGCTCTCTGTGTGTATCGTCTTGTCTGTGCCTCTGTGCCTCTGTGCCTCGTTACCTAATATGTCGTATCGTTTGGTCACTACTCTTCTTATATTGATGAACAATCACTTAAAAGTCTTTGTTCACCATACCGCTATCCACAACGATGGTGGATTTAAGAGTTTGGCAGAGGTACACCATTCTCTTAATAGATCTTTTGAAGTCGGCTATTTTTTTATTACTTTCATCAGTGACATTTTTGACGTTAGTTCCTCGGAGCTGGGTGTCATGATTTTATATCCTTAAGTTAACGATACACAAGCATGTCTTTTCTACTGCGAGTGTGCGTGCTTATGACAGCAGCAAAGTGAAACGGAACCACTGACTCTTTTTCTTTTTGTTGCCTTGCTGAATTGCTGAATATGTCCCGTGCTCCCAACTCGGATCTCGTTCACTATCGCATTTATTCGAATTTTTATAATGGATAGGGTGAAGAGGTATTTTTTTTTTTTTTTTTTTTAATAGCCAGCAATTCTTCTAGTGCTCTATATCTATTGTACTAACCTATTGTTTATTATAGGTTGAATACGACTTGGTTCAAGGGCCTAAAGGCATGCAGGCCGCTAATGTAACAGGACCTCATGGTGCATCTGTTCGTGGCGATCCCAATGCAGGACGTGGAGGTTATGGGTAAGTCAGCATTGTCACGCTTTGTCTTGCCGTAGTAAGCACAGTCCATAAAAAAGAACTGAAGCTGACTTTATTAAATTAGGAATGGGCCATACAGGAACCAAGGAGGTCGTGGGGGATATGGTGGCGGATATGGCGGTGGATACGGCGGCTTCGGTGGACCCAATTGTAAGTGAACTTATCGATACGGAGGTTTATTTTACTGAACCAACTGTTTTTATTATTTTTAAATAATCAGAGATACCTTGCGAAAAAAAAAAAGTCAAGTAAATTTGGCGGGAAATACAAAGTAGAAGCCAGAGAGGGATGCGCCCATTAGCTCAATCTTGTGTCTATCCAGATTAGGCAACGTAGTGTTAATTCGTCATTCATACACTCATGCACTAAACTAACCAGCTCGATCGGTGATTACTCAATCTTCTCGATAGCCTTTGGAGGAGGTTACGGAGCCATGGGCAGCATGCCGTATGGCGCACAAGGGGGCCAGCCGGGATATGGTGGCCAAGGCTATGGACAGCAGCACGGTTATGGTGGAAGCATGGGATTCCAACAAGGCAATAATAGCCAGTTTCAATATGGCGGTTATCCCCAACAACAAGGCTACGGTGGTCTGCAAGGCCAACAGGGTGCCCAGCCGACGAACCCACAGGGTGGAGTGCCTTTTGGTGGCCAGCAGCCATATGGCGGTGGTGCGCCTGGCCAAGCTAGCGGATGGAACGCACCAGTTTCAGGAGGAGCTCCACAGCACTAGATCATTATGACGAATATGACGAAGCGATAGACAGGCTTGAGAGCATGATTCGGCAGACACGGAAAAGAGCATGATGAATACAGATTTTAATTCACTTCGGATGTTCGTTGGTTTTCTTAGTCTGCCTTGTCATTCTTCTGTTTGTTTGTTTTGACGACAATACTACTGTTTTTTTTATTTTTATTTTTGTTTTTGTCTTTTTTGTTTGATTGACCACAATAAAAAAAAAGGAACTGCGTTTTTGAGTTAACTACACATGTCATCCAAGGTAATGGATACAATGGTCTCGGAGAGCTATCGAACGCAGCAATGGTAGAGACTGGTGCGTCACGAGGCTCCTTACTTTTAAAATCAAAACATGACAAATGAGAAAGCAGGGAATGGTGGCAAAAAAAAGTAGATAAACATGTTTAACAACAGAATCAGTAAAAAAAAAACGACATTACGAGTCTGATCCTCATCCCACAGGGCCAGGCATTCCCCATCAAACAAATTCTTTGTGCATTTCTTGCTTATCCTTTCCACCTTCTGTCTATTCGTCTGTCTTAGTTCGTAGTCAGATAGTCGGACTTCCCTCTCTTCTCATTGTCCGCTTCATATGCATTGAAGGCTGCTTTTTTTTTTTTTTCTCTCTCTTTTTTTTTATTTCCTTTTAAGCTTGCGCCCCGCAGAAGCACACTCCATCATAATTATTGTGTTTTTTTTTTTTTTTTTTTCTTGTTCATACAGACTACTGTTCGCTATTCTTCATACTCTACCCCTTTTTTTTCCTTTCTGCCTTTTGCTGCTTTATCATTATTTTTTTTATCTCTCTCTGTCATTCCCTCACTCACTCACTGTTCCTTTTCTTTACCATTCATATTTCATAACTTGTACCATAATAATATCATTGGTTGTATTCGACTTCTATTCCTCTGTCTTTTATTTTATTATTTTTTTTTCCTTCTTTTTTTCTTCCTTTCGCTTTCATTCCATAATCACGATTCTGCAACGCAACAACAAGTGTACTTTGAGAAACAAAAAGGCAGTCTGTGACCACAATTGCATTTAATCTCCAAACAAGAAGGTAACAATTACATGCATACCTGTGTATGCGTGCTTTTAATATAATTTCATTTCTTTACTAGAAAGACAACACAATCACTATAATCATTTGTTTCTTCCCCCTCAGGGTGTCTTTACGACCTGATTTTTGAAAGGAAGGAAATGACCTGCTTACAGCCACACCTTCGACCAAACCGGATCTCACAGACATTCACAGGGCCTAACTCAGGACTTCGACTTGTAACGCAAGGAGTGTAAGCATCAGGACTCATGTAGGATACAATCCATCATCATCTTTACTAGGATTAAGCAAGGACATCCTCATTGTTTGTTATTGTCGCCTCCCTCATGCTACACATAGTGCTAAACTGGACTAATGGATGTCGTTAATCGATCACTAGGCTCAGCATTAGTGATGACAATTCCATTTTTCAGTTTTCAGCACAATCAAAAAGATTGGCAAACCCTTTTTGTCAAGGAGTCAGTTTTATTTTCGAAAGAATCTAGACATATAAAACTAACTCTCGGATCTCTCTTTTTGGCTTGACGTCTGTATTGTCAATTCAATAGTCCAACATTGTCCTTTTCAACGGCAACTCCAGATATTCACGCCACGCTATCGATATATCATATGCTGCCTGGTCTGCAACAGGAGGATCCCCTCATGGAGAATGGCAAGCTTACTCAGCTCCCTACCGGATCAGCTGACAGCTCCGCAGCTCCATCGTCCAACAATACCTCTACCTCTACTTCACCATCTTCCTCTATAAGCGAAACCAGCATGACAATCGAGCACGCCAAGGAGACAGGCTTCAGCAGTATCATTCCACAGCTGACAAATGAGGACCCAGGTAACAACTGGATAGTTACAGTCGAGGATTAGATTTTTCTTCATTGGTGATGAATATATGCTCTAGTTGCATTGCCTCTACTCACCACTTATTGGAAAAATTCTTATCATATTTGACTTGCTATAGAAATATGTGATTCTATGGCATCGCTTCAAACACCTTCATCCGTTTCAACAGATCTAAAGTCGGCCAGCTTAGCATGTCCCCCGGTCCCAACCGACTCTCCAAAGGTTGAGAAGATGGAGAAATTAGAAATATCGAGCCCTATTCCACTTTCTCGCCTATTCGATTTTGATAAAGAGGATCAAAAGTCGAACCAGATTGTCAAGAATGCATCTGTAAGACAGGATGAGTCTAAAGATATGAAAGATAATGCTGCTTCGCCTGTAATGCACACTCGGGAAAGGAGCAGTGGTTATGTTAACGGACGTACTAGCTCTTATGACTCTGAAGATGAGGAGATCCGTATTGATGATGATTCTGAAGATGAAGACCAAGGTCCGAAACGGACACGATCTGACAGGCACAAGCAGGCGTTACCCCCTCCTCCACCGCCACCCCCGATTGGACCGCCATCCATCAAGTACTTGCCATCTTCTCTGGAAGAAGCCCAAAGTACATACCAACAAATCGATCACAACATTTATCGTGGAACAAATACTGGAAATTCACCTGTAGATGACTGTCTACCATGTCAATGCAAATACAACCCTCGTAAGTGTCTAGATTGGTGTGTCGATGGAATATAATTTTGTTCTTGATTGACTGGATTTGTTTTAACCAATTTTATTGCATTCATGACTTAATTCAATATTTGGTTCACAGATCGTGACCCCAGGTGGAAGGCTTGTGGACCCGATTGCATCAATCGAAACCTACTTGTTGAGTGCATAGAAGACGACTGCCCATGTGGCTCATACTGTTTGAACAGGAGGTATGTTTCATTTATTAAGTAGGCTTGAAATGGTTATCATTTATGCTATTCTACTTGCTAGTGAGGATCCAAAACGCATATATCTCAATAGAAGACATGTATGTTTTTCGGGATCCAACATCGCTTTGACTGGACCGAATGGTTAACCATCAAAAGCCCATTTTCACACATATTAGGTTTCAAACTAAGCAAAATGCTCGAGTAGACGTTGTCAAAACCGAAAAAAAGGGCTATGGTCTTCGAGCCATGGAAGAACTTTCATCGTATGTTGCCTAATATAATTTATAGTCCTTATCCCTTCAGATTATATTTTTTCACCTGTCAGTCGAACTGGCAAAGACTAACTTATATGGCTTCAACTTTTGTAGTGGAACGTTTGTAATGGAGTATATAGGCGAGGTGCTGCCGCATTCCAGCTTTATTAAGCGCACACGGGAGTACTCTTTGGCTGGCGTTGAACACTTTTATTTCATGTCGCTGCAGGCGGACGAGGTCATCGATGCGACAAAAAAGGGCTGTCTCGCTAGATTTATCAACCACTCGTGCAACCCAAACTGTCATTTGGAAAAGTGGGTAGTCGGTTCCAAGCTCAGGATCGGTATTTTCACCATTAAGCGAGTGGCTGAGGGTGAGGAATTGACGTTTGATTACCAGTTCGAACGCTATGGGTAAGTTGTACTGGCTTTTTAGATTGAGCCATAGTTCATTATTTTATATTGTATCATTGTCATCTTTATCACACATATTGATGCGTGCTATTTTTTGCTTTATTTCGAACCTGTTTAGTGCTGAAGCTCAAAAATGCTACTGTGGGGAACCTAACTGTACGGGATTCATTGGTGGAAACAAAAGATCATCTGCGGCAAGGTTTGATAATTACAGCAACCTTGATGAGGTAGAAGACGAAGATGAGATTGATCTTGAGAACCAAATGAGTCTGCGGCACCCTAAGAAGGAGAAAGGCAACGATGGTGACTATCAGGACGAATACGAGCAACGCAGGATTGCTCGCGGTATTGAAGACCCTCTTCTTGTGGAGAAACTGGCACGTATAATGTTCATGAAGCCCAAAGTTGAGAAGAGTAAGCGTCTCTTGGCGAAGCTTATGGCGACTACCGAACGAGCTTGTTTGAGGAGGTTTCTAGTCCTACATGGTCTTGTGATTCTAAAAGCTTGGCTCAAACATTATAAAGATGAGCCCGATATTATTGAAGGTATCATGTTGGTCTTACCAAATATCCCTCTCCTTTCGAGGAATGCTATCGAAGATTCACAAATTGATGAGGCAATACAAGAGATCGCTGAAGGGCCAGAATGTGCATCTAAAGGCATGGCACGAGATCTTTTAACACAGTGGAAGGAGTTGAAGCCAGCTTACAGGATCCCGAAAGCTAAGAAACCTGTAAGTGTTTTTTTTCTCACTTGTATATTGGTGCAGTACCTCAGAAATTGCCCGATCTGACACTGATTCTCGGATTGTCCACTCATTAATAAATTAATGAATAGGTCACGCCTGTTGTAACTGAAACTGCCAGCACCCCATTGGATGAATCATCCAGCTTTATGTCGCCTGCAGAATCGAATGGATCTGGTTCTGCAGAAGGACTGGGCAAGAGACAGTACGAGGATGAAGATCGCGCATCAACTCCTGCCGGCATGGAGAAGCGTGGGAAGTTTGAAGTTCATGCCATCCAGACGCCCTCCGAAGAGCCGGATTCACAAACAATTCCATCCGAAGCTTCTAGATACCATACTTATCCACATACCTCTCCTGATTATGGTAGCCTCCGGTCAGAATCGCATCGACCTCTTGATCACTATGGTTATGGACGTGATGGACGTGATGGACGTGATGGCGGCTATGGTCGCATGGATTATGGGCGACACGATCACCATAGCCGAGAGGGATCATATGGCCGTTCTGATCCAGGTTATGGCAGATCCGATTCTTATGGGCGTATGGATCCGTACGGTATGTCCAAAGCTAGTTACGAGCGCGGGCGCTACGAACACTACAGGAGTGACCGTGATCGTGAACGAGATCGCTACTACGACTATTACCGTGAGCGCGATTATGACAGAGACTATCGCAGTCACCGCGATTCTCGCGAGTTACGAGATATGCGCGACCCAAGAGATATCCGAGATGATCGTGACAGGGATTACAGAGACATGAGGGACTACAGAGATCCGCGCGACTTATACTCACATCCTCCTCCATCTCCCAGACCCAGAGACCGTGACCATTCACCCAACGGGGCAGTACGTAGAGACCGTTCACCTTCAACGTCTACTCAACCAGGCAGCTGGCGTGGGGATAAATCTCGTTCAACTTCACCATCTAAAGAGCTACACAGCAGCCATGCGTTGGAGTCTAATACATCACAGAGCGATGGCGTCAAAACGGGTACACAAGCGCCACAGAGTACCGGGGCTCCAGATCAAACTACGTCTGCGTCATCTAATGGAAACTTGCCTGTTCTTCTTGCTGAGGAAGCAACTGTTAGACCGCCTTTGGTCGTTACACCCGAAAAGACAGATAATCAAGCCTCAGCACCTTTAGCACCGACACCATTGCGTAACTACTCTTTGTCGGCTGATCTACCAGAAAATAACGTTTCAGCTGCTGAGCCATCAGCTGTTACAGCTGGCACTCCATCCACGACCAGCACAGCACCGATATCATCCCATTACGCTAACGATTATCACTATAGAAGCAGCAGTAGCCATGTTGACTATCCACATTCTCGCTACAGCGGCTACCATCACTCCTCGAGGTACTATCGCCATTCATCTTCTAGTTATCCTCATCACTCCAGCTCTCACCATAGCTACCGCGGACTGTCGCGCTCTTATGCGTCGCCAACTAGTTACCCTCCTCCTGCCCCTGTTCCCGCTCCTATTGAGCTCCCACCCAACTGGGCCAAAGCTACAGATTCCGAAGGTCGCGTCTATTATTACAACGAAATTACAAGAGCAACACAATGGGATCCTCCAAGAGTAGAGCCACCAACAGTCTCTGCACCAGTTCCTCCTGTTGAAGCCATTCCACAAGCGCCTGCTGCACACTACTCTCAGCCTCACACCTACCATCATCATAGCCATCATCACCAACATCAAACCCACTCGCAGGCCCATACTGTCAGACCTGTGACGCCGGAGCCACCCAAACCAGTCAACATTGATGGTTTTACACAAGAGCAGCTGCAGGAAGTTATCGGACGTGCATATGACAAGCAGAAGCAAAAGAATTTGGCTAATGGAATTGGCAGTGCGGGAGCTAGTGTCCATGACGTGGACTCGCCTAGTGCCCGTGGTGGCAACGTGCTTTCACCCTCGATATCTCGCGCTGGAAAGCCTTTGAAACCTATGACAGAAAAAGACCTAAAGGCAGCTGTAAGCTTTTATTATTATTATTATTATTATTATTATTATTATTTTTATATTGTTATTATTAGTGGTACTGCTTATTACTTATTGTACAGGTACTGTAGAATCCTTTTGGTCCTGAAAATGATTTCTTGAACTGATTATGGTTTTACACATTCTTGACATATTACAATAGGTTGGAGCCTATGTTGTTAAGAACATGGCCAAATATAAAATCAAGCTGTCTGCGGATATATTTAAGAAACAGGCACGCAAGGTAATGGATCTTACATCATGGCAGATTATGAAATATATAGCATTTGTCTACTAATGGAGGTGACCACGGGTTTCGATTATTCACATATGGTTTCTTTCTATTACTCACAAATAGATCACACATTTGATTGCAGACAAGGAAATGCGCTCAAAGCCTTACAGGGCTGGAGAGATGACTGAAATCACAACGGTCGTTAAAAATAAAATTCGGCGGTTCATCAAGGAATATATGACAAAATATCTAAAGAGACAAGCCAAGGAAAATGAGCGGTCTCTATTATCATCAACTAGTACTTCAACATTGGTCAATGGCACAAAGAACTCGGTCTCTCATGTGATCGTACTGGGTGCCGATGGAGTACCAGTCCCTCTCTCAGGAACTGGTTCAGGGCTATTGTCAACCTCCAACTCAGCTTCGCCAGTGACACTTGCAGCAACCTCTGGGGCGGCCGTAAAGAAAGGATATGGTGATGCTGACGTGGATGATGATGATGATGTCAAGTACGGCGAGGGTGGCGATGATGGTGACGAGGAGGAAGGCGATCTGGAAGGAGATGATGATGATGATGGCGGCGTTGCTGCTGTACCATCGTTTTCGGTGGAGCTTCCTCTTTGAGTTAAATCAAAAACACTTCTTCGCCTTTGTATTCCAAACTTTGATACCCTCAGCTCTATCCTTTGATTACTCACGCTCTTGGACTTTCCCCTATTCTCACTTCCGCAAGTTGATTTCTGTTGCTTTTTATTATTATTTTTTTTTATTTCGTTAGTTGACAATCATTGATTTTATTCTCATCGCCATCGCACATCCACATACAAACACAAACAACTGAACATTCTGTATGATAGCCACCACTTTTTTTTTTTTTTTTTTTTTTTTTTTTTTTTTTTTCCTTTCACCCTTCCGTATCATTTTTCTTTGTAGCTATTCTATTATCGCGCCCGTTTTTATATTCAAATATGCAAATATTCGCATCATTCTTTCAACTTAGAAGAAAAAACAATATGTATCAAACATCAAACGAGACTCTTGCAACAAAAAAAAGCCTTAATAAAATAACTGCATCAGATCAGGCTATTTTTTTATTACTATTATTATTAATATTATCTCTGTTGCTGTCACTGGTGTCATTTCTTAGTTGATAGCAATCCATTGATCTTTTAATTGTTCGCCGCGGGGCTAGCAGGAACACCACCATACTTGTCCTTCCAGATCCAGGAGTTGCCGACCATTTCCACGCCTTGAGCAGCGGCCAAACGATAGTATTTTGCAGCTTTGAACATATCCTTCTTGACACCTACGCCATGGTAGTAACACCACGCCAGATCGTTTTGTGCATCAGGGTCACCCTTTTGATTGTTTAAAAAAAAAAAAAAAAAAAAAAAAAAGAAAAAAAGAAAAGAGATTATTAGCAATGAGAAGAGAAAAATAAAACAATACATGTACATGCTTAAAAAGATTCTTACCAAGTTAGCTGCAATCTCAAAGTAATAGGCTGCAGTCTTCTTATTCTTCTCTGCTCCCCATCCATGTCGGAAGCAGATACCAAGCTCATAAATGGCCAAGACCAATTCGCCTTTGGCAGCTGTACTTGCAAAGGAATCTCGGCTTTTGAGATCTCCCACTGCATGCTCTGCACTCTTTTGTAAATATTGGAACGCTAACTGACGATTGGAGGTACATCCCCATCCATGACGGACTGCTAGACCATACATCAGCATTCCAACAGGATCTCCCATTTCTGCAGCAGTTCGGAAGAACTGTGTCGCCTTTGTAATATCCCCCACTTCATGATAATCAATTCCTTGACGGACAAAATCCTCTGCCTTCTCGGGCATGGGGTTTGAAGGACCCATAGCTTCTTCAGGGCGAACATATCCACCTGCAGCAAAATGATGCGCGGGATGGGGGTTTAATCCAGGCCCGGGTGTTCCACTACGGGAAGGGGGGAGGGGCAATGACGAAGATGAGCCATTTAATCCACCAGAGTATCCATTTTGGCGGTAGATTCCTCCTCCTCCCCCTCCTCCTCCTGAGCCTGATGATGCTGATGATACGCCTGGCGGAAGTGGTGATCCTGGGGTACGAGTTGGAGGGGCGTTATTCATGGGACCAGGTGATCGAGATCGTGGTATAGTGAAGCTATTACTGCTGTTATCGTGACTGTAATCACTAGGTAAAAGATTTGATCGATCGGTTCGAGAACGAGTACTTTCATAGCTAGGTCGAGGCGCCTGGTTTTGAAGTTGTCGATGGGCCATGCTGGGCGAAGAAGAGTCGCTCCGTCCTGCTCCATGGCTTCTAGATCGACTAGTGCTACCGCTAGCGGTGTAGCTATCTGCAGAAGTACTCCTCTCCGGAACATTCACTGCACCATTGCCATTTCCTGCGTGGTAATGAGAAGGACTAGTGTTATTACGGGTCATTGAAGGCCTGCTTTCCTCTTGCCTTGCATGCTGCTCAACCGGGGAGGATGAGCTATTCTGCTGCTGTCGTGTTCTTTCCTCTCGTTGCTCTTGAATCATTTTTTGAGACTCCGTGAGACTGCTGGCTCCAGATCCTTGACTCAACATCGTGGGTCTTTGACCTGGTGCAAATAGACTGATATTGGGGACCCCACCATTTGGTGTACGTTTATACGACATGGATAATCGAGAAATTGATCGGCGGTAGGAGAGCATCGATCCAGAATCAGAATCATCACTATCATCGTCCTGAGTCTGAGTTGATGGTTGCTTCTGTTGGTGTTTTTCTGTATCACGATTTCCTGATGGTCCTTTATCATCGCCATGGTCAACTGGTAGATATGAGAGTGGAGAAGATGGAGAGTTATCAACATTGGCTCCACCAGGGCTGCTGTTGCCATGACGATATTGGTTTCTAGAAGAAGAAATCGAGGTTGCAGATCCCGACGAGCTTGATAACTTAAGCTCGCCGTTCTCCATATGACGCGAGGACGATGAGTAAGCAGAGCCTCCAGAAGGTGATTGTCTCAATGATCCACCTTGGAGGTTGTCGCGTGAGTGCGACGAGGCTGAATGTCCAGATGCTGTTGACGATGACTGTTTTAACTCACCGGAGCGAGGATAGTATTGTTGCTGTTGCTGAAAGTTGGGTTGTTGTTGACCAGCGCTAATTGATTTTTTGCGTGCTTGTTGATATCTTGCTTGCTCATAGCTTTGGATAGATACGCGATCTTGGACTGGCTCTTCAAGTCTTGTTAGACTAAGATGCGATGTAATTGCATCAACCGGAGCTGGAGGCGAGACGGGCGTCGATGGGGAAACGGGTGAAGGCGGCCCATGGTGACCTTGACCTTGGCCTTGACTTGAAGCAGGTGTTCGCAGGTAGCTGAGCTGACTCTGTTTTGGTTTCACCCCACTGCTTCCACTATCGCCTCGAGAGACAGGCCCACCATAGCTGTAATTATTGTTATTGTTGTTGCTACCGTTATTATCGTACTGTCGTGAGGAAGTGGATGAGAAAGAGGATTGGGGCGTCAAATCGTGGTTCGAACGTGACGACTGAGATAGAGGTTGATCTGGATAAAGGACATAGGACTGAGGCTGGCTACCACCACTGTTAGGTCCATAGCGTTGTTGCTGTTGGCTGGTCATGTTGATGTTATAAAAGAAATGTTTTTTGGTGTTGAAATATAGTCGTAGTTACTAGAGACGTGATACTATCGAAAGAAGTGTAGCTGTATGCTATATGCTGTGTAACCAATGCTGTTTCTGTTGATCTGCAAGAAGTGAAAGTTGAACAGGACACATTTATAACAAATAATAATAAGAAAGAGTTAGTAACCTTTACGACTAGATCCATAAAAGCAAAAGTAAATGAAATGGGATATTGTTGAGGTCTCGGCAACTTCTATCTCCACAGTAGAGATATTTATACAAAAACGTGCTCAAAATACTGCAGTGCAGTGCATGGCATAGCATAAAGTAAAAAAAAAAAAAAAAAAACACAACTGAGATACTGAATACCACTCGGTCATTCCACCTTCGCAACCTCTTCCCCAAGCTTCAGGGGCAATATCAATTTTGCCTTGCTTTCTCATCTCGTCTACTCCATAAACTTACAAAGCTCCTCCTCGTGCTTGACTTGTGGTATATAATGTGTATTCTTGAATATGTTCTGTTTCGTCAACTCTCTTGTTTGAACCAGCAAAATGAAGATAGTCGAGTGAGACAAAGTAATGAAAGTAAGACAAATAATTGACCTCGTGCACACAGTCAGGCACACGAGGAAACTATAGGGGAAGAAGCGCAACAAGCAGTTGGAAAAGTGAAGAAAGAAAATAAAAAGGAATGAAAGAAGAATGAGACGGAGAAAGAGAGAATGAGAGAATGCGAGAAAGAGAGAAAGAGAGAAAGAGAGAAAGAGAGAAAAGAGAAGGAGGGAAGGGTGCAATGGGGAGGCGAGATGAGGACAGAAGGGAGAGAAAGCAAAAACTGTTGTAGTAAACAGTTTGCTTACCATCCAAAAAGGGGAGTGGTGGTAGTGGAGTGGAGGGGAACAAAAGAATAAAATAAGTTAAAAAAGTAAAATTAACATTTGTAAATAAATAAATGATATGAATAAAGTGGGAGAGAGCCCTATTTCTTCCAAGCTCTCTTCCACTTTTTCATTGATTCAGCACAAAAACATGCAAAACAACGGATATAAACACTTATTAAGAAAGGGAGACCAAAGCGACGATCCAGAAAGTGTTTACATGAACATGAGGCTAGCACAGACATCTCTCGCTTTATTTTATTTTTACTTTACTCCATCTTTTAGCTACTCTGCTATTGCTTTCGATAGTCGGACTATTGCATTATTATGCCTTACTCGTCCTTTGCCACCTGTCTTCACATTCTTTGTCCTGTCTCGTCTTGTCTCGATTTGTCCTGTCTGCGTACTTGGTTGCAAAAAAAACTGCTCTCAACATCCCAAAAAAAAAAAAAAGAAAGAGAAAAACGAGGTATTGCAGCAAATTGCAGGAAAGCGATATAAAAATAATCCGCTATCAAAAAAAAAAAAAAAAAAAAAAAAAAAAAAAAGAATAGGATCATAGATCAGCAGACCAACCACGCAAATCATGCCATGCTCCATTGAGCAAGGCCACCATACACCTTGAACTACTACAAGGCTCTTGTCAGCGAGATATCTGGTGCTCAACTCCATTTCCTGCTTCTATCTATCTGTCTAGCCATCCGAATATCCTTCTTTCTATCTATATCTCTCTGCTTGTCTCTTTTTTAAGCAGCTCATAGAAATGAATATAGCCTCTATAATTTAGGTAGTACATTTCTTCGGCCATCATTTCCTTTTGGTTCAACCAGTATCTAACAATTTCACGAAAAAAAAAAAAAAAAAAAAAAAAAAAAAAAAGAAATTACGCGTCCTATGGTTAAAAAAATCTGGGCAAATTGTATTGATATAAACGATCGATGCTTGCTGTGTGATGTTTAAGAAAAGCGCCAAAATGGTGGTTCGTCGAGATACCTTGATAGATATTATTATATTTATGCATTTTATGAATATCCTAACCCTGGCTCTCAACTTCTCCAATTCGTTTTTGAGGTTTCTTTATATTGTTTTTCATGTAATTTCTCTAAAGCAGCGCTAAAAAAACGTTAGGCCGTTTGTGCTTTCGTTTTCATAGTCTAAACGATGGCATGTGTTCAATGATAGCTCATCTTTTTTTTCTATTTCTTGTTCAAACGGATGATAATGGAGCAATAAAAAAACGTACTACTCTTTTCTTACTCCTTTTTTTTTTTCTCTTACTGACTTCACCAGAGTGATGAGTATTTTTCATCCTTCTATTTCATCGCAACAGATTTCTTACTTTATTTGATAATAATAGTTTCAAGGTTTGCTGTCCTACATAACCAGCAAAATCCAATTCGTTCAGGGCAGGAAAAAAATAAAAAACTGATAAAACTTGGGATATAGAGCCCTCGATGTAAAATTACTCTGTCTCGACCTGCTTCACCTAACAAACGCCCAATTCCGAACAATTCTACTTACCCACTTTTACTTTTTAACATTTCATTTCCCTGAAAGAAAAGGAAGAAAAAGAAATCATATGAACATGATAATCACAATTTTTTTTTTTTTTTTTTTTTTTTTTGCCTGGGCGTAAGGCATTTTGCAATATTGTAATAATATTAACTAAGGGTTTATTATGCTTGACAAACATCAGTGTATATACAATCTTACGATCAACAAAAAGATATTCTTTGCTGTGTTTTGACTGACTTGCTTTTGCTTACATGCGCAATTAATCGTGGCACACGACTATTTATATTGCATTCCAATAAAAAAAAAGGGGGGGAATGCGAGGACCTTTAACGTTATGGCAGCAAAAATAAAGACATCACACCACAACATTAATAACACCTCAACCACTTTTGGATCCTCAACTTGGATTAGTTAACGTGCCGTCTCCTTGCTATCTCGGATGCTAGCGAGGCTTCCAGGATAAGCTTCTTTTCTTGCTTACTATTACTTGACATACTAATATCACATGCCCAATATGCCACCTTCATTTGGGTAAAAGGTTAGAAAAAGTTTGAAGTCGAGCAGAAAAAGTTAGTAGATTATTAGAGATAGGTAATTAAAAAAAGAATGTGCTTTGCAAAGGCTCTGAAGAGAACTAAGGGGCTGGTCTTTTCTTTTAATACAAACCGAGCTGGTTCCACAAAAAAAAAAAAAAAAAAAAAAAAAAAGGAAAAGAAGAAAGGAGCTATACACATAAAATATGGTTGCTAAACGTGTTAGTCTAGAAAAGAAAGCTCTTTGTTTCTCATAACAATGTTTGCCATGTTTTTTTTGTTCATGTAGGCCTTCCATCCATATCCCAGAATGATTGGTTCGTTGCACCAAAATGTGGAGAAAAAAACGTGGCGCACGCGACCAATAATGATTTTAGATCGGAATCGATGGTATGTCTGCAAAATTTCCCGCCTTCTTTAAGAACCATATGGCTCTTTTTATTTATTATTGTTTTGTTTTTACTTTTGAACTTTCAAAAGGGGGCGGATAAACGGAGTCATTAAAGGATCTACAGCTGTGTAATCGTTCCAATGTTGAAGTTTTTTTTAATATATATATATAGTGTTATAAACTCTTGCTGTACAAATGTACTGCAAGATATATACACGCAAAACAAAAAGATTGAATAGTTATTGACCTTGATATTATTGTTAACATGAAATCATCTCATTTTCAACACAGGGTCATCAATAGAAACATTTTTTATGAAGATGTACATTATATCAAACAATATCTGCTCACGTATGATGACAGCAATGGAGGATCATAAGATCTGCATTTCTGTTCATCGATTTGCTCATCATGCAATACCGACGTCTGATATATCGCCATTTGATCTAATTCTCGATTACATGTTCTATAAAATCAGGTTTATACACTTCTCGGGACACCTTTGTGTAAATACATTATCGATAAATGTCAAATACGGAATGATGTTGCTGTCTGGATACACATTCATTGCTCTTAAAAGTCCGGTTTTCAAGGTTGCCAACGAATAGAAGTTCAGGTTTACATTTCATGTTCATGGAAAGGCCGAGCCTAGGTCGAAGTTGGACTTGAATCGTTTTAATTGGCTACATGCTGAGCGAATCATAAGATCTATACCAAAAGTCTGGCCATTAAACTTTTTTTTTTTTTTTTTTTTTTTTTTTTTCACTGCATGCACTGTATATACAGAACCCTGGTGCTATTGAACTAAATGTGAACGAATATATATCAATGTGGCAATATCGGGAAGCAGCTTGTGTCCCTGAATTGAACCCATACTACAAATGATTGGCCGCAAGTAGATTAAAGAATGACCTTGAACCGACAAGGCTCAGATATTACCTTGTTTTATGACGTGTTATATGCAATGGTGTATACAATAAAGACGGTAGTTGTATATATATATATTATAAACTTCCCGTCAGTGTTTTGATAGGGTCTTCTGTTCAAGCATTAATTAATAGCTTTTTTCAGCACCATGCGTTCGTTTTGCACCTTTCAAAGATCAAAGTCGTCGAGAGAATGATAACTGCTTAAAGATCTTAAAAGGAGTATTGTTCTACCGGATTCAGTCATTGACCCGATCCGTTGACGGGTCATACTAGACCCTGAAGTTTAGCGCAGTTTAAGTGCCAAGCATGATGAAAGTTGGATCCGGAATGTGTTGCATGACCGCAGAAGGAAAAGAAACCTTCAGACAACTTTTAAATGCCAGCCAAAACTGTTGGTTTTGTTTTTATGCAGGAACAGAGCCTTAGCCAATGAAAATAGGCGCAGAAAGCAGGCCCTTTCCTCCACTCATCACAATGCATCGGATCATGACACGTTGTTTGACTCTGCAATATTATTGGCTAGAACTATGTAATATTACATGAGCGAAAGGGCATGGAGTTGTTGCTTGTGTATGTGGCAGGTGCACAAAAAAGCAAATTTATAAAAAAAAAGTAAAAAAAGAAGTGCATGGTGGGGAAAATATCACTGGCTGTTCAAACTTTTATTGAAAACGTGAAGCGATCGTCGTGTCCTTTTGGGTTTCTATTTCATGCATAGAACGACGCTAGTGGAGCTTGCTTACTGTCGTTTTTTTTTTTGTACGAGGGTAGCCATAAGAGGTGTTGGGACGGTACATGTATACAGGAAAGGGCTGGAATGGGAGAAAGATCTGTTCCTTCAGCTCTTCTTTCCTTTTATTTCTCTTTTTGTTTCTTTGCTTTCTCTTTTTCATTTTATTTATTTAAATATAATCGTTGTCTCACAAAGTCCGTTCTTCAATCTTCTTTTCGTCATCTCTTTTGCTCTCTACCATTGCCTCTCTCTTGCTTTATTCTCTCCACCACAACTGTTATCATTTTACAATCATCTCTACACTACACCACACACATTTGTCTTTTGACATCTTCAGTTGTCAATTGTCTTATTTACGGTTACCTCAGCAGACTTGTCCACAAATTTAGCAAGGCCACTTGATCGCTAATTTTATAATCGCCCATCACTACTACGCCGAACAACAACATGGCATCTTGCAACGCCCTTCCATCACATCCTCCTCGTATCATGAACGCATTATCATCCGCCACCTCTGCCACCACAACAACTACTCTTATTTCATCTGCACCATCCACAGATACCAACATCACAACAACTCCGTCACCACCGCCCACGCCCGAGCAGACCTCCAAGAACTGTAGCGAAACACTTAGTAACTCTACAATCTCCTCAAACGACATCGCCTCCTCTTGCCCCTCCTCTTCCTCCCCATCATCATCATCACAGCCTCGTACTTATATTACAGATCCATCCACTTCAACATCTGCTACCATGGTTAATGCCTCTCCTATCAACATGTCCTCAACAGCATCCCTCCAGCAACAGCAACAACCAGTTCCACAACCATTCAATCTGATCAATCATCCTATTAAAGATACTCTGAATATTGTCTCGGCATTGCTCTCGAAAGTTGTTCAAAAAAACGATAGCCAATATGACCCCTCGAATGGCAGCTCCGTTACGTTGTTCCATTCAAGAGCCGTGCCTCGTATCTCCATCGAGGCTTACCTGACAAGGATCCTGCAGTATATCCCTTTTACTAATGAAACCTTACTGAACGTGTTGGTGTATTTTGACCGCATTGGTGGACTGGAAGGGATGCAGCTTCAACCAAATGGAACAATGGCATCAACAACAGACACTTGTCAAAAGAGCACTAGCAGCTTAATTGTGTCTCTGATGGAGAAGGAAGATCTTGAAGTCCATATCAAATCTCCTTCATCATCAGTAATTGGCCCCAATGCCGGCATCCCAGTGGTTCGAAAACATGGCAGAGAAGAAGACTCTTCATGTCAACCCCAAAATTGTAAAAAGAGAGCAAGAACAGACGAGATGTCAACATTATCACCCTCTGTTTCTCCAGCAGTAGAAATCTCCCTCCCTCAGACTCCTGCTGCAACACCGCCTGCCCCGCCATGTACCGCAGCAACCGATAACGGATTCCGCCTTAACAGCTTCAACATTCATCGGTTACTGATTACGTGTCTGATGGTTGCTGCAAAGTTCACTTCAGACCTGTTTTATTCCAATGCAAGATACGCAAAGGTAAAAAAAAAAAAAGCTCTCCCCCTTTTTTTTTTTCGCTCACCATCCCTACACTTCTCCTCAATTCTCAATTCATTTGACCACGTTCTTGGGTTTGCTGCACGTTCCATCAAAGCATCAGTCTGTGCATTCAATTATATACAATTATTATTTTCTGTGTAAAGTGTTTGTGGTTGGTTCCACAACACAGACTAAACGAAACACAAAAATTGTGCTTCATCTAACCTTATCGCACTATGGATGGCCAACGATCGAACCATCGTGTTCGGCGTCTTCTTTTACCTAACATTCATGAAAGATCTACACATTAGTGGACCTTATCTGTTCTTGAGTCAAAAAAAAAAAAAAAAAAAAAAAAACATTCATCGCCAGATCTCCCTCCTACTCCTTTGCCCTCACTCGTTTCACTTTTTTTTTTCCTTTTTTTTTTTCTTCATCTTTGGCTCTCTGATTGCATATAAATCCAAAATAGTCTTCGTAAAAAATGAAAGAAGACTAACTCTTCTGTTCTTTGTCTTCTCTTTTTCTTTTTAGGTCGGTGGTTTAAGTCTTCCAGAGCTAAACCAACTTGAACTTGAATTTCTGTTTACTACCAAGTTTGAACTGAATGTCAAAGCCGATGAGCTTCAATATGTAGGAGACGCGCTACTTCAGTTCCGAGACCATCACATGGTTCGCACTACCTTGCTTCAACAGCAACAACAACATCAACAGATTAAGCAACAATACAAAATTCAATTGCAACAATATCAAATGCAACAACATCAACAAATGTTGCAAATCCAGCTGCAACTGCAGCTTCAGCAACAACAACAACAACAACAACAACAACAACAACAACAACAACAACAACAACAACAACAACAACAGCGACAGCAGCAACAGCAGCAACAAATCATGCAGTATGCTCCTTCACCTGTCAGTCCAAAAAGATCTGCCTCTAACTATACAGCAGGTGTAGCCCACATGCCTGTTGTTAACGGAGACCCTGCTTTTGCTGTGCCTGTTTCCAAGGTTCAAATGTTATCTCCTCCAGAGGATGTTCGACACCTTTAAATTTTTATTTTTATTTTTATTTTTATTTTTATTTTTATTGTGCTTGTTCCGCTTTGTATTCTACATTTGTTACACATGTCTGCTAGCAATTTCTTTCCTTTTCATTGTCATTATTATTATTGTAGACTACATCTCAATGTTGTGCTTTATTGTTTCTATTAATTACTCATTTACCTCATAGAAAAAAAAAGAAGCATATTAGAATATACATATACCATTTTGAAATAATAAACAATATCATAGCTCTTTTTTAAACCATTTGAGGTACATCTTAACAGCATCGACCAAAGGGAGAAAACGTTATCGATTATATTTTTATTTGTAGTCTATGATTAGTCAATGTTATAACTATATCGCAGTCCTTCAACTATTATAGAACTTTTACCATGAAACGTCCTTAGTCTATGTAATCTATATAGTTATAACTTTTTTACTTTTTTATTCCAATACATGGATCTCACACGTGTTGGATTCCGTATATCCAAGTTGAGCCAGCATTGAAGATACATCCAAGTTGAACGCTGGAGGACCACAGATTAGGAATTTAAGATACGTATCATCGCTATCCGAGGAAGTCGTGGCTGTGGATATGGGTGTAGACGTAGAAGGTGAATGATCTTGTAAGGTGTTACGTAAAATCTCAAGAGTGATACGACCACCTGTATGAATTCTTTCATCATAATGATGATGATCCGACTTTTGCTCTTGTCCTTGTCCTTCCTGTTCTTTCTGATGATGCAACATTGCTGTTGTCATTGCTATTGATGTTGCTTGTGAAAGCACATGCTGGATATGTACTCGCTGTGTTTTCATCACGGCATTACTATCATTTTTATCCCACGATGTGGATAAAAAGCATGTTTTTTGAATTTCTTGACGCAGCCAAATATCAGATGAGGCCCTGTTGCAATATATCAAATCGAGTTTTGTTTCTGATGGAATATGATCCGACAACTGTTGTTGTTGCTGCTGCTGCTGACTTTGATGGACTGCTCTTATCACTTGATACATGGGCGTAATCCCTGATCCCGCTGCGATCATCACAATCCGTTCCTTCTTTTTCTTGTTCTTTCTCATTATCCCTTTACGTAAATCAGAGTTTATCGATTCTGTCTCTGACACTGATTCTGGTTCTATTCCTAACTCTATTCTTGTCTCTCCTACAATAGCCTGGTGATTTCGCTGACGGTCACGAGCAGTCTGAATAGGTCCTCGGAGGTACAGCCATCCTGATTGGTTGCTTTTATCGCTAACGACATCATGGTCTTTATGGTTATACTCCTTCAGTTGTCGAAACATATCTGAAGTCGAATGAGGAGCGGGATAGAGCTTGACGAGGAACCCCATTTTGTCTTGAAGAGAAGAGACACTATTGCTGTTATTGTTGTCGCTGTTTTCACCACTTTCCATAATACCCATCAGGAATGAAGAATTCGAGAGATCGACAGGCGTATATGCTCGAGTGATGAATTCCTCATCCTTGTTAGTGTTACCAATATCATTATCACTATTATGATTATCCTTATTGCCTCTCAACTCTCTTTTGAATCGGATCAGAACATGGAACATGGCCTTAATATGGCTATCATATTGATAATCGGGAGTCCTATTTTTGTTGTTTGATTCTGATACTCCTGTTGGTGATGTTGTCGATGCTGCCGCTGCTACCAAGGAATATGGAAGGTCGCAAACAACAAGTAATGTATTCTTTGTGAGGTAGCATTTCCGAAGAACCTTGAAAGGACGGTACGATCGAATACTCAATCCTTCATCATCAGCATCATTGTTATTATTCTCGACAAGGTTCGCGTACTGTATTCCCTCCATCTGCGTCACCACCGCCTTCTCTTCCGTTTGTCCTAATTCCAACGACTGACAAGCTTCCTTATATTCTACTTCAAGCTTTTTGACTTGTTCTTTATAGGCGGCCAAATCTTCCCAATAGATTGTATTTACGCATGGATCACAATCGTTCCCACAACATTCGCCCGGAGCTGGTTTAATAGGTTCTGGTGGAAGAACAAGACGGAGTTTCTTTTTACGTGTCTTGAGATCATAGGATAAAATGATTCCATAGGATGGACGGGTTGCTATTGTCTTGTTCGTGGAGTTATTATAGTTGGTTGTTTCCGTTACAGTCATCGCTTTATGTGGTGTTCCCTCAATTATCGTTGCTGCCGCTGCTGCCGCTGTAGCTGAATTGTTTGGTAGGGCGATATGACTGGTGGCGCTGACAGACTTGGCTTGGACCTTTGCCTTGGCGGCAGCTATCTCTTCCAACCATTTTGCAACAGTAGGGTTCATGTTTGTTATAATGATATGAATTGACATTTGAAAGAATGAAAAAAAAAAAAATCTTTTTACTCATTAAAACAGTCACAATCAGACCCATCATCGTTCTGAAGATGGATGATCTTAACCATTTGCGGAGCAAATTAGTATAGACATTTGTTATGCTATATTTTTTGATATTGTTGATCCAGTCTTTTATTTATATATTTATTTTTAACTTTTTCTTTGTTCAGAGCCACTTTGGATGGTCAATTGGTACGCGTACTAGATCCGTGTCAAACAGCTCAATGAATTGTTCGTTCAGCACCCTGACTTTTGGGCCAGCATACCGTCGATACTCCTCAAAAATTGATGTCAAGTTCCAGCGCTGTAGTTTCCGCAAACAACCTACGATGGTGCCTTAAACAACCAAGGGGAAACAGGGAAAAGGGTGTTATCATGTCAACTTAATATACGCAGTATATAGCAATAGTTAGTGCTGTTATTGTAATTATTATTTCATTTTACCTGTACGATGCCGCCCCAGATTACACATAATGATCATTGGATAATTTTTGGGTGTCAAGATCAATTCTGAAGCTTCAAGGACAACTTCTTCTGTGATAGGATCCCATGCATTCATAGATGAGACGACCCCCAAATGATATAAATGAATGTCCTGATCATCAATGAAATCGAGACTGATGTCCATAAAACGTAGGTAAATGGTCACCATTATGACAATAAAAATGAATTAGATGGTCCGAAAAAGTAAAAAATCAGTCAACTTTATCATGCCATTGAATTTTTTTTTTTTTTTTTTTTTTAATCTTCGGTCTAAATTTACAAATACACACATACAAACGTTGATTCGGTTCTTCTGGAGCTAACCAGACAACGGTTCTTAAACCGAGTTTCTCCAGAAATGGGAAGTTGAGCTCATTGGGTTGTCCTGACCGATACAAATCCTCTTCAATCATTCCAAAATTCTATATTATTATTAATTACAGTTATTATTATTATTATTATTAAAGAGTGAGACGGGTTAATTAATTGTCAAAAGGTTGGCTTTTGAGTTGTAATGAGAACTCAATTGAACTTTGTGTAGGAAATGAGGAGAAAGTAGCATTACCAGCGGTGGAATGAGGTGTTGAGATGTCATGCTATATTGTTTGTAAAACGTTAATGCAGATTCTGTCCCTTCCTGTTTCGCTCAAAAAATTTGGGTTTTGTCAGTGTCGGGCGTAGTGTTCTTTCAACCTGAAAGTAAAAAAAAAAAATTATGAAACCTGAACAATTGCATGTACACGTGATGCTACATTGGTTGGGGACTCAATTGCCCAAAAGAAATGCTATGCTCATGCAGCAGTATGCACAACAAAAATTCCATTCTCTGCTTCCCTCGTCACCTCAAACCTGTAACCTTTTTTTCTTTTTCTCTTTTTTTTCCCTTTAAAAGAAGTTCCCAGATTTCTTTTGTTCTCTCTCTGAAGGTTTCCAGTAATTAATAGACTAGCCATACTCCCATACTCCATATTATTAAACACTAACGATTAGTATGCATATTCGATAAACGAGTTCATGTACATGTACTTTTTTTTATCACAGCCCAAAACAGCGCTGGCCAATGGCCTTTTGTTAACATGACTGCAGTAAATTTGCCCCATCCGCAAGACAAAACCACTCACAGATCAACGATCATTGAAATAGCCTATTATCTGGCCTGACCTGTGGGGTGCTTTAATCTTATAAATGTTGAACCTTTGTTCCTTTTCTTGGAGACCATTTTTCGTTTGTTTTCTTCCTCTCAATACCCATTTTCTCAATCAAATCCTCCTTCCTCTTCCAATAAATCCTTACAGATCGACCAATACCCTCTTCTTCCCCCCTTCCTTCCCTCACTCAGTCCAATTTTTCATTTTTCCAACACTCTAAAGAGGTTTCGGCAATTAGCTACAGTGTACATAATACGAGTTGAGATGGTATTTCAAACAGGCGTGTATATCGGGATTGTGCTTGGGTCGATTACGTTATTAGGCATCTGTGTTGGGATCCTTTATACCAGACACCGCAAGGATGTAAAAGAGGCCCGAATAAGAGAGTTATTAATCCAGGGACGCATACAACAGACAATCGGTAAGAAATGAAATTCTTGGTCGAACTTGCTCCTTTTTGTGTAACCCGTTGTATGCAGTTCAGCTCAGCTCAGCTTTTTATCTAATGAATGCCGAGATAGACCTGAATCTTCCTCCACTCTATGATGATCATGAGCTGGACCCAGTCTGCGTATATGAACATGAACTACCTCCCGGTGTCGTCCTACCGGTGCAGCCTATTCTTGTTCACTCCACACCAGATAGCGATCATATCATAGCTCTTGAGACAGAAGTCGAATCTAGATTGGAGTCCAACCACAGCACAGCACTTTCTACTCCTATTACTGGAGATGATAGTCCTATTGCGGTCGAACAGTCACCGCATTCTAACAACCAGGAAGATCAAGAAGAAGGAAGAACAGGGGGGGAAGTCAATTCTGAAACTTTAACAAATCAAATTTCAGGTCTGTCGAGCCCGCCAACCCCGGCAGCCCTCGAATCTCCAATGACGTCGCCTTCATCAATACCACTCGCCTCTCATAGACTGATCGACCAAACTATGCTGAACTTGGCTCGATTGCCTTCTCCACCTTCATATGATGTTCCAAACCGAGTTATTGATCGCTCGCCACTTGGGAATCCCGCTCGTCATCACCATCACCATCATTCTTATTCTACCTCGGATGTTCATCATTTTACAATATCGCCTAACATCGCACCACATAATGGAACACAGCAGGAGGATTATTTTGGGCATGTACGGATGAGAGCCCATACAATCTCACACCCAGAGCCGGCTCATCTGCCTGAATTCAACCTACCAGCAGCGGTAACGACAACTACTCAACCGAGACATCACCACCACGAAGAAGATCTACCTGTTACACCACGATATTCATTTGAGTTTCCTTCTCATGTCCCCCACCATATCCATATCGAAGAACATCAGCGAGCTAGAGCACAATATGCAATGTGGGCTACCACAAATACACCTTTATCTTCATCTTCGTCGTTACCAGTAGCTTCGCCTAATGTTATTCATGATGATACAGGACTAATACCACCACATATACCTCAAATGCATGGTCGTTCCTATTCCCAGCCCTATAACAACTACCATTCGACTCAGATTGAGTCGTCGTCGTCACCGTTCCGAAGTTCTTTAAACTCCACTCATGGAGAGAGTATTAATGTTTCCCCTATTAGACTGCGGGAACAAGGACAGACGCAGGGGCGCCTTGGAGTCAGAGCCAGAGCCAGAGCTTCAACCATTGGTGAATCATCGAGGCTGTTGATTCAGAGAATGCAAGCACTGACGAAGAAACCATTTTCAGTCTCGCGGAGTGCTGCCACTAGTGGGCAGAGTAGTCTCAATGCGGATCCTATGGATGATCTATTGTCGTCTGAAGCAACTACATCAGTACCAACACTAGTGACAGCAGTATCAGTGCCAGAAGTATCAGTATCGGTGCCAGAAGTATCAGTATCGATGCCAGACGTATCGGTATCAGCAGCAGAAACTTTGGCTAGAGAGCCAGAGACATGCATTCTGCAGCAGGAGGAGGATGAAGGAAGCGATGGTAGCCCAACTGCCACAGTAGAAGCGGGGCATGAGCATGAAGAATCAGGTTGTATTATAACGCCAGCAATTCAGGTTTTTCAATCTGAGACGCTGGATCATTCCTGTAGACAAACCATCCTAGTACCATCTGATTCATCATCATCTTCCTTGACGTCTGAAGTGCTTCCTATTGGCTCCATGTCAGCCATCATTACTGTCTCATAGCCAATAAAATATACGAGTCTTTTTTTTTTTTTTTTTTTTTCCCTCTAAATCATCATCTAATATAACCATCATTGCACATAATCATGCTACATAAGCGATCGTTCGCATAGAATTTCAACATTGAACGCGTTTATTGTACACAGAGGAAAAAAATATACGAGGAAAAAAAAACATATTTTTATCTATTTTGCGAATAATGACTGATAATGATAATGATAAAAAGCATAATGTGACAGTGCGACTTGTCCTTTCCCACTGATCTTCTTTTCTTTCTTACACTCCGATCAATAAGAGGGGATATCTAAGGGTTGGTAGGGCTTGATCTGTAAGATCCTAAGAGCATTAAAGACTAGCTCCACATATGCATCCAAGGGCCCAGGTGCACAAAATCTTGAGCAATCACCATCGCCCATTCGCCCATCAGGCCTCTTTGCAAACATTTCTTCTGTATCCAAAAATATACCTCCAGCACTCTCTACAATGACTTTAGCCATCTTGTTCTGTCGTTGAACATCAGCCAATGATGGTCTGGACACTATGTAGGCTTCATCTGTATTGCTGCTGCCGCTGGCTTGCAGATCCCGTTTCACGAGCCGTTCTGAAGTTCGAGCGGGTGCCTTTGCTAAGGGTTGCTGAAGTGCCGCCCCAGGATTTACCGATAATAACGGCCCATTCTGATCTGTATCCTTGCCCTCATTCAGTAGCTTTCCAAGAGCTCCATCCTCCTTTTGTTCCTTGAGAATCGTACAATTAGAAGTTGGATGGGTAGCTCGATAAATGATCACAAGGTCCGGATAAAATTTCCAGAGTTGTTTCATCGTAAACACCAGCTCTGTCAAAAACTCTTCGTCTGGTTGATAATGTAGACCTTTGTTAAGGAATACAATCCCATAATTCTTCAATACCATATCAGTGGCCCATGCTTGCTCTATTGTCTTTGCATTGGGAAAGTCGTTGTCATTATTATCGTAGTCTCCTAAATGGAAAGCTTGAGGGATTGAGATAACATCATTCCGTGCGTATTTGAGTGAAGGCACCGTTGGTTGAATAGTAGCACCATCTGTACCATCGATGCCGCCCGGTGCAGGCCTTGGTATTTCAACCCCATCATCTGTCGTAGGAGGACAGAGTTCATGTGGAGCTGCATGGAGACAAGAATGTTCGCCATGACAAACGAATGGAGTTGCTTGAACCGCACTGAGGATCGCATCGTGTAGTTGATATTGTGTAACATCCCCTGCAAGAAGCATACTTCTTTGAGCCAACGACTTGCAAAACTCGGCCTTGTTGAAGGATTTGTACTCTGCACGAGCGTCTCTTAATCCTATGGGTGTTGTCGATGTTGTTGCTACTGCGTGTGGTCCACAAATGTTTTCGTCGGGCACCCATTTATACTTGACAGCCTCCCGAACGATCCAACCATGCCCATCCTGATCATCGTATGTTCCTTGGAAGTATGCACCCAAACCTGCGTTGTCTATATCGTTCAATCCATCCATGAAACGAACATCACACTTGTTGAACAGTGGGTCCCCATAATGTTTCCTAGCTGACCAAGGTCTCAATGGGGATGTATCATTGGTATCTGCTGCTGCTGTTGGACCTTCGTCATCTCGAACCCAGGACCCATATTTAGACCAACAGTCGATTTGATCCCGAATCCGCTTCGCCTCCTCAGGATCGTCTGCAATAGTTGTCCCATGGATAGTAGCATATCCCGACTTTGCGAACGTTCGCTGAGCTTCTCTATCAACAATGACAGATGAAAGTTCGTCGAGGATAGCAAGTTCTGGAAGGTCCAGTGGTACGGTTGGATGATGTGCCTTGATGCGGTCTGACGTAGTGGTACGACTACCGTCTGCATCATTGTTGGTGTTACGAAGGAGAACAGATTGTAGAGGGTCATGAAATAGAAAGAGAAGCTGAATGAAGATCACACAAACAAGGAATACAGCAATCCGGCGAGCCCATGGCTCTGAAAAGACCATTGCTGAAGGTAGGAAAAAAAAGGTAGCTAGTTATTCTTGTTTCTTGTTACTGTAATTGAAGTAGAGGCTGATGCTGTAGCTGTTGTAGCAGTTGATGTTGTATGGAATGAAAAGAATGCAAAAAAGATTTTTCTTTTCAGATGTCAAGAGCTGTGAAATGTAAAGATGCAAAGTGTGCGAAGGGATCGTTTTGGTTTCAAAAAAGGGAGAGATAACACCTCCTGTTGATCTTGGAACTTGGTTGAACTAGAACTTTTAAACTTTGTATGGATCATTGTACCAGTGGGCTGCTACAGCTCTTCTGTTTGCGAACAAAGAGAAGGCAATGCCCAAACAGGCCAAGTGCAAGCATAAGCAGACAAGGAGAACGAAAGACCTTTGTGTTCATACAATAATTCACTTCTTCAACCCGAGGTCTTTTTTTTCGAAAGGCAGATGAATAATATTGAATTCATGTGGCATGTATAGCTCGCCGAGAGAGGAGATCGACTATCGTTATCGCTGGCCCAAATTATCTTACCTTTTTCATGAGTTTTATTTGCTTACCTCGTTTTCTGCCTAATTCCATGAGGGAATAACAGTTGTCTTATTGGCGCGTGGCGCGGAGATATTGCAATCGTGGAAGTAAGGAAAGTGACAGGATATTCGCCACCAATTTTTTGAAATGGAGAGCAGACAGGAAAGAACGTCCATCCAACAATGTCCTCGGGTGTTTCTTTCTTTCTTTATTTTCCAAAAGATGAGAGCAATCGTGATGCTATTCTTTTTATCTCTGCATCCATTTGTTGACGATCACTTGTTTGTTTGTTTGTGGTTGTCTGGCGTGTCAAACTGATAGCGGAAGCGGATGGATTTGCAACTTCCAAATAGTGCTCCCGATTCCCGAGTTTGACAAAAGAACAAATGCACTCTCTCATATACACATCACACCCAACAGTTCTTGATCAGGATGCACAAAACTATTGGTGCGATTAACATTTCGATTTTTTTTTTACCATCCATTACTCTCTTCATCGATTTATTTATGCAGTGTATCTCCACAAGAATAATCGGACTCTCAGTTGCTATTCAGAGAAAAAGGTAAAAATAAAAAAATAAAAACCAAACTGGCCATGCCCGAGCAAACGATGGACCCTGTTGCTTTGCCAATGGTGAAGAACGGGGTTTCACCGGATGCAGATGATTCGATTGCTATAAAACGCTTGTCGTTTGTTGTTTCTGATCCAGTGAATAAATACAACTTCGCCCGTTCACTGTTTCTTTCCTACTTCTCTTTCTCTCACACCCTGTAGCTTTTAAACTATTCACTTACTCATTTTTCTTCATTCCTACCCTCACAATCATATACACATACAATACTAATATATCATGGACACTCAACCCACATCTGCTATACGCCTCATCCAACCTGCAAACGGCAATCCTGGTCCTCTTGGACTCTTTGCCTTTGCTGTTACTACCAGTAAGTATCCATACTTTCATACATTGTAGCCTAATATCTCGGTGACAGAATCATTCCCGTATGATTCTAATTTTTTTTTTTTTTTTTTTTTTTTTTTTTAGTTATTTCAAATCTTTATAATATTGGTGCAGGTGTTCCTCCAGGCGGCGGTGGAGCTCTTCTAACTGGCTTTGCATTATGGTACGGTGGAATTGTCCAAATTTTGGCTGGAATGTGGTCCATGAAAGTCGGCAACACGTTTGAAGCAACTGCATTCTCTTCCTTTGGCGCTTATTGGGCTGCATATGGATATATGTTCTTTCCTGGGACTGGCATCAGAGAAAGCTATGAAGGCTTTGAGCCTGAGGCTCTAAAGAACGCGACAGGCATCTTCTTGGTGATCTGGCTCTTAATGGCATTAATCTTGACTGTGGGCACGACTAAATCGACAATTGCCACCATCGCCATGTTCGTCTTCTTGGACCTCCATTTATTGTTCTTGACTATCAACGAGTTTGCTCATCTTTCAGAAGGCGCGGCCCCAAAGCGCATTGGTGCTGTATTTGGTATCCTAAGCGCTATTATGGCCTTCTGGAACGGTGCTGCAGCTTTGTGGTTACCTTCCAACAGCCATATAATTCTCCCTGTCGGGCCTGTCATGAGAAAGAAGCAGCAGTTTGTTGTTTAGGGAAAAAAAACGGTGTACTCCTTACTTTATAACCCTCTGTTCTGTCAAAACACTATTTGTTCCCATTACGCCCTGTTATACCATCATGATTCTTTTACATCACAGTTTTTTTTCCCCCCTCGTAATTAGAAGCAATGATCTTTGTATAACATATTCATATATCCACATTCATGTTGAAACTCTTCCATTAATAAATAAGCATCACGTAGTGACTAAGCAATTTTCATGATGACACTAAATAAAGTCTTTAGAACATTCAAAAAAAAAAAAATGCTAAACAGAGGTTCTGTCAGAAACATCCATTACATCAGTGCCTCTGAACATTGTATTTTTCATAGCCTTTAATGACTCTTCTCTCACAAACATGTGGAACCAGGTCTTTTTTTTTTTTCTCGGTGGGGTAAAAAATAATCATGCTCATTGGTTCCTCAAAAGGTAACATGGCTGCAAATAGACATCATGGAAGAGAGAAAAGGTCCGGGCTTGAAGAAGGAGGATATCGATGTTGGAAAGGACCAATTACTTGAGGTTGAGGTTACATAGCTTCACAGATGCATGGAAAAGAATATTTTCAATATATACGATCCCCCTTTGGTAGACAAGAACAATGCATAACCTCACTTAGTGGACATGAAGTCGGAAAGAGCATCATCAGCAAAAAAAGCATCATCATCAAAAAGACCATCATTATCATCGACATAGACAAGTCAAGAATCTTTTTATACAGAAAAAAAAAACAGTGCGTCGCATCTTTCAACAGATCGTAGAATGGCAGGCAGGCCCGCTGGCTGTTTGCCACTAATTTTGCTCATGTGGTGTTCCAATAAATCCTTATTGTCGACCCATTTTAAGTTGAATGGTGAATTGAAACCCCAAATCTAAAATTTACATCCCTAGTCTTCTGCTTTTTCTACATATCCCATTGTTATCATGTGTACCGGATTGTGATTGTAGAATTGGGCAAGATCTTGCAAAGCACTTATTGAGGCAGTTCGGCGACGCGGGACTCGGATTCATAAAATTTGATGTGATCCCTAGGGCAGCTTGTGTTGGTTGATTTACATGCTCATGAAACACACGGCCCGGTCTTAGTGGATCGATGTAGCTGAAATGGATTGAAATAAATAAGGATCTGCCTTCGCCCAAAAACATTATAAGGGGCTAAGTAGAGATGTATTTAGACTTCTTTGCAGTGAAGCATACCGATATATATACTTTCATACGAACATGAGCATTTTTTAGGCTTTTGTTCTTAGCGATTTTTACCTAAAAGAAAAGTAAATTTTACTGAAAAGTATATTGGTATGCTTCACTACTTCTTTGTGAGACTTAGAAACGAAGCAGTCATCTTTATAACTCTTTCCATTTGTCACCAGCAAATAAGCGAAAAACCCAGCATTAAGCTCTGTAGATCTAGAGTCCAGGATATAGTTACAAAATCACTTCAAAACAAAAAAAAAAAAAAAAAAAGATTGAGTACTTATTTAAAGATTGAGTACTTATTTAAAGATTTCGATCGCCATTTTCTGAACCACTCTTTCATACTTCACCAAGATCGTATATAAACGCCAAATTTACATAAATATAACTTGCGGTGAAGTAAATAGGAAAGGGCAGTGTATGAACGTGTGGATCTTTTGCCACCCTCTTACTCATTTTATCCCCTGTTTATCTTTTTTCTTCTCTTTCGAGAAAGTTTTGCCGACCGTGCGCCCAACGCGCATCCTTTAATGTGCGACATGGATGATCAATCCCTTGAATTTAAGAGGGATGAGGTGTGGACATGTTTTTAGAAATATCTTGACACTCTTCTACCCTGGATTAATCAACTGGGGTCTCAATTTGTTATGACGAGTGAATAAAAAAGAACGAGACTAGCTGGATTATAAAATGTCGCTCTATTGTACAGAAAGGGTATCTCTTTCTCTCCCCTTTATTTCACAAATCTAAACAACAACCAATGTTGTGATGGCTACCGCAGTAGCCGCGTGGTTCTTTTTTTTTTTTTTTTTTTTTTTTGGTCCGTTCGACTAAGCGCCTCATCCTCACACAAACACACCTCTTTTTCATTCATTCAGCTTTGATCAGTATTTTACAAAGAGTCGATCTTTACAGGGAATGAAGATATTACTGAAGCGAGAGGAGCTAGGAGCAGAAAAGCACTTTTTTTTGCCTCCGATGAGTCCATCGGCCCACAGCCACATGTCTTTATTTTATTTTATATCTTTGTTACGCAGTCAAATTCTATATAACATTTGAATACTATCTCTCTCCTTCCCTCTTTTTTCTCTTTACCTTGCTATTCAGATTTCTATTCAAGTCTTTCTCTCACCTTACTCATAACGAGAATTGCCTCTTACGGCCTTGCCGCTATCAATTTCTCTTACTCCTCCCTCGTTACCTAATCAGAAAGCTGAAAGAAAATGGTTAACTTCACTATCGACCAAATCCGTGCCTTGGTAGGTGACATTTGACAAAATACTGAACAGAGGAGGAAAGGATGCTTTTCTATTTGTGTTTTTTAATTTCTTGGTTCACTCTATGGAACCATATGCATTTTTCCGCGCCGCTGTTTAATTGTTGGCTTGATTTATATGTGTGCACGGCAATGTTTAAATAATGTAGTGCAAGGGAAACTGATCACCAATCTCTGTACAAACCTAATCGATTTATAATATGAACAGATGGTCAAAGTTACGAACGTCCGTAACATGTCTGTCATTGCTCACGTTGATCACGGAAAGTCCACCCTTACCGACTCCCTTGTCTCCAAGGCCGGTATTATATCGTCTGCCCGCGCTGGTGTGGCCCGTTTCACTGACACGCGTCAAGATGAGCAAGACCGTGGTATTACCATCAAATCCACTGCAATTTCCCTTTTCTTCGAGATGAATGAGGATGACCTTCTCGATATCAAGCAGACATCCAATGGTATGAGCCCAGGACACGTATCTATTGTGAAATGATAAACACGCATTGTTATAATATTTTGAGCCTTGAGTAACTCCTAGTTCCATTTGTTGACTCGGTATCAATATTAATTTGGTTTCGATATGTTTATATCCCTTCAGGTACCGCTTTCTTGATCAACTTGATCGATTCCCCTGGACACGTTGACTTCTCATCTGAGGTCACTGCCGCCCTCCGTATCACGGACGGTGCTCTCGTTGTCGTTGACTGCGTTGATGGTGTCTGTGTCCAGACCGAGACTGTCTTACGTCAGGCTTTGGATGAGCGCATTAAGCCCGTTGTTGTTATTAACAAAGTCGATCGTGCTCTCCTTGAGTTGCAGGTCACCAAGGAAGATCTTTATACCTCCTTCCAGCGCACCATTGAGTCCGTCAACGTTATCATTGCCACCTACAATGACAAAGCCCTTGGTGATGTCCAAGTCTACCCAGAGAACGGTACCGTTGCCTTCGCATCCGGTCTTCACGGATGGGCCTTCACTATCCGTCAATTTGCCGTCCGTTATGCCAAGAAGTTCGGCGTTGACCGCAAGAAGCTAATGGACAAGCTCTGGGGTGAGAACTACTTTAACCCCAAGACCAAGAAGTGGACCACTAAGAGCGTTGATGCTGATGGCAAACCCCTAGAACGTGCCTTTAACATGTTTATCTTAGACCCCATCTTCAAGCTCTTTGATTCTATTATGAACTTTAAGAAAGACGCTACCCTCAACATGTTGGAGAAGCTCGAGATCAGCTTGAAGAGTGGCGAGGAGGAACTTGAGGGAAAGCAGCTCTTGAAGACCGTCATGAAGAAATTCTTGCCTGCTGGCGAGGCTCTTTTGGAGATGATCGTCATTCACTTGCCCTCCCCTCCTACTGCCCAGAAGTACCGTGTTGAGAACTTGTACGAGGGTCCTCAAGACGACGACTGCGCCAAGGGTATCGCAGCCTGCGATCCCAACGCTCCTCTCATGTTGTACATCTCCAAGATGGCTCCCACCTCCGCTAAGAGTCGCTTCTATGCTTTTGGTCGTGTCTTCTCCGGCACTGTCCGTGCTGGTCTCAAGGTTCGCATTCAGGGCCCAAACTACCAGGTTGGCACCAAGAACGATTTGTTTATAAAGTCTATTCAACGTATTGTTCTCATGATGGGTCGTTATGTTGAGCCTATTAAGGACTGTCCTGCTGGTAATATTGTCGGCTTGGTTGGTATTGACCAGTTCTTGCTCAAGTCTGGTACTATCACCACCTGCGATACTGCTCATAACTTGAAGATCATGAAGTTCTCCGTCTCACCTGTTGTCCGGGTCGCTGTCGAGTGCAAACAGGCTGCTGATCTTCCCAAGCTCGTTGAGGGCCTTAAGCGCCTGTCCAAGTCCGATCCTTGCGTTCTCTGCTACACCTCCGAGTCTGGAGAACATATCGTTGCTGGTTCTGGAGAGCTTCATCTCGAGATTTGCCTGAAAGATCTTGAGGAGGATCATGCTCAGATCCCTATCCGCAAGTCCAATCCCATTGTTCAGTACAAGGAGACCATCCAGGCCGAGTCTTCTGTCACTGCTCTTGCAAAATCCCCCAACAAGCACAACCGTATTTTCATGAGGGCTATTCCTCTCTGTGAAGAGCTCACTCTTGCCATTGAGGACGGCAAAGTTGGTCCTCGCGATGAATTCAAGACCCGCGCTTGTATCCTCTCTGATGAGTACGGATGGGATAGCCAGGAGGCTCGTAAGATCTGGTGCTTCGGCCCTGATGGCAATGGCCCCAACCTTATGGTCGATATGACTAAGGGAGTCACTTACTTGAACGAAATCAAGGACTCCTGCGTTGCCGCCTTCCAGTGGGTCACTCGCGAGGGTGTTTTCGCTGAGGAGAACATGCGTGGCTGCCGCTTCAACATCATGGATGCCGTCCTTCACGCTGACGCTATCCATCGTGGTGGTGGACAAATCATCCCTGCCTGTCGTTGCGCTATCTATGCTGCTGCCTATGTTGCTCAGCCCGGTCTCATGGAACCCGTCTACTTGGTCGAAATTACCTGTCCTGAGCAGGCCATGGGTGGTATCTATGGTGTCTTGAATATGCGCCGTGGTCATATTATTGGTGAAGAACAGCGTCCTGGAGCCCCTATGTACATTGTTAAGGCCTACTTGCCCATCACCGAGTCTTTCGGTTTCACTGCCGATCTTCGTCAGGCCACTAATGGTCAGGCCTTCCATCAGTCTGTCTTCGATCACTGGCAGTTGATGCCTGGTGTCTCCAATGAAGATCCCAAGTTGATTGAGAAGATTCTTTCGATTCGTAAGCGCAAGGGCCTCAAGATGGAGATTCCACCTCTTGACGATTTCATGGATCGGCTGTGAAGGAGTAATATAGATATGGATGTGAACCATTTCTTGGGAAAAAGCGTCCCTCCTAGAATTTATATATCATACACATTTTTATTATTAGCTAATTTGTATTTATTAATTGTATTTAGTTTATTTGTATTCGCACCCTCAGATGAATAAAAAAAAAATAAAAATAAAAATAAAACAAAGTAAAATGAAATAAATAAAAAAAAAATATTGTTACAAAGCGAAAGTATTTTAATGCAGATGTAGTGTCATTGTATTGGACAGGTAATGATAATGATTTTGTCTTGCTAATCCTCCATAAGTTCTGGTCCACCTGTTATTTCTGCTGCAGTTGATTCTGGTGGCGCCATCTCCATGGTATTTTTGACATGTTGTTGGATAGTTAACAGTGGATTGCTCTTGAAAGCTGGATGAGCAAGAACATTTTGGAATCTGAGAATCTCTTGCATTCTATTCAACCAAAATAAAATTAAAATACAATAAAATAAAGCGTATATTGGATGTGAGTACATTACAGCGAGCTCGATGTTTTCGTTCATTATGTAAACCAGGATTTTTTTTTTTAAGGCACGTACGCAGCCTTCTTTTTAGCCTTTTTGGATTGTAAAGGTTTGGATGAATTCGCATGGATGGTGTACTGTTGGTGGTTAGTCGCAGTCCCTGTTCCTGCCCCTGCGCCAACTGAAGCTTGCGTTGTAGCTGTAGGATTTCTTTTCACTTTATTGGCTGTTGCTGCAGCAGCGGCAGCTGCAGATGTGGGTTGTTGTTTCTCTGTAGGGTTTATATATGAAAGAGCTTCATGAAATGATCCAAAGTCGACAGACAAGGTCTGATTTTGTGTCGAGGATTTCTTCTTTTTTTTCTTTTGTGGATTATATGTCGCCTCAAGTTCTGATTACAGTATAAACACAGTAATAATAATAATAATAAAGAGTGTGATTAATGATCATATCTCATTCTTTAACTTTCGAGATCCTTTTCCTGAATCAATTTAAAAAAAAAAAAGAGTACATACTGGAAATCCATTTATCATGTCTTATTTTGCGTTTATCCCTCTTATCGATCCTATTATCTTCCTCAAGCTCAAGTCCAAAGTGCTCCTTCATATGCTGCATCGACTCTGAAACGGACTTAGCAGCGGCTGGGGCAGCTACAGCAGCCTCCTTGCCTCTAGCTGCTTTGTGATGAACACGATTCTTGTTGGCTTTGACTTTGGGCATAATTAGGAACAGACAATGGGTTATTTCTTTTTTCTTCATGGCATGTTTAAAAAAAAAAAAAAAAAAGGAAGGCCTGAAAAACACAAGCCACAGTACGATAAATTTGGTAGCGCTTTCATAAGAGCGATGAAGCATAAAAAGATGCCCATCAAAAAAATTAACCCCGATGATGTCTCGACAATGTTTTTGTCATGTTCGGTGATCGGTTTGCCTATTCTTTTATCAAGAATAACATGATACATCTATATCGGCTGTTCTATTACATTTCAATCTTAGCTGTAAATCAATGTATATCTATGGTAGGACTATGGAATTTCCCATGTACTCCTTTGGAAATTAAATCCTCAATTCATTTTTCCCACCAGTGCGTTCAATATGGTTAGCGGGATGGGAAAGAAGATTGAAGAGAAATTGTACTGTGTAACACGACAGGAATGCATCAACGAAAGAGGGAAAAAAGTGGAGCCAGGATACTAAAGGGACTTTCACAGGTGAATAGAGCGTTCCCCGCATTTTTCAATTTTTCCACGGATTTGGGATTGGACCAAAGACAATAGAAGGTGCTTTTCAATTGGATGACAATCAACGACCAAACACCCAATGCACTTCACGCCAACAGTCGTTGGGTCTAAATGCCTAAACGAGACTTAGTTTGTTCCTGTTTGCACACTTACTCCGCTTGGTCATTTTGGGCCGTGCTTATTTCAGAACCACCGAAGGGGAGAAAAAACACTCCTCTCCTTTGCTTTTTTTTTTTTTTTTCTCTTTGAACCTCCGTCTCACATTCAATATGGTCCAACTAACTCCTCAAGCTACAACTGATCTCCTGCCCATCATTGACTTGGGTCTCTACCTCCAGAATCCCGATTCACCAGAAGCCATTGAAGAATGCAAACGAGTAATTAGAATGATCATTGGTCCTTGCCATCTCTCATTATACAAAATAGAATGAAGAGAATAGTCTTCATTAGAAAGGAAAGTGGCATAAAATTAAGTCGTACATGGAAGCTAATTTTTTTTTTTTTTTTTTCCCTCCACCTTCCATGTCTTTTCTTCTGTTGGATGTTGTAGGCTTCAGATGCCATCCGCGACTATGGCGCATTAATCGTCAAGGACCCCCGCGTGACAGGTTTGTTTTCAATTGTGTGAAAATATAATTTAGTTACCAAAGCTATTAAACTAATAACAATATTTAATATAAACAATTTTATCCCACACTTAATCATTCATGAGCAGAGAAGGAGAATAATGATTTCATTGACATGATGGAGGATTACTTTGACCAGCCATACGATGTCAAACTCAAGGACTCCAGACCCGAGTATGGTTATCAGGTACTGTCCGTTCATATTTTTCTTTTCTTTTCTTTTTTACAACTTCTGAGCATTTCGGATCCCAAATCAAGAAAGTATTCTTTCCAATTTTTCCCATGAGCAAGTACCTACTGAACTATGTCCGACATTACGCTCCCTTATTTCATTTTTCATTCTAGGTCGGAGTTACTCCCGAACTGACTGAGGATCCCAAATGCCCAAAGGATCCTCACTGCACTGATATCATTGATCATGTAAGATTTTACCCTGTGTTTACAATACATACTATTTTTAAGAATAAACAATGTAACATGATCTTGTAAAGGACTCCTCTGACAATGTTCATCTATGTACACATATATTTACGTTAACAGATTCCTGAAGCCAACAGACCCTTGGAATTCCATGGTCCTGATCCCAAATGGCGCTTCTTCTGGCGCATTGGTGAACAACCTCCTACCACTCAGTTCCCTCGTCTCAATGCTGAGCCCGTTGTCCCTGAAGGTTAGCAACTGTGCTAAGTGCGTTTTTTTTCTCCTTTTGGACTTCTTTTCGGCATCTATTAACCTTTCTTATTCACGTTTTTATGTTATAGCATTCAAAGATGTTTGGGCCAAGACTATGGATGCATGGGGTAATACTCTCCACAAGGCAGTTTTGGGCTTGGCTGAGATGATTGCAGTCGGATTTGGATTGCCCAAGAAGACCTTTGTTGATATGGCTCAATATGGTCCTCATTTGCTTGCACCAACTGCCAGCGACTTGAACAAGTATGGCAAAGTTGGCGCTGTTCTTGCTGGGTTCCATTACGACCTCAACTTTTTGTATGACCTTCCGACTATTAAGTATTCTGCATAAGAACAATGTCTTTTTTCTTGTGTTTTTTTATATTTGACGCTCAACAATTTCACTTGTTGGATAGAACCATCCATGGCAAGTCACGTTACCCTGGGTTGAATATTTGGCCACGCAACGAGTCCGAGAAGCTTGCAGTCCGAGTTCCTGATGGCTGTCTCTTGGTACAGGCAGGCAAGCAACTAGAATGGTTGACCGGTGGAGTGGTTCAAGCTGGATACCATGAGGTGATTGTTAATGAGGCTACGGCGCGTGTTATTGAGAACAAGACCAATGATAGGCCACTTTGGAGAATTTCGTCCACATTCTTCTTGCACATTGCGTCAGATAATGTTCTGAGACCACTCGAGGGCGTGTTTGATACGGAGGAGGCACGTCTAGCTAAATATCCCAAGATCCATACGGGTGATCAAGTTAGAAAGGAGCTTGGATTGATTTCACTTTTGGAGAAGTAATATGAATAAAAAGTAGTTTGATAGAAGAGAAAAAAGTTAAATGAACAAAAAAATGAGCAGAGTTTGTGATGTCTCCTCTGAGACGAAGGCGGCGCAAAGTGACTGCCACATTTATGATTGGTTTGCTAATTTTTCTCCACATTTTTTGCTTTTTTTCAACCGGTCACCTGCTTCTGCATACGTCCACACGGATGCAAAAGAAGGATTTCTGAAGGGTAGTAAGAAAGAAAAAGAAAAAAAATATTCCAATCTGGTAGTTTCGCTCTTTTTATATTCCTCTATTGGCGCCATCCTGGATAGAAACGCATCAAGTTTATGAGTGACTTCTGCGGACGAAACCTCGGAAATTTGACCATCAGAAATGCCGAACTGTCCGAGGCTCGGAATTATTGCTTTGTTTGGGAATGAATAAGCATCTGATGGTTTCCCTTGCCCCCTTGAAAGAATAAAGACACAAATCGACACCAGTAGTTTGATACGAAATTCAGATTTTTTTTTTTTTTTTTTCCAGATTGACATGTGCTTCTGTAGAAAAAAGGATGTTCCCATGTAATAGAGCTAGGTGAGACATAAACATTAAACATTACACACAATTACACACAAGCACAAGCACACATAATCTGCCTAAAAGGGTTGTTTTCATGTGCGTTGGAAGTTATGAAGATAACTGCCATCCTGTTCACACTCTTCCTGTGGAACCATTTCTCAAGTTGCTTACAATATACTGTCAAATCAAAGCACAAGATGGAACAAAACAAAAAAGAATGCCCACGGATGCAGATGAATGCCAGTAAACATTGTTATAGATGAGTTTCTAGATGTGAAGAGAAAAGGGAGGCGAAGAAGAAAGATAGAAACGATTATAAATGAGGAGTGGACTTGAGAAAGAGTTTGTTTGTGTGTAGAGTGAGCATGAACTACGTGCATCCCATAATAACAAAGGTACTCTGGTCTGGCCTGGTCCCATTGCATCTGATGAGAGCCAATACAATGTCTAATTGCGGAATGATATCTCAAGATACAATTTTGTAAGATGGTTTCTTTCTTTGTTGGCAAAGACTATTGACCATTGGGTACGGCCTTGCACCTCCCCGAGACAACAAATCTTTAGCCAAGAAGAGAATCTTCTCCACACACCACATTTCATGCACTCGCGTCCTCCCTCAGTTGTATAATTTGACCCCCTTTCTTCCTTTCGTCCCTTTCTCTTCTCTTATTTTCCTTTTTTTTCTTTTATCTATTCGTCATTCTCCTCTTTCTTCACCCTCCTCTTTCCCTATCCTTTTCATTTTGTGTGATCATTCATATCTCTTATCCTGCTTCTCTTCTTCTCATCCTAAATACAAATCATGTCCGGATACTTCTCTGTCAGCCAGGTGGCTTCTCATAACTCTGAGGTATCTATTTCCCCTTTTGATTTGTTATTCCTTCCACCCCTTCACTTCTCTTCACTTCCATAATGGACGAGAACGCGTCTGTATGCTTGTCTCACGCAAATTTCATGACCTGACGCGCTTAATCACGTATTTTTTTTTTTCTAATAGAATGATTGCTGGATCATTGTCCACGATAAAGTCTACGACGTTTCAAACTTCTTGAACGAGCATCCTGGTGGCAAGGTAAAAAAAAAAAAAAAAAAAGAAAAACGATGAATTAATTGTTGCCATGTAGAAATGGAGCACAGCATGGTGTTCGGTCTAATTCAGACTGCAGGCGGAGTTTTCTTTGTCCGTGCTTGTTTTGTTCACCGGAAGTCTAATTTTCATTCGAGAAAGTGTGGAGAAAATGCAATATGAAAATATGCGCATACACTGATATTTAATGTTAACCCGATGTCTTGTCTGGCCTATCTATAGAAAATCATCCTCAAGAATGCTGGTACCGATGCTACCAAGCAGTTCGATGCCTTCCACAACCCAGGTATATAAAAAAGATGACCTGTATAGAGGGATGCTATGTGTCTAATAATTACATATTATGTCTATTGATCTTCGGATACTGAACAATGTCGATGTGCCCTCTTCCCAATATCTCTTAATAGGTGTCCTTGAAAAGTACGGCGCTTTGTGCATTGGAGTTATTGGCGAGCCACCCAAGGATGGTGCTGTTGAGCCTTCTGGCGAGTCTCATGCTAATGTCGAGGACGACGAGTTCCAATTCGGCGAGATGATTCCATTTGGCGATCCATCATGGTGCGTATACATTTCAATTATTTAAGCTTGCTTGCTCATTCTCTTTTCTTCCCTCTAACACTTTTTTCCTCCGATTCTCTCTCATACAGGTACCAACAATGGGGTAGCCCTTACTACAAAGAGTCTCACCGTCGCCTGCGGAGATATGTCCGAAAGTTTGTTGACACAGACATCATGCCCTTCGCTCATGAATGGGACGAGGCCAAGCAAGTGCCAATGTTCCTGTTTAAAAAGTGCGCCGAGATGGGTATCCTAGCTGCCGTTGCCGGAAATGGTACATTGCCCTTGGAGTACTTTGATGTTGAGCAAACAACCTTGTTCCGCGGGGGAGATAAGGCTATCGTCCCAACTCAGGAATTTGATGCTTTCCATGGATTCATTATTTTTGATGAGCTGTCTCGTTGCGGCTCTGGTGGTGTTCTCTGGGGCATCCTCGGTGGTCTCGGCATTGGTCTTCCCCCTATCATCAAGAACGGAAGCGAGGAGCTCAAGCGCCGTATTGTTCCCGAAGTGTTGGCAGGTCGCAAGACCATCTGCTTGGCTATCACAGAGCCTGCTGCTGGATCAGACGTTGCCAACTTGACCTGTGTTGCAAACGAACATGGCGATGGCTTCATTGTCAACGGCGAGAAGAAGTGGATCACGAACGGAACTTTCGCGGACTACTTCACTACAGCTGTCCGAACTGGCGGTGAGGGCATGGGAGGAGTATCTCTTCTTGTAATTGAGCGCAGTATGCCTGGTGTGAGCACACGTCAGATGAAGTGCTCTGGTGTCTGGTCCTCCGGCACAGCCTACATCAATTTTGAAGACGTTAAGGTACCTCGTGCCAACATTGTAGGCAAAGAAAACCGTGGCTTCAAGTACATCATGAACAACTTCAACCACGAGCGTATGGGAATTGTCATTCAGGCCAACCGTTTGGCTCGTGTCTGCCTAGAGGAAGCCATCAAGTATGGAAGCAAACGCAAGACATTCGGTGTCAAGTTGGTCAACCATCCTGTATTGCGTAATAAGCTTGCACATATGGCTCGTCAGATCGAAGCAACCCACGCATGGACTGAGAACGTGATCTATCAGACAATTACTATGCCTGAGGATTTGCAGATGATCAAGCTGGGAGGCCCCATTGCTTTGCTCAAGGCTCAGGCAACTCAAACACTTGAATACTGTGCTCGTGAGGCATCCCAGATCTTTGGAGGATTGGCATACACTCGTGGAGGACAAGGCGAGAAAGTGGAGCGTATCTATCGTGAAGTGCGCGCTTATGCCATTCCTGGAGGCTCTGAGGAGATCATGTTGGACTTGGGTATGCGTCAATCCATGAAGGTCGCTACTTCGATGTATGGCGCCAAGTTGTAAAAAAAGGGGGAATCGATAGTAAAGAAGTAATCGGTTGTAAATACATACAGACTCCAGTTCGGTTAACCAAATCAATTCAATAGAGTATTCAAAACTCCTTCATTCTCCTAAATTTAATCAGTCATTCCTCTATGGTGCCAGTTTTAAAGGCGGGTTTCGCCACGTGACTTCGAATGGAGTAGTGATTGGACGCCACCAATATTTGTTCGATGACACATGGCATTAATAGCATTTCTCACATCATTTCATGTAATTGGACTAATTAGACAACTATACGAATGAAGCTACTTTTGTCTTTCAGGACTTTAACTGGGACTTCCTCGCTCCATAGTCCAGTTGTTCCAAATATAATTAATTGCTTTACTATTAGATGTGTCCGATATTCTCATTACTTTAAATATTGCCTTCGTGATAAGGTATTGTTGGCTCAGGAGACCAAGAGTGGATCACTGCCTAATATCAAATCCAAGTCACCATCATATCACATTCGCACCTGCCAACCACAGCCTGTCCGCTATTTCCACAGCCACAGCCTCAGTAGCAGCGGCAGTCATCGGTATGATATTTTTCAAAAAGCGATGCGATCCGACTATAGTAGTTCAGCAGTATTGACTTCGAAGCGAATTCTCTCAGCAATTACAACAACAGGCGCTGTGACAGGCGAGGAACCTACGAACAAAGATATTAGCGATATTACTGATGAGAGGGGCTTGAAACGAAGATACGAAACGATATCATCACCATCATTCATTAAATTGACAAAAGATGAGAGAAAGATTTTTCGCACATTACTTGGCGCAGCTAAGTACTATAAGAGCCGCACTAATAAGAAAGTTATCCTCCGTGTTGCAGGAGGATGGGTCCGCGACAAGGTAAAGGCTTTATATATGCATTCTTATTCGTCTCCATTCATCTTGTTCATACATCGCTGTCTATTATTTATATTTATTTTAGCTGTTAGGAATCTCAAGCAGAGATATTGATATTGGAGTAGAGGGGATGACGGGACATCATTTTGCAAAGATCCTGAACGAATATTATATTTCTCAAGGAAAGCCAGAAAAACGCTTTGTCGTTATTCCTAGAAACCATATGCGATCAAAGTACTTGGAAACCGTTATTATGCTTATTGCCGGAATGCCCATTGACTTCCTCAATCTTCGATCCGCGGATTATAATGACTCTATGAAGATTCCAGGCGAAACTGTAAGTGTTTTTTTTTTTTTTTTTTTTTTTTTTTTTTCCTTTTTAATAAATAATAATAATAATAATAATAATAATAATAATAATAATAATAATAATAATAATAATAATAATATAAAAAAGCTGACATCTATGTCTTTTTATTATTCGCAGCTATTTTATTAAGCTTTTTATTTTTTTACTTTTTTGATCAACGTGGAATATAGGATTTTGGATCACCATATGAAGATGCTCACCATCGCGATTTTACCATTAATGCACTCTTTTACAACCTTCATACAAACACTGTTGAGGATTATACTGGTAGAGGAGTCCAGGATCTTCAAGATGGCTGGATCAGAACCCCTCTTTTAGCTTATCAGACATTCTGGCAAGACCCTATTCGAATTCTACGGTGTGTTCGTTTTGCAAGTCAGCTTCGGTTTCAGATTGCAGATGATGCAAAGCAAGCAATACTACAGAAGCAGGAGATTCGGAAAGCATTTTCGAAAAGCATTTCATATGAGCGCGTTGGCAGGGAGATGAGCAAGATATTGCGGGACGATGCTGGTAGAGGAATCGCAATCCAGCTCATACGAGAGCTTGATATGTATGATGTTATATTTGCACCTCCTGAAACCAGTATTCTTGTTAAAGGTACCTCTGAAGTTCGCGGTGAAAGAGGAGATGTGGATCAGGCTTTTCAATTGGCTTGGATAATGGAATGGCTCGTTCAGATTCGTCCATGGATGACCGCAGGGGAGGACAGGAGACGGCTTTCTAGATTGAGCTACGATTGGGATTCAGGACTGCAAAAACTGTTGAAAGAGACTCCTTATCTTGAGGGAGCGGTCTACATGCGAACCACTTTTAGTAATAATGACAACAGAGAAAAGAATAAGGACAGCAATAGTAACAAACCTTCTAGGAGTAATATTGATATTGATCAGAATAACAATATACTTGAAGAACGGGGCCAGAAGAATAATATAGTTAACAACGAAGGCAAAGAGATCGAGCTCAAAAACGAGGGCAAGGACAAGGATGAGGACAAAGATGAGAATAAGGATGATGATTATGAAGGTCTTTCATCAGAGGAACTTTTGAAACGCAGCCTATTCCTTTCAACCATCTTATACCCATATAGAAACATGTCGACAGTCGTGAATGGTACTGGCATGCCTGCTAGTCGATGGATCTGTCTATTTAGATCCAGGGTCCGTAAAATCAACATAATGATGACATCCAAAATATTACAAGGGTATAAGGATGCACAAGGACACGTTAATAGAATCATATCTGCGCAAAGCGAACCGTCTGTCAGAAATGAGGGATCTCAGCTGGATGAGAAGGTAAAAATGGTGATGGCAATTAGAGATATTGCTGTGACGCGACACAATGGGGAGCATTGGCCAGGTGTTTTGTTATTTGGGCTCGCACAAGAATTAATCCCTAATCATGACCAGCTCAGGCAAGGCGTCATCGGTAAGGATAGCTTTTTTTTTTTTTTTTTTTTTTCTCTTTCTTGTGAGGTAAGCTTATTAACGCTGTTGAATTATATCGTTTATGGACCTTCACAGATCTTGACGCTAAAGCCAAGGTCATAAAATATAGTACTTTCATGTCAAAGGCTGCAGCATATGACATTGAAGACTGTTACAATTGGCAGCCCAAGGTCCTAGTAAGTCTCTAGCTTAGTCGGATTTTTTATTACCATGCGGTTCCTCGCTGATATTGCAGAATATCTATTAAGGCGTGTTTTCTCCTCTTTCTTTTTATTATTCCATCTACTTCATTGCCGTTAGTATAAAGACCTATTATCACTTGGAATAAGATTTAATAGGAGATACACTTGGATAGCTGAACAGGTTTATGAGTGGGAGCTTAAGCACCCGGAAGCAACAAAGGAAGAGTGTCTGGAATGGGTCATACAGAATCAGCATTTGTTTGCATAAGACGAATGAGATTATCCACTGCTGTATACAAGTCGTTAAATGAAGGAGAGGAGAGATAAGGGAGAGAACTATCTTTCAATAGCTTGTCAAGGACATTTTAGCATGTTGATTTGGGGAGCGGGAGAATGAAGCACCTAGATAAAATCGTCATCCGCCTGTCTTTCTATTCTTTCTTTTTCATTTTACCCTATTCTGTAAGTTTTGTTGTAATGAATGTCCCGACATCTTAGAATCATAAATTACGCACTCATATATAGATACTCATACACCGCCGTTTACTGCTTTTTCCTACTTTTAATTAATTTAACATGTATTGGGCACATGGCCATTTAAATGAAAGTGATAGTAATTTGGGCATAAAATGTGATTATTGGAAGAGTTGTAGTTCGATGGAGCATTTATAATCTTTCTATATTTCTATATTGTATTGCCTCTATGCATGCCTGTTATTACAAGGTGAGTTGATCATGCTCATAATGGAATGACGCGCAGTATGTAAGCAACTTGCATGGCCCTGTTATTTTGTGCATCACTAGGCGTAAATGTGTACAAATATGCGACAGTATGTTCTTAGGCAACTAAAAAAACCTCCGCGAATTATTTTATATTGAGCATTGGATTTCCTACTATCCTTTCTGTCTTTTCCTTTCTTTCTTTCTTTTTCTTTTTTACAGAGATGTATAAGAGCGATGACAAGCTTCCCAAAAGAAAACCATAATATTGCCGTATATTGCCGTTCCCCCCAATGCTGCTTACGCCAGCTCTGATTACCCATAGAGCACAAGTAAGAATTTTTTATGGATGAGACTTTGATGATGGTAGCTTCTGCTTCAAGCAAATTTCAACGCTCCAACCTTATTTGTGTCAGTTCAGTATTCAAGGACAATTTTATAGAGGCTCGTGCGCAGGCCAGGAACATGTACATGTACACAAGGCTCTAAAGAGTGTGGCACAAAGACGTCCTATTATTCGGTTGCTCTTTTGAGTTGAACTTTTTGGCGGTAAAATTGCTGCATCCACATGTTCAGACAATAGACACATGTGTTGCACATTATCTACAATTTGTAATTGCATTGTCGATTGAGACAGAAAGAACTAAAGAACAGATAGAATGGAAGAACAAAAAGAATCCTTTGCATGCCACTGTCCTAATAGGGTAGGAGCAAGACACTATCCCTTTTCCCGTCTGTGTCTGTCTCTCCGCATTCTGCTCTCGCCCTTCCCTCCTCCTCACTTTCACTCCCACTCTCAAGTTTACATTCACTCAGCCTCAACTCTTTCTGTCTGTCTGGTCTGCCTGTCTGCTTGCCTCCTTTGAATGACGATGACTGAATCATTTGTGAGCAAAAAAAAAAGTTCATTTTCAGAAAGCATAAATGAATGAAATAATGAATGAATGAAAGAATCATTCATGTGTAGAGGCTGTCATTGGGAATTAAGCCCGGAGAAATGTCAATTGTCAACTGGTTCCAGTTTATTCTGGTCTTTAGTCTAAATATATTGCCTATTTGTATTAGATCCACACTGTTCATGAGAATATAAAACACTGCAATATATAACATAATACAATTATAGAAATTATAAATGTCCTTATATTTTAGTCACTTTCTTTTTCTTTTTCCCTTCTTCTACTCCTTCTTGCTACTCCTTCTTGCTACTCCTTCGTCTTTTTTGGATCCTCTCATTTGCAAAAAAAAAAATTCTTGCTCATTGACCCATTTCTTCTTTAAGGGTCCTCTTCTTTATTTATTTATTTATTTATCTTTTGTGTAAGTGTTTAAACTTATTTCACAGTGAGACAGACAGAGCTTAATAATTGCTGGTCCCCACAATTTTCTAAGCTATTACAGGGACGCGTCGTGCCTTTTCCTTTGAATTCCTTTGTCAGTTAACTTTTTTTTTCCCTTTCTTTCTCCCCTTCCTTCTTTCCTCCTTGCCTTCCTCTCTCTCTTCCTTTCTTTTCGTCCTTCTGTTGGTATTACTCACCTAGTCATTCACCCACATAAAAGATCTTATTCTTTATACATTTCCACAGATTGCACCTAATTCATTTGACTACTTCCAGTACAACTGCTACTACCACCACAATTGTTATGCCCTCAACGGCAAGTCCCTCAGGGCCAGTGCAAAGCCATGGGCGCTTGGCAGGGGCTCCCGTCCTCTGTGCATCAAAAAGCCCCATTCGCTCTCGACAGCCTCTACAGCCCTTACAACCTTTGCAACAGCAACAGCAGCAGAGTAATCACCAGAGCTACCACCGCCACCAACAACCACTACAACCATATAGCAGCAACAGCACCATTAAATCTAATAGCCGCAACGGAAGTAGCGCCACTAACATTGCCAGCCACTATCGTCCACATCATAATCATTATCAGGAACACAATTCTCCTTCATTGTTATCGCGATCAACGGGTAGACAGGCCCAACATGAACAAACCTATTCCAACTCACCTATAAAGCCGTCCTCAAGTACCATGATAGCAACCACCGCCACTGACCTGAAGGCTTTGCAAAATATCCTAAAGCAGAGCTATTCGACCAACAACATCAACGGTAATAGCAGCAAGGTTACCATATCTGTTGGTAGTGTGATCAATACTGGTCGCAGTAGCCACAGTAGAAGCTCATCACAGACCTCTCGCAAGAGAGTTAGCATCAGTAGCAGCACTAGTAGCAATGGCAGCAGTGTTAACAGCGCCCTTAACAAAAGTAATTTGTCGGCTTCAGCAATCTCAACAACCTCAACATTTTATTCAGGTGTCAAATTAGCGCCGCCAATCTTGAGCGCTTCTGTGCTGGGTATTGAACGTCGGACTTTAGATCAAAAAGCATGGTACACCATCCAAGTCTTCCCCTGTGACCAAGAGATCCCTTCACCTAGTTCGCTCTCGCCTCCACTCTCGAGGAGAAGCAGTAATAGCTACAGCAACTCTACTGTCTCCAGTAATACGGCTAATATACATTTTAGATTCAAGTTCACCAATGAAAACGCAACCAGAGCGGCAGCATCCCCATCCATCAAACCCATCAAATCATCTATCTCACGTAAACCTTACAAAATTTATCGACGGTATGAGGATGTGGCCGACTTTGCAGATCAGCTGGAGGAAGAATTTCCCTCATTACTGGCATTAACACCAACATCAACATTAGTACCGGTGTTAACATCTCATCAGCTACAGCTACAATATACAACTGTGAGCAACAGCGACAGTCCAAGTTCTAGTATTAACGTAAGATTTACTCTCCCCCTCCTATCCCCTCTTCCCTTTCTATCCATTATTCTTTCTCTCTACCATTTCGGCATTGATGATGGGTGCATTTGTTATCATCTCTAGATCTATCTACATCATTATCTTGTGTTCCTCTCCTTTTATATTTGAATGTTTGCTCTCCCTCTCTCTCTCCATCTCTTTATTTCTACCCTCTCGCTCGCTCTCTCTCTCGCTCTCTGTCTCATACACACAGATATTCTGAGCGTCATTGCAGTGTATGTATGGGAGAGAACGAGCGATCTCTCGTGGAATTTTGAAACGCGAGATTTTAGCGCAGGACAATTATAGAAAACGTCCGAGAGTCTTTTGTCATCACTGAGCAAAAGCAAAGTAGGATAGACACAGACACGTGTCAAGTAGAAACCACCTCAGGACAAAAAGGCTTTTCTTAATCTTAGTACTTTGGTTCCTCTCGCTTGCTCAATGATTCTAAGACTAATGCAAAGTTGGCCTAGATTCTAGTGGTAATTGGTGTTCCGCCGTTTTTTTATTTTTTATTTGGCTGCTACTGGTGGCTGTCAACAATAAGGGACTATCTACAATAATCGTGTAATCGTGTAACATCTCATCAACATCATAAGAAAAGGGACCACAATCAGTAAAATGTGTAACGGAACAGACAAGAAAGGAAGAAGGTGCAAACAATAGCTAAAAACAGTTTTTGAACCATAGCCCTTCAATTGGTACAGTCACATCTCGATTTATTCCATTCTTCTTTCTGCACACCACTTTTGTTATTGAAACGACTAATGGAATTCATGAACAAAGGAGGGAAACGAAAAAAAAAAAAAAAAAAAAAAAAAAAAATGCGGATAATTTGCTCAGCTTCTTGTTTAATGAGCAACAATGCTTACAAGAGAATTCGTCATTTTAAATTTTGCATCTCCTTAAAGCTTTTCATTTTTTGGGCCTGTCGGTCAGGCTAGTGAACGTGAATTTGATGCCATTCTATCATCTTACCTGCGGACCAGCATGAATGCCCTTCTTTCATTTGTCTGATTACTTCCTCCTGAGTTCCTTAGAAATATATTTCTCATATTATCTTTGATTTCCATTCATGTAATATAGGACAGGCCATCTTTGTCAACTTTGCTCACGACATCTGCAAGCAACAGTAACAATAATAACAATAATAACACCCACATAGGCAACAGTGGTGCTGCAATGAGCTCAGGCCTTGGTATTCATGCACATGCATCTCCCAACGACCTTTGTACAGCACCAACAGCATCAACACCCATTTTGCCTCGACTGAAATCCCCGTTGGTATTGTTTATGACAAAATCAGTGTGCCTCCAACGTAAAGAAGAGCTCGACAGATACTTGCAAGAGCTGTTTGCTCTTGGGCCCATGGTTGCACAGTCGCGCCTTGTGGCCGAGTTTTTTGGGATATGGAAGACTGATATGGAGGCTCATATGCGTCAAGAGGACCGAGACCCATTAGCCCTGCACACACAAACAACCGCTCCATTTATAGAGAATGAAACAAAAAAAGCTGACGACGTTAATGCAAGAGCAAAGGCCAAGGCCAAAGGAATGATAGAGCCAGAAACAGAAAAAGAAGCATCAGTAGAAGTGAAAGTAGGGCTAGTGACTCCAGCAAAAGCTGAAAACGCAATGACCAACAATGTTGCTGTTGCCTCAATGAGCTGCGAGAAGGCAGTAGCGTGGGGAGGGGGAATAGAAGAGAAGAAGACGTACGGCCCTCATAAGCAAGAGGCACCTAGCGATCATAACAATGCGCCGATCTTGAACCGAATGGCCATATCTAATAGTAACGACCGCCGCTTTTCTCCTGCATCTTCAGTACCAGGCTCTCCAGCTCGTCTGCAGTCTGCTACCCTAGCGCTCGACATTGCGGATGGCAAGGACAGGAGCTTTATCGATACAAAAACTGACTCAACTGCCACTATGTTTTCTTCCATCTCTCGTTCTCCGGCTCCTCCAAGCACAAGGCCTACAATTAAGATGCCGGCTATCACGACAACGGCGTCAACAATGACAACCACTCACCATCCTTCATCGCCATCCTCCTCTTTTACATACATGACATCGCCCACACTCTCCTCACCCAGCCCTAGGAAAACCCACTTCCCACGTAAGGCCTCAACGCCTTCAGGGTGCACAGCAGAGCTACTCATCCAAGCCTTGGAGGACACAATGCCACCGGGGTCATTCTCAGGGTTGGCGCGCATCAATGGAGCAGATGTAGAGGTGATGTCTCCCACTACCGAAGCAGTAGCCCCAGCTCCAACATTGATTGGTAATAGTGGCTCGCATAGGCACCCAACTCCTCCTTTGGGGCTAGAAGCAGCAGCGGTTACGTGTACTGGAGCTGATGGAGGAGTTATTAATACTACAGCTCGCACTATCAACCGACTCAAATCACTCCGACGCCCAAATGCTTCAAAGTATCAAAGCCAAGGAACTGAGATTCACCAGCATGGCTTCAGCCATAATAACGGCGACACGTACTCAGCTGCATCTATGAAAGGAAGGTCTAGCTCCAATACCTTTCAGGGAGCAACACCTGTGGTTGCATCTGCAGCCGGAAGCAATACACCAATCTCATCGTGCTCAATTGTAAGTGCCGCGCAGCCACATGGATTTACTTCGGCTGCTGCTGGCAGCGCAATGAGACCAAGGGTCATGAGGTACTCTAAGACAAATATATCCCGTCCTGAAGTCGATATGCAACCGCTTTCATCCAAGGATGTGACCCCACCCTGGAATAGGACCTTCACGCCGGTACTTGCAAGCAACTTCAACGATCCATCCACGCTCCATTCCCCAATCAGTCCTACAGCATCTGGCAGTCCAAACAGTAGTCAGCTATCACTGTCACTATCCACCAGCAACCCTAATGGCACTGTTGCAGGGGAGAGCACATCTACATTCACAGTGGTGCCCAGTGGCCTAGAGGGTCGGTCACATAAGCCGACCATGTCAGATTCAAAGACCATATCAGCTATTTCCAGTTGGAACATTGGCGCTGGTGGCAGTAGAAGTACTTCCACGCCGATGTCACCAGGGACGAAGATACCCTTGTTAACGCCAGCGACTCTAAGCAGCAGCAGCAACGACAACAACAACCACAAGGCTGGTAGAGGTGATAATAATTCAACTCACCATGGTCTCCGAGCAAGATCCATGTCAATATCTTCCATGTCTTCAACTCTCTCTGTGGCAACGACACCCCCAGCCGCTCCTGGGGATCGCATGCATCCAAACGCAGAGGCAAGCAAGCAGTTGCATTCGCTAACCAAGGTTAGCTCATCAACGTCTTCTTATTCGTTATCATCTACAGCGGCCTTTGTCCCTGTAGAGCTTGAAAGATCGTTTCAAAAGAAGGAAAGACTGGTTCAAAAACCACATGTTATGTTGACTAGCAAAGGGCAGGATGGCGGCATCGGCATCAATGATAACAATCTTTCTGGGAAGGCTCTTGTACTGACGCAACCGTCTGGGGTCAGGGAACAGCGACGTCCATCAGCTGCATCTGTATCTGGGCAGCATGTACGGGCAACCATTACTTCGAAAATGAGCAAGAGTGGCAGTAGCAAAAGACATGGTATGTCGCATTCTATTTCAGTACCAAGGGGGTCTTCTCTGCCTTCCATGACTGCCACAGCCTCTGGTGCTACTTCACCCTCATCATCCGCTACAGACGTCCCCAAGGCGCAAGTAACAGAGTCAGGATTATCACAGGAAAGGGGTTCAGCTTCGAGTATAACAATCAAGAAACGTGTACAAACTCGTAGAGAGTCTATGACCAGTTTATGTTCGCCCACTTCGTCAACGAAACAGCCGGTTGGAATCTTGAAGAACGCGTATCAAAATAATAACGGCAACAGCAGCAGCAGTAGCAATAGCAAGATCAGTGGTGGCCATAGAAAACCAAGTTTCGCTATTCCTTCGGCTGCCAACTTGTTCCCAGTGCAATCGCAACCGTCTCTGAAGAAACCGTCCTTTAAGCCTAATGTGCCGACACCAATATTACCGCTATCACCATCGTCATCACCAATTGCAAATGGAGAATGTTCTCCCTCCATTGTTGCAACGTTCAAGGTTGTGGTGGATGCAGATACAATTGTAGCACTACAGGTGTTTGAGGATAGAGGATTTGTGTTGACGCTAAAAGAGCTTCAATCGCGAGTGCAAAGCAAATTACTCAAGTCCAATATTCAGCTGCCAGAAAAGTTTGATTTTGTCTGGGTGATGCCCATAAACAGTAGCGGCGCACTGAATGGTTCGTTAATGAGCCCATCGAGCAGCGCCCCATGGTCACCATCCCTGCTTTCGCCAGTTTCTGCTTCATTTTCAGCTTCTATGACTGTGACTGCAACTGCGGGTACAGCTTCTTCGGCCTCAGCGTCCTCAACTTCAATCCACCATTTGTCGGATCCAGGTGTTATCTTAAAGTCGGATGAAGATCTGCAAAAGGCTATCCACTCGTGTAAGAACCATAAGGTTACTTTACGATGCAGTCTTTGAACATACCCTGCCTTTTTATTCTTTTTATTATTATTGTCATTGTTATTATTATTTATTTATTTATTTGAAATGTCACCTTTTCTTGGTTCAAGACCAAGCATGTATATAATATATATATTCCGCCCTTTTCTCGCCCGAATGTATCCATTATATTTAATACTCATAATGAAATTGCCTCAATGAACTCTTGTTTTATCCGCACTCCTTCCTCTCCGCATTAATGTAGATAGTCTTTCCTTCCTTCACCCTTTTGCTAAAATGTTAATGACATATGAATAAAAAAGTACGCTTACAAAAAAAATAAAAATCCACACTCTGGCTTGACGCAGTAAAACATACTTCTCTTTCTCTTTTCTTTAAGCTGATCCAAGGGAAACAATACTCGTGCTAAATATGCTGTGTAATAGAAAGTTTTTCAGTATTATTATTATTATTATTATTATTATTTTGGGTGTCTTTGAAGGTTGTTCGCATACTCACGTAGGAAACTATGTAACAAAGAAAAGGAAGGAAGGAAGGAAGCATTGATATAAATGAGATTGAGTGTATGCTTGCGCACAGGGCAAAGGCTAAATCTGTTATTGCACACAGTCAACTACAATGGAGCAGTGGGACTGAATTTTTGGCCTTCAAAATCCTTGAAAGGGGAATATATTTTTCTTTCCATGATTACTTTTTTTTTTTTTTACGTTCTTTCACGTTATAGAAGAAAAGATCCATCAACCTGCTTTGGCATTGACCCTTTCTTTTCAATAAAAAGGAAATCAGGAACACATAACAAGTAATCGGAAGTAATAGAAACAAAGAGTGAGAATGGTTCACAATAGCAGTTCAACAGACGGATCAGTGCATGACCAGGACACCATCATGACAGAGCCTTCAAAGGACACTGTAACATCATCCTCAACAATGACAACAACAGCTAGCAAACCTACCGAAGCTACTTCTGACACATCAGCAACAGGGGTCATAAAAAAACCACCAGGGTCAGGCCCTATTCCAATTACCATGGACGTTTATCTTCAACAGAAGCGAGTCGTGGAGCGCAGACAGCAACAACAACAACAACAACAACAACAACAACAACAACAGCTGCAGCAACAGCAACAACAGCAACAAACTGAGAGTAAGGACCCGCTATCAATCCACCCACATGATAAACAATCAACAACTGCATCTACCCTTAATGCAATAGAACAAATCGCCAGTATTGTACAAGCAACGGTACCAGCTCTGGTACTGACACCACAGCAGCAGTTACAACAACAACAAATACACCAGGTTCCGCTACCGGGTCCTGATCTGACCAACATCATCTTTGGACATACTCCTAATCAGCAGCAGCAACAACAACAACAGTACCATCAATCTGTGATCGACAACAACGCGTTGGGATACGTGTATGGCGGCGCTAACACAGGCTCATCTTCAAAACCAAGTGTCGGAACGACTAATGATGGCAATACAGGAGCCAACCAGAACCAAAATCAGAACCAGAATCAAAACCAAAACCATAGTCATAGTCATAGCCATAGCCATAGCCATAATCATGGTCATGCTCATTCTTACCATCCTTATCATCGCAAGAGTGCAAGTGGGCATCCACAGCAACAACAAAGCTCAAGGACGACATCACCACCAACGCCTAGTGCAACAGCACCAACAGCAGGGTCGTCATCGTCGAGCGCTGTTAACCATAGTAGTAGAAACGCGACACAAAAAGGACCTAGGGCCATTCATGCCATTGAGCTTATCCGTATTTCAGCCGAGATTTTGCAGTTGTAAGCAAGAGAGAGGGAAAAAATGAGCGTGGGACAAAAAAAAATGGATCATTCGATTATCAATGATTTTTTTGGAATATTAACAGGCAGATGTGATGCGGTTTTTTTTTATCATTACGGATTTTCCTCTTCTCAATATAGCCCACCAACTACAACAGGAACAGCACTTATCTATTACCATAAGTACCGCGCCTATCTTCATCAAGCAAACAAGCGTGGCGAACGGGATAATGAGGCTACCAAGGCAGATGAATATGTATGTGCCAAAAAAAAAAAAAAAAAAAAAAAAAAAAAGCTTATTCTTTGTGCTCATTAACATCTATTTTTTTTTATTTTTTTTTTTTTAGTTATTTGCTACAGCGTGCCTACATTTGGCCAGCAAATGCACTGAAGTGAGTCGCAAAGTACGCGACCTTGTCAATGTCACTTATCGAGTGATGAATCCCAGTCAGCCAGGACTTTCACTTTCGACAAAACCTAATGACTCTGAACGACAACAACGAGCAGTCCCATCAAATACCACCACATTAACTGGGACTGGATCTCAAAATCAACCTCAGTATACATATCCAATAGCCCCACCGCCTACTGTGGCGACATATTGGCATATTCGTGATTCGCTCTTGACGACCGAGTTGATGCTGCTTCGGATCCTACAATTTGATTTGGATGTATCATTACCCTTTAGTGACGTACTCCGGATATATAAGGGTATGGGCATGGTGTTTAGCCCAACGGATGAAGAAGCAGCACACCTATACCCAGCTGCATCTAACTTTGACGTATTTTTGCCAGCATTCAATAATAACACTAGCAATAATAACAGTAATTACAACAGCGGTAATAGCAACGTTAATTCTTTTCCTTCTGGATCATCGCCCCATGTCAGCAACAAACATGGTAGTACACCATCCTCCTCTTCGTCCTCATCTTCTGGACCTTCTTCATCTTCAGTGATGCAGCCTCATACGGGGATTCATCCAACATTATCGGCCTTGGTTCAGATTTCGACCACATTCTGTATTGATGCATTGTGCTCTTCCAACATTGCGTTAAATTCATCCAGTCGAGCATTAGCGATGGGTTCTATCTATTTAGCAGTGAGATGTGCAGGGTTAGAGCTACCATTATCGTTTGAGGATTGGTGTTATGCTTGGGGTCGGCCGAATATTGCAGCTGGGTTTGGGATCCCGATTGCTGGAGGAGGAGGTGGAGTAATAGGAGGAGGGGGTGGAAGTAGTGGTAGTGCTGGAGTTAGTAATAGCAATGTGATTGGTATGGGGAACACTAGTAGCAGCGGTCTTGGGATGAATACAGGAGGAGGCGGAGTATCATCAGGAGTGAATGGAATTATGGGATTGAGCGGTACTGGCACCAACAGTTTGTTTGTTTCAAGCCCACGACCTTCTTCAAGTGATACTACGGCCATGTTTATAGAGGGACTTGAGACGACAACGAGCACTGTTGGAATAGGGGGAGGAGTGGTGAATGGAATGTCTTCATCACAGACACAGTCACCCTTGCTGAATAGTAATAACAGTCCACAGCCATTGTCGCCTGCCGTATCAGCATCATTAGAAAGTACTATCCAAGATCCACATCATCATTCTTATCAACAGCATCATCAACCGATGACGGTTGTAGATGAAGTTCGAAAAGTGGTCCAGGAGCTGGGCAGCTTTTACACACATTAATAATAATACAAATTTAATCCTTCTCAGCTGTCTCTCTTTTTTTGTTTATTTGCTTTATTTATCTTTGCAGCTCATTGTGTTAACAAATGGGCAGAAGAGATGTTGATCGTACAAAATGTCTTTTTTATTTCATTTTATTTATTTTCTGATATGCCCAAAATTGAGGAATGACATGGTGTTATTTACAAGTGGGCAAGGACAGCATCAGCGCCTGAGACAGAAACTCCAGGGCTATTGGTGACCGAGTGATAAAGTGAAAGAGAGGAAAAAAAAAAAAAAAAAAAAACAAGCGTGATCAATTACTCGGCAACAATTCAGAGAAATTTTACTTTTGCTTGCGATAGATTAAAAGAGAAAAAGAAAATAGGTGATGATGATCTTACCTAGTCTCAACGCCAATGTAGGTAACCTTCAAGTCATCAGCCACAAGGGCAAAGCGCTTGGAGCGAATGCTACCCATGCCCATCTTAGAAAGGTCTAATTTTATTTATTTATTTATTTATTTTATCGGTTAGTAAAGCAGGTTTTTTTTTTTCCCACGTTCATTCAAGGTCTTTTCAATCTGTGTGCATCAACAAGCAAGCTCGAGTTGTCTTTTTTTTTTTACCTTGATCGAGCCCAGTGGCCTTAACAAATTCACCATTGCCATCGGAAGCAAGGATGATTTTGTCGTTGGACTTTGTCCACTTGCCCCAAGCATCCATGACGCTGAAAAAAATCATGACATGTAAAAAAAAAAAAAAAAAAAAAATGCACCCGTATTTAATTAGCCAGTAATTTGTGTTATGGCATAGGCGGAAGGCGGGCAATATTTCATGCGAGAGCTTTGGCGTTCATTCAACAAATTCAATCTAGAATTTAAAAAAAAAAAAAAAAAAAAAAAAAAAACTTACAAGGCATCGCCTGTGGAAAGGCAAATGATTTGGTCAACACCCTTCTTGACAAACTCGTCATACTTTTGACGGAACCTAATTAAGCAAAAGAAGTATGTAGATAATTGTTTTAATGCTTGTATCGTAAGAACGCTTTTTATTTTTCTCTTTCTTTCCTTTTCTTTGCTTCTTTTTTTTTTTTATAGGCCAAACGAATAAAAAAAAAAAATACGTGCTCTGGCAAGTGCTGGTTGTTGCAGGTGGGGGTGAAAGCACCGGGAACACCAAAGATGACAGCTTTCTTTCCCTTGAGCGAGTTTAGATCGAAGACTTGAGGGATTCCACAAGCATTCTCCAATGCAGGGTCGTAGGGACTAAATTCATAAAGCATAAAAAAAAGTTAAAAATCTGAAGGAACAAAAAGGGACAGGATCGTTGATTTCACATACCAGTACTTGAGCACGACAATAGGGAGGGTATCACCGACTTGGATCTGATAAAAAAAAAAGGATTTGGGAAACGTGAGAATTCGGCTGCGCAGAATGCGTTTTAAACATCCTTGGGGCAAGATATATTTTTTGTTGTGATAAGGACCTAATTGCAATTGAATATATTACACTACCTGAGTCATGTTGAAAAAAAAAAAAAAAAAAAAAAAAAAAAAAGAGATAAAGAAAAAGGCTGAGAGTGTAGGGGAACGAGGAGTGAGAATGGGGGAACGATGGAATGAAGGAAAGAATGAAAATGGAATGAAACAAATGCTTTTTTATACGTTTTTTTTTTTACGCGTTCAGTGAGAGGGGGCTGATGTCGTCTCCTGATTGGATAGCAACTGATCAATAAGATCAATATAAAAATAAAAAAAATCGACGCGTAACAACTACAACGGGCAATGCTATGATAATGTTATCGCATGCTTCTTTTTTTTCAAGGCTAAGTGAATTTATATAAACAAAGATGATGAGGAATGGCATTTCTTCCCAATTAGCAGAAGATAACAGAATCCGTTAATTATTAGCAAGATATAGGAATTGGAGGAAAGTCGTATGTGACCTATATATAACTTATTACCAAAAGACAAGACCGATCTATTGCAAAGACTCAAATAGCGATACGCGTGTATTTAAAGAAGAGAAAAAGGGCCCTAGATAGCTTGAACGTGTTTATAATGAATGTGGAATGTGAAAAGTAGGAGAGGATCTAAAAAAAAAAAAAAAAAAAAAAAAAAAAATTAATTATTGGCATAGGTGTATAAGGAATAACATCCGGCAAATGTTTACATGAAAATGTATCTGTGTATTACATTGCTCCAATGGCACCTGTGTACAGGTCCTATGATATTAAAATCAACATCGCCCATCTTATTCTTTTCCTCTCTCCCGCTTCTTGATTCATCAATCTTTCCTCCCTCATTTCCATCTCGTTCTTCACTTTTCATCTTCATTAACAAAATACATAAAACACACACGCATCTTGTCATTTTCTTTCCAATTTTCTTCCATCAAACATGAGCTGGTAATGAATATATCTCTATACTTTATCCCATCTCCACTTGTTTGTTAGTCTGACAAGCAACAAGCTAAAAAAAAAAAAAAAAAGAAAAGAAAAGAAAAGAAAAGCCATCTCATGTGAAGAGAATCGCTCTCATTCTCTCTCTTTTGTTCTCATAGGAAGGGACTCACAAAGGCTGTCTCGCGATTGCCTCATACCCTCTCCACAAAGACCGGCATTCGTGATTGTATGTTTTTTTTTTTTTTTTTTTTTTTTCCTCCTCTACTCCAAAACTGATAACCGTTGCATTACGACAAAGTAGAAATTTACAAAGCTTAAAAATAGCACAGCCCACTTGAAACCGGACCTGATATTGATTAAGAAGTTACTTTTTTCATTAATGATATTTAGCCACCATTGATCATGAGTTTAAGGAAATGGAGAAAAAATTCACGGATTGTGAGAAGGCCACTTCTTCATTATTGGGTGAAGTATGCAAATATCGTGATAGCGTCACTGGTAAGTTATCACTACTCTCTCTTGTTGCATGATAAACGTTCATCCGACTTTTTTCTTAACTCTGATAAAAAAACCCTCCCTCCATCTAGCACTATTGAACCATCAAGCGGAGTTTGGCATTGTGCTTTCAGAGATTTATGATCCCGCATTAGGCGAACCCAGCGGGGAAGTGACTCCGCGCCGCGCACAAACCGCGCCCGAATCTATTCAAGCAGTGGATGATTTCCAGGCAGTCATGCGAGAAATCAGAGACATCCTCTTGCCCGAAGTGGTATGCTTGTTCACATACAATATATCGTGTTTATCTCATTTTGGAAGCTTTCATAGTAGTATATGATCACGAAACAATGAATGAAAACCAATGGCATAAAAGTAGTATTAAATATATATATATATATATATATATATCTACGTTGTAGGATAAATTAGAACAGCAAGTCGTTCGTCCTTTGACAGAGATGCAAAACTTGATGAAAATGATTCGCAAGACGATTGTGAAGCGCGAACACAAATTGGTTGATTATGATCGCTTCAGGATCTCGTTGAAGAAACTACAGGATAAGAAGGACAGGACACTCGGTGATGAGAAGCAGATCTTTAAGGTTCAAAGGGAAAAAAGGCTTTTCTTTTCTTTTCTTTTTTTTTTAAATCGATTACTTATTAAGGCTGTGGCCTGCAATTTTTTATATGTCTTACAATAGCTCGAGTCTCAATTGGAAGTGGCGACTGCGGATTATGATGGACTCAATAATCTACTCAAAGAGGAGCTTCCGGGATACTTTTGGCTGCGTACGCAGCTGATGGAGCCTATCTTTTATGCATTCTTCTTTTTGCAGCTACGCATCTCCAATATCCTCCTGGATCGGATTGACCCACTTGCCAGGAGCGGATACTATGATTTGACTATGGATGTCCTGCAGGGCTATGAAAGCCGTAAAGGCGACATTGCTCCTACACTTGAATCGGTTGAGATTATCACAAAGCGATCAATTTCCACTCGTAAGCTATCTTGATGAACTTTGTGCTACACAGCTTTTATTATTATTATTGTTTTATTTCTGTTGGAATGTCATACTGTAACCCTTAACGCGTCAGTGTTTTTTTTTCTCCTTCTGCAGCCTACGCGAGCAAGTACGGTAGATCTTCTCACGACATTAGCTCTACAGGAAGCAGTCCTGAAACACCAAAAGCATATGGAGGGGCTTCAAATACATCTCTGACGAGTCCTAAGCCCTATTCACCCCCAGCACCGCCAGCAACTAAACCTTGGCAGGCTGCTACAACACTTAAGCCATGGCAGCAACATGCCTCGTCATCGCCGTCAACTACAAGCTCTACTGCACCAGCTCCCAAACCATGGCAGGCTGCTCCCAAGGCCGCGCCCCCCGTTCCAGCGCCCAAAGCTTGGCAAGCTGCAGGAGCACATCCATCCTCACCTGCGACTGCCCCAAAGCCGTGGCAAGCAGGAACAGCAACAAGTCGGGCCTCACATGAATCCTCGCCACCACCAGCATATTCATCACCACGGGCAGCAAATGCTACTGCTGCAAACACATCTCCTGGGTCTTCATCCAGAAGTGGACCCAATATTCATCTCCACGTCAGCCCATTCAGTACTGGCATTGCGGGCGCAGTGGCAGCAACAGCAGCAAATGCGGCACTCAACGCAGGGAAGTCAGCCGTTGCAGCAGCCAAGAAGCCTCCACCGCCACCAGTACCAAAGCGACTGGGAGCCCCCAAGATGGTCGTAGCGCTGTATGACTATGATGCACAGCAGGATGGGGACTTGAGTTTCAAGAAGGATGACCGAATCGAGATAGTGGAACGAACAGCAAGTGCACAGGATTGGTGGACAGGCAAATTGAATGGTCGACAAGGTGTCTTTCCAGGTAAGACCTTACATTTCAATGCCTTTTTTTTTTTACATTATTTTGAGAATCATTTGATCTGATTTTTCCATCTGTCGGCCTATCTATCTTTCTCATAGGCAACTATGTTCAAGAACTTTAACTAATGATATAATAAGAAAAAAAGAAAAAGAAAAACAGCACCGGTAAAAAACGAAAGAAGTCTCGATCATTTGAGAACTACTCAGAGGTCTAATACTACATAAGCATAACACGCGTCTGTGACTTATCATAGGCGATAATTAATAAAAAAGGTTTCCTGTTTTGAATTGTGGGGCTGAAATGACAGCGAGTAAAACAAAAGCAGGCAGCAAAATGCATCCTCTTCGACAATCAGGATTATGTATCTGTTAATGGATCTTATGATTGGGGAGGGATATAGCAAGTTGGATCGAAGCATACGCGCCCTTGAAGAAGCAGGCACGTGCATGGTTTTGTTATGATGATGTGACTGCCCACTTTTTTTTTTTTTTTTTTTTTTTGGGCGTTCAACTTCTGGCATTTCCCTTTATCCCCTCCCCCTCTCCTAATTGCTGTGAACCATGTGGGTAGACCTTTTGAAGGAAAAAAATAAAAATAAAAATAAAATAAAATGTAACCAGCTGTACTGTAATTAGCTTCTGTTTACATGTGCTCATTGTTATTGACAATTGCATCCAATTGCATCCAATTGTTAGGTCGAGGTTGATTATTAAGAATTTGCCAAAGCATCTCACGGACGAGCGGTTCCGAGAGCACTTTAGTTCTATTGGCGAGGTTACTGATGCAAAGTTGATGAAAAGTTCGTAAGTGGTTTATAATTACTGTTGAGGAGGATCATAATTAAGACAATGTCACTTTTCTCCCGTTGAAATACGTACATCTATTGACATGAACACCTTTGTAATAGATTTGGTAACTCTCGTCGTTTTGGATTTATTGGATATAAGACAGAAAAGGAGGCCAAAGCAGCTCTAGCACATTTTAACAATACGTTTATTGATACTTCCAAGATCATTGTTGAGAAAGCAAAGGAGGTAAAAAAAAAAAAAAAAAAAAAGTCGAAATAGTGTGCTGAAAGACTTTAGTACTTGGTCCCATGTAAACTCATTTTTTGCTTGCTCAATAACTTTTTTTTTCTTTTGCTTTATTATACTTTTCTTCATTCTTTCCTTCAAGATTGGCGATGAATCACTTCCCAGGGCATGGAGTCAGCATACAGTGGGTACATCAGCCCATGCAAGGAAAATGGGCGCAGAACGACAAAAGAAAGAGGCTGCTGAGGCTGCATCCAAAGCAAATCAGGAAAAGCAAACCAATATGGAACTACAAAAGAAGAAGGAACATATTTCAAAACTTTATCAAGCCGAGAACGATCCTAAACTGAAAGAATATCTGGAAGTGATGCAATCGCGTGCTACGACTAAATCATGGGCCAACGATGATGCTGTAGAGTTGAACACAGAGAAGGCTGGAGATCATCAAACAAATAAGGCCAATAATAAACCAAAGGTTCATGCTCAAGTGATGGCGATCAAGAATAGGAAACCTGGTGGAGAAGGACTGACGGTGACTCAGACGAAGATCACGTTTGACGATTCGGATGATGAACTCTATGACAACTTGCCACTCGTCAAGTCGGCGAACAAGGATGATAAGAAGGCAGAAGAAAACGAGGGAGAGGATGTCCTTATGTCAGATGCAACTCCTAAAGAAGATAGCCTTGTAAATGATTCATCCATCTCTGATTTGGATTGGCTCAAGTCACGTATGGTAAAGCCGGCGCAAGAGAAAATGGAGGAGGACGCGAATGAGAAGGTAAAAAAAAAAAAAAAAAAAAAATCCTCAAAAGTACTCAATTAATATCAATCAATCAGGTATGAACCTCTCTATTTTCACTGTTTAATAATACTCATCCAATTTATGCTTTTTTTTTCCTTTTTTTCAGTCAAGTTCTGATGATGAAAAGGCGGGAACAGATGTCGAAAGATCAGAACCACCAAAGATTGCGCAAGAACCACCCAAGAGACCTGTGCTACTCTCTGCAGAAGAAGAAGAGGAAATAGCCAAGAATCAGATTGCAGATACAGGACGTCTCTTTGTTCGAAATTTGCCCTATACCTGTACAGAAGACGAACTTCGCAAGTTGTTTGAGAAGTTTGGACCTCTGTCAGAAATCCATATGCCGATTTCGAAGGATACTAAGAAACCAAAGGGCTATGCCTATGTTCTCTATCTGTTGCCTGAACATGCTGTCAAGGCATTTGCAGCCCTGGATAAGAAATTCTTTATGGGACGTCTTCTTCATATTTTGGCCTCCAAGGAGAAACCTCAGCCCAAGGAGGATGAAGAGAACCCTCTGGGACCTGGTGGTCGTCCCTTGTCGATTAAGAAGCAACGTGAGCTGAAGAAGAAGGGTCAGAGCGGAATGGATTTCAACTGGAACACTCTCTATATGAATGTATGCTGTCAATTCTTTAATATAAGTGCATAGCTTATTTTGCCTGATTTTGCTTGGTACTGACAAAAAAAAAACGTTCTATTTTTCTCCCTTGTTATGGATTGATGTAGTCGGATGCTATTGCAGCTTCAATTGCAGATCGTCTCAATGTCTCCAAGGCCGACATTTTGAACGCGGATGCGGACAATATGGGTGTACGTCTTGCTGTTGCAGAAACTCAGATCATCATGGAGACCAAGAAGTTTTTACAGGAAGAAGGTATCAATGTGGATGCCTTTGGCAAGAAAGAACGTAGTGATACAGTTATTTTGGTCAAGAACATTCCTTACAATACTACGGAGCAAGAGCTGCAAGACTTGTTTGGCACCCATGGAGATTTGGGAAGAGTCTTGATGCCCCCAGCAAAAACAATTGCGATTGTAGAATTCCTTCAACCTAGTGAGGCTAGGTCTGCGTTCTCACATTTGGCTTACAGGCGATTCAAGGATACGATCTTATATTTGGAAAAAGCACCTGTTGGCGTATTCAATAGCAAGTATGATCCCTCGATGAAGGATCAAAAGGCGGCCAAGAAGGCTGCGAATGAGGAAGAGGAAGCATTGTCAAAGAAGGTCTCGTCCACTCAACTCATGGATGCTACGACGACTGCAGAGGATGCTCAGGATGTGGAGAACCTGGAGGGCGCTACTTTGTTCATCAAGAACATCAACTTTAAGACTACGGATGCAGGTCTGAAGAAAGCATTTGCTAATGTGGATGGTATCAAATCGACTATGATCCGACATAAGCCTGATCCCAAGAATCCAGGCAAGACATTGAGCATGGGTTTCGGATTTGCAGAGTTTATGAGCAAGGAGAAGGCTGTGAACGCAATGAAGGCTATGAATGGGTTTATTTTGGATGGCAACAAGCTTGAGATCAAGTTCTCGGACCGGTCTAGCACAAGCAATAATAGTAAGAGCCGAACTACCCCTAAGGATCACGGTACTAAGCTCATTGTCCGAAACATTCCCTTTGAGGCGACCAAGAAGGACATCCAAGGACTTTTTAAGTAAGTTGTTGAGTTGTTACACAATGCTTTTTTATTTATTTATTTATTTATTTATTTATTTTCGTTACAGCAGCAACACATGTCTTACATTTGTGGTACACATACACATTACTTATTAATATTCTGTTTATAAAAATAGCACTTTTGGTCAACTCAAGTCTGTGCGCATTCCCAAAAAGATGTCTGGAGGTCACCGTGGTTTTGCGTTCTTGGACTTTATGACGAAGCAAGAAGCCAAGAACGTGTACGAGAATGTGGCCAATACCCATTTGTTGGGTCGTCATCTGGTACTCGAATGGGCTGAGGAAGATTCTGGCCTGGAAGTGTTGCGTGAGAAAACAGGTCGTCAGTTCAGGAAGGATGATGGACATGGTAGTGGCAAGCGCAGAAAGATTGATCTTGATAATGACGACGATGATATGATGATGGAAGACGACTAAAAGAAGGGCTTACATTGTTTTTATTTTGTATTTTTTTTATGTTCAAAAGTCAAAAACCATTCATTATAATATTTCCATTGCATCTTCAAAAAAAAAAAAAAAAAAAAAAAGATCTACCTTTTACCTCCCTTTGCTCTTATCATCTTCCATCCAATCCTTATAGCACACGATTTTTTTTTTTCCTTTTCATCCACTACTTTCATCTTTTAATTAACATGAATGCCTGTACCATAACCTTCATCTTTATTCATAAAAATACAGTTTTAAACACATATTTGGAGCTTTTTTAGATTATTTGTGAGATAACTAGTATATATATGGATCTATTATTGTAATAGACAAGGCGCGTCCGTCTTTTGATGATTCATTAGCTATACCCTAATTATTATTATTATTTTTTGTTTCGGCATATTCAACAGCCGTTCATCAAATGTTAGTCCAATTTAAATCTATGAAGGCATCATAGCAAACGGACTGGTGTGTATTACTAGTGTGAGGTGGTAAGGAAATAATAAAGGAGCCCATAGAGAGATAGAGATAGAGAGAGTCCTGTAAAAGTGCTCACACACACAGAGCCTTAGTCATCTCGCGACCATCAGGCTTTTGTTGCTTTCTCGGTAAGTTTTTTTGGAAAGCTTTTTATAATAATGATAATAACCGTTGCCACAAAAAAATCTTCCAACAGTATTATAAGTAAGGGCGTAGAAAAAAAAATGTACTCTAGGTGAGCTTGGTTGTTGTGAAGAAAAGAAAAGGGTATGTATATATGCTGCTTATACATGGGCTATCGGATCTGGCGTCCATGTACATTCCAGATGTCTCGAACGGTGAGCAGGCGCTTGTACCAAATGCTCATTTTCTATTAATCAAACCAGTATATATCTGACCTAATCGTTCTTTTAGAGACGGGGGAGAAAAAAAAAGTGAAAGCGTCTGTTCGCCTGAAGTACCCCTAAACCTTTTTTTTTTTTGTTTTTTTATTGCCATTAAACTCATCAAGATAGTTAAGTTAATATTAAACAGGAAAATAGAAAACGCGCTGTCAATGGCGAAGGAAAAGAAGAAAAATGTTTAAAAATATTAATAAACAAAAGTTGTATATATTGTACATGTATACTATACATGTTGTCTGCTAGACTGATATGAGTGAATGTGCCCTTACTTTTTCTTTTTTTTTTTTTTTTTGTGAGCTGTCAATGCTCAAGTCTGCATAGTTCCATATTCGTTCCTCTTCATTTTTCTACTGTTTCTCTCTTTTTGTCTCTGTCTCTGTCTCTGTTTCTTTTTTTTTTTTTTAACTCCTTTCTTGAAGAAAAAAACGTATAACACTTGATTGTTTCTTTAGTTTCTTCAGAGCTGCATATGATAAATGCGATAAAGACAGGAAACTAGAAGTAAATCCAGGGGCTTTTGGTTGGCGGTTTTTTTTTTAGTACGAGGATCTTTTTTTTATTAGTGCCATGTTAGGATGCATTAACAATAAAAACAAACAAACAAACAAACACATTAATCCTGAATGGGGGACCAAGCGAATGACGAAAAAAAAAAAAAAAAAAAAAAAAAAAAGTCATCAAGGGTCTTATCAGCATTTTTTTTTTTTTTTTGGATAAAATAAGGGATAAAGGGAAGAGGGATGGCAGGAGTAGGAGATTGCAGATGAGGTGGATCGAGAAACCACAACGAAATAAAATTAAAATAAATCAAGGGCGTTGGAACTCTGTATCATATTAATGGTTATACTAGACAAGGCTGCAACTGGCGCCCTGGGTAATCTTGAGGTAATTTGTGAGACAAAGTGTATAAAAAAAGAATATGATTACCATCCATCCATCCACCTTGACCTGTGGCGCATATGTATTACTATGTGTTAGATGTATGTGAATTGAAATGGAATACCCATGAACATTGTCTGATATTCAATGCTGTTTTTAGTCGCGTGAGGCAAAAAAAAAAAGCTTTTAATTGTTCAATCCCTATCTATTATCTTTGTAGATGCCAGGACCCTTGTAATATCCATCCTCTCTATCATCTTGTCATTACGATGACAAAAAGTCTCTCCCAACTATAGTGTCTAGGATAGAATGCTACTGAGGGGTACTCGCTAGGACTCGCGTGCGTTACCCAAGCAAAAAAAAAAAAATAGGCAAGTAAGGAAAAGTAGCGCGAGTTTTATTTTCCCGTCTCATCATTATGAGATGCATCCCCTTCCCAGACGTTGGAGATATTTTTATTTGGGTGTGCCTGGATGAAATTGAATTCATTCAATCCTACGGTTGGAATGGCCTAAAAATACACCATTCAGGAACCTTATTGTTCTCCTCCCCTGCGTGTATGGTTTATTCAACAGAATTACTGTTTATTACTGTATTTAATGTATTAGGACTTTTTTTTTTTGAGGTGCCATGTCAAGTTCCAATGCGAGTATTTTTATCCCCAGTTGCCTATCCCCCACATGCAAAAGCAATTGATTATAATGAAATAGAAGGTCCTGAATATTCTCTCTAAACGTTATTACACTATAGTCTCTAATCTATTCATGGCTTAAAGTTGGCTCCTTCCCTCTTTTTTTTTTTTGTATAAAAGACAACCCTTTTTCTTTTTTTTTTATTGTTCTGTAGACACACCATCTCTCTTCCCAATCACTTTTTCAACAAAGAACAAAAGAGCAACCACTCCTTCCTAAAACTACCTTCATCTCTCCTACACCTTACATCTAACATGAAGTTCATTGCCACTCTCGCTGTTGCCGTCTCCTCTTTGGCCGCCATGGCCTCTGCTGATATGTTGCAGATTAACAACCCTACCGTCAACACTATCTGGAACGCAGGCAAAACCGAATACGTTGCCTGGACTGGCAACTGCGCTTCCATGGGCCCCGCAGGAAAGAACGTCACTGTCGAGATCGTTACCGGGCCCTCGACCTCTGTCCGTCACGTCGGCAACATTGGAACTGTTGATTGCTCAGGAAGCAACAGCACTGCTAACGTCATCATCCCTGAGGACTTTGCCTCTGGCCAGTATGCTTTGATCATCTTGACCGAGCCTGAGAAGTCCTACACCAATGCTTTCACCATTAACAACCCCAAGGTGGCTGCTCCCCCAACTACTGCTCCCCCAGCTTCTAATCCTTCTGGTTCCGGTTCTACTGCCCCTAAGGAGGAAAAGCCCAGCAGTGCTGGATCCTTGGGTGCCAATACCTTCTTGGCTTTGACCGGTGCTGCCACTGCCGCATTCTACCTTCTCTAAATTGAAATTGAGAAAAGAAAAGAAAAGTGGGAGGCATCTGAGAGAGGGTAGGGATCAAGCACAATGCTTGATCCAAGCAGTTGTTGATTCTCTGTTCCTGATTTTTTTTTTTTTTTACTTTGTCTCCATATCCGGGTTACACCAACCCATTCACTCAACAAGACAAAGGAAGAAAAATTACAAGACATGGAGGCGAAGCAACAACCATTTCCTTCATTTATTAGAACGTGTACACCTACTTGCTCTTTTGTTCACCTAGAAAAAAAACAGACATTATAATCTTTCATTACACCATTTTGCTTTTTTTTTTTCTTGTTTCTACTGTAATAAACCATGTAATAAAACTTTTTGATTTACACTTATAAAAAAATGTTCCCAAAGGAACATGATGGATATAGACGGTATATTTATCGTTGAATGCGAGGGTCCTTTTGGAGATTGCAAAACAATAGGAGATATAAAAAGGCTTTCTTTTTTTTAGGATCCAATGCAAGATATAGCCCGTTTCATTTGGTCGCGATACCTTATATTTTTTGAATACTTTCGAGTGTATTGGCAGCCAATTAGCTCGCTTGTTACGAGTATTGTTGCAAGTCCGTCACGTAGTGAGATGCCACCAGAACAATTCAATCATCGTTTTTAGATTAAAAATATAAGGTATCGTGACCAAATAAAATTGGCGATACATTCATTCTAAATAGCTCTCATTTAATCTCACTCTTTCTTTTTTTTTTTTTTTTTTTTTTTTTTTCTTTACAAGCTCTCAATAAATGGCTCTTTTTTTTTTTCTTGAGTGGCATGGCATTGGTACCTTTTATAATTAGCATTTATATATATCGCCAATTTTATTTGGTCACGATACCTTATATTTTTAATCTAAAAACGATGATTGAATTGTTCTGGTGGCATCTCACTACGTGACGGACTTGCAACAATACTCGTAACAAGCGAGCTAATTGGCTGCCAATACACTCGAAAGTATTCAAAAAATATAAGGTATCGCGACCAAATGAAACGGGCTATATATATATCAATATATATATATATGTATTTTACTGCATTTTATTTTCAAACGACGACAATAGGTAAAGGAATGCCTTCTTTCATAACACCTTTTCCTCTTCATACCGAGTTTCTTTCTTACATGACAGGAGATATAGAATATGGTTACACCGGTTTAGAATGAATAAACATTTTTATATTTTATATTTATTTATTTGTATACAAACATGTCCCAATCAAATCCTGGTTGTTTGGCCACCAGAGTTTAAACTTTAAGCTCTCTTGAAATCACTTCTTTAAGTGGATTTTTCGAATCAAGGGGGAGGGGGGTACCCCTAACTCGAAATGGGAGACCACAGTAACCCATGTTTTTTTTTTTTTTCTTTCTTTCCTTTGTAGTGAAATAATGACGTGGATCTTCGCATCCAGTTTGAAGAAGGGGTAGACCAGTAACCGCGATAAAAAAAAAAATTGGAGCCAGCATTTATTCAATAATGTATGGAAGCGCCATGCCATGGATCCAGGAGGGAGATTTCTGATGCACAAGGCCCACGGGAAAGCCTTGATGAGGCCCAGACCATAAGGTCGTTAGGAATCACAAGGTAATTTGCTGAACATGAATTTGTGTGGGCAGACTCTTGGTGAGATCGATTGAGATAGTAAAATATGTCTTTCAGAAGCCAAAGATGGAGCTGGCTACTCTATTGCCATGCATTTGTAATGTTGAAGGTTCTCAATCAATCACTTCTTAAATCTAAGGAAGTGTCTGTTTTCCCTTGTGCCCTCCTTTTTGCGCCGAGCCTGGCTATGGAAGTACTTCTAGCGTCTCCATGGACACCACCAAAATACTCGTGTTGGAGCGAGCATTGATTGACGTCGATAATACAAGGAATGGGAGGAGATCTGCATCACGAACTGACACAACCTGAGTCCTGTCTGCTGTCTTTTGAGGCGCAAAAGGAGACCTTGGTCTACTTCAACCCAAGATACTCTTGTAAAAAACTAGATGTCTATGCTAAGAAAGAAAAGGCTACTAGCCAATATCAACGATGATGCGAAATCCAAATTGGCTGTTTTTTGCAATAATGAGGCCATCAGTAAACTTGTTGATCGCGTGTTTCACTGTGCCGAAAACTGTGCCAACATTGATCATCGTTGGGTCTTCCAAAGTCCCAAAAATGGTGTACTATCGGCTACTTGTTGCTTCCACCCTGTCATAAGCTTCATTCAGTGCACTACACTGGGTTACTATGACATCCCTCTACACATAGCATACGATAATGAGCCTTGGGGCTCTTTCGTGACGGGGGCTTTACTCGCTGCCCCTGCCGATTCAAACGAACAAGCGTACTAACAAGCGCTGTCTTCTTTTTATAAAGATGTATTTTTTATTGATGTACAGTAATAACTGCTTCATTACTAAATGACCCCTTTTTTGTCTCCATCTCTTCAGTTAAGTCTACGTTTTAAGTATTTCTCTCCCGTCTGCTTCTCTCGCAAGCTTTGTGCGGCTTTCCCACCTAGCCAACTTGTGCTTGCTCTTATAGTCCTCAAATCATGGTCTTTCTAGCGATGAAAGTAAGGCAGGGAGCAATTGATTCCAAGGTGAGAGCGCAGGAAAGCGCGGGTTTGCAGAGGCTCAGCAGCAGAAGAAGGCAGAAGTAGTTGGAGACGGTGTATCAGAATGATTAATGATGCTGTAGCATCCGAATGCAGGTTCTGGATTAAGCTCAACTGGCTTGAAAAGGTGAATTGGCGTAGCCCAAAGGAGTTGATTTACGAGAATTTCATGGAGGCAGCTGTACATTGCCAACTCGATGCTTGACTAGGCAATCCAACTGGAATAGGATATTTACTTCAAGGTCATGAAAGCTTCAAATCATCAAGCTCCAGTAGACAGAAGGAATTATGATTATAACAGTTGCTACGAATAGTGCAAATCGTACAAAGGCAGGGAATGAGATCAAGAGTCAAACTTTTGGGATATAAAGCTTCCTTGACGGACGACTGTACCCTAGAATAATTGGCGCGTACATGTATACCGCTTTCACCGGGAGAGGATAAGAAAATTTAAGTTATGAACAGTGTAAGGGAGACACTTTTCTCACTTTTTTATTAGCCCTCCGTTCTACTTTACCCAACATCTCTCTTTGTATTAATAAAGCTACTAAAAGAGCGCGACGACAGTTTAAGAAAAGAAATCTCAAGGATTAATATGTCAATGTGAAGTCCTAATCCAATACAGAAGAGGGCAGAAACTGGATTGTGGCATGTCCAATGCAGGGTGACTGAACAGTTCAAGAATCATTTGCGTCTGTGGTCACAAATTTCCAGGATAGGAAAACCTGATATGTACTATGATGACAATTCAGGATGGAAGTGCCTTGAAGACTGCTTCTCGAAGCGGGAATATATCCGACGTTGATTGCTCGTTCATATTTATCGTTTCATTCAGCCTTTGCCCTGCAAGCTACATCATTTCTATATAACGTCGTTTAATAAGATAGGAATGGATAAAATTAAAGATGCAATGTACGGTTCAATTCGGAATATTTATAAAAAAAATTCTAAAGTCCAACCAGCCTCTGAATCTCACTGGGATTGGGCTGAGCAATTTCAGAAGTCCGCTCGGCTCCTCCTAGGAATAAGAAGCCCATGCTACTACACTCATCATCAGCGCTGTGTATCTCGGTTCATTGCTATTCATGCGGGCAATACACCTAATAGAGATGGACAATCAATCAGTCTCTCCTCAGTTGACTGCAATGGATACTACTTGGTCTGTCTATATCATATGTTCTTCATTCCAGAACTCGATGAGGTATCCCAGGATCATAATGAGTAGCAGGAACGAAAGAAAGATGTGTTTGTTAAAACGCAGCGATCTTCGTTGAATAAAAAGAGTAAAAACCTAACTGTTGTAAAAAAAACTCATAAATCCCTGCTAATCGTGACACTTCTTGATTTCACTCAAGTAGGCAATTCCCTTGGTCCTATTGGTCATGAGATTGGAGCCATTGGTATCAAGGATACAGACGCTACGAACGCAGTTGACGACAACGACAGCACTACCCATGACATGGAGAGCAGCAATGGCCTTGGATGAGAAGTCAGCCTGTCCGGAGGCGTCAGTCGGGTTGATCAAAAAGCCGATACCTAAAAATACATTCAATGTATCGAACTCGACAATGATATTGATTTCGAGTCAACATAACGAATGAAAAGTTGCTGGAGGCTCAAAGTATTATATATACTAGTGCATGTTTACCATACCATTGGATGTCTGCTTGATATCGGGAAGACCATCCTCATTCATCTCGAAGAGAAGGGAAACTGCAATGGACTCGATGACAATAGCACGCTTCTGCTCATCTTGACGCGTTCCAGTGAAACCCATTTCACTGGCATGGGCAGATGAAACAAAATACACAAGCCTTAGAGATAAAGGGGCTGGCAAGAGTGAACTTTTTGTGGCCGACGTGAGTAATAATGGACATGTTATGGACGTCCGTAACTTTGTGCACCTGTCCATGTTGTAGACCGATTACGTTTGTGAAATATACCGGCATCATAATAAGTAACGGAAACGAAAGAAAGCTTAGTTTATTGTAATCCAAAAGCAAAAACCATGTATATACATAAAGCCGCAGCAATTTGTATGCACAGGGATTGGTGGCCAGCTTTCCTTAGCAATGCTACATTTACATACATTGTTTAACCATTGTCATACATACAAACAAAGTGGTCCAAACAAAGCGGAAAAGTCAAACAATGGCGCGTGGGAAAGGCACATATAGTTCCACAGAGTGGACGCGAAACTCACGCGTTCCCTCCATCCTTCTCTCCTCTGTCCCCTGCTTCTTTCCTCGCATCATTTTGTCAAATGTCCCCAACCAAGGCACGAATCTATTCGATAATGAAGTTAATCTTTTGTTGCTTTCAACTTTTCTGTTTAGGGGGTGAGAGAGAGGAGTAAGAGAGGCTGAAAGCGGCGAGGTTGTAAGCGTTAAATCGCGTTAAAGAATAAGGAAGGAACAGTTATTCCTTATTCTGATAGATTAGCCTGGCAAAGTTACCAGATTAAAATTGTATGCTAGACCCATTCAAAGAATGGCCATGAGCTTTATTTTGGTAGGGGAACAATCTCCCTGGAGCGAAGCTTCTCCCATGAGTACCACCTTCTCGAATGGTGAAGTAGATAATGAAGCGGCCTTTAGAAGGTGATGTTTGGCAACTATTGGTTGATTTAAGCGAGGATTCAGCTAACAAATGAGTTCATACAGTAGCCATGGACGCTTTTTTTTTTTTTTTTTTTTTTTGAGCATAGAAATGTGCTATAAAAAGTTTAATATAAAAAAAGAGTAAAACAAAGTTTACCTGGCAAATTCATCAAATTAAAAAGTAAAGATAGTCGCGACTAAAACTTTATTTTCGAGACACCAATCAAAACCAGATGACAAAAGAGACAGGACATGGCCCAAAAAAGCTCATGCTGAAGGCGGAGTTGACCCAGTAGTAGCCAAAGTTAGGCCAAAGTGGGAATTAATCACTGAGGAATCAATTAGTAGATATATATATATATATATATCCTCCAACTCGTTTGGTCAGTGATTCATATATTTTCTATTCAAAAAACGATGATTGAATTGATTTGGTGGCTGATTTTGACATTTCACCCTCCGTGACGAACTGGTGCCAAGGAATATAATTGGCTCCCAATTCAATCAAGATTATTCAAAAAATATATGAATTACTGACCAAATGGGACGGAGTATAGTGTGTAGGCAACTATGACCCAAAAGAGCTTCGTCTGAGATCATTCACGGATCAATTGAACACGATGAAGGTCACTAGCATTTTACATAGTATTATGAAACACTGCCTGGACTAAGGTACTCCACCAGTCCATCTCTGCAGTACACCAAAATGCCTTCGAAGCATGCCTTGTCATACCATCATCAACAGGTTGAGCTGTGATGGTTAAAAACAAATAGCTCGAAAAATTAAAAATATGTCCATTACAGTCAAGTTATCGATCGCATAGGTTGCGTCTGCGTTACTTGGTGCTGCAAGATCCATTAGAGCATGCTCCTTCACATAGAAGAGCCTCCCCGAGTTGAGAGGCAGGTTATAATAAAAGACTGTGAGCTTGTTCCCGGGTATGATCCGAACCATCGCTTTACGGATCGAGCTTTTTTTAAAACTAAAGCGCTCTATTTTCTATTTTAGAAGCGTTGGCCCTTAATATATCAAAGTTTCTGTTCTAAGTCTGCTTCGCCCTAGGTCTTTTCTTTTTTTTCCCCCCGCATGGACCCTTCCCCACTCTTTCCACGTCACGGGTCTCCGCGTTCATCGCATCTCTTTTCTTCTCCACAAGTATTTCTTCTTATTTTTTTTCTTTTCTTTTTTTTTTTTTTCATTACAACTAAAGCAACTAACACAATTAACACCTTAACACCTTAATACCTCAATACCTCAATACCTCAACACCTTAACACTTTAACAACTTTACATTTCAAATCCACAAAAGCACATTAAAACACGATGGTAAGTTGTCATTAGAATAATGAATGCAATTAATGCAACACAGGAAACCATGAAAACAAAGAAAGATGGGGAAACGCGTAAAAATCCAAGTCGTTACTGACGAGTTTCAATCGCCCACTTCTTATTTCTCCCCTTTTTTTATTACTGTTTCTATTGCTCAGGATGAGCAATACGATATCATTGTCTTGGGCACCGGTTTGACCGAGTGTATCCTCTCAGGTCTCCTTTCAATTGAAGGCAAGAAAGTCTTGCATCTGGACCGCAACGCTTATTATGGAGGTGAAAGTGCCAGTTTGAACTTGACTCAGGTATGGGAAAAAAAAAAAAAAAAAAAAAAAAAGCTAGAAACACAATACTTTCTAGTTATTAGTCCATTTCACTGAATATAAACTTGTACTTTTTTTTAAATAAAAAAAAAAAAAAAAAAAAAACCTACAGCTCTTCAAAAAGTTCCGTGGAGACGAAGCTCCTTCCTCATCCTTGGGGAATGACACTTCCTACAATGTTGACTTGGTGCCCAAGTTCATGATGGCCAATGGTGAGCTTGTCAAGATCTTGACTCATACCGCTGTCACGCGCTACATTAACTTCAAACAAATTGCTGGCTCATTTGTCTACCGTGATGGTAAGATCGCCAAGGTGCCTACCACAGAGGTCGAGGCAGCTCTGAGTCCCCTCGTGGGCGTAATGGAGAAGAATAGGGTCCGCAAATTCTTTGAATATGTCCAAAATTACAATTTGGAGGATCCCTCCACTCAAAATGGCTTGGATATCAGGACCGTATCCATGGAGGATGTTTACAAGTCCTTTGAGCTCGAAGCTGGCACCATTGACTTTATTGGTCATGCTCTTGCTCTGCATTTAGACGACAGGTAAGAAAAAAAAAAATAAGATTTGCTTAATTTAGCGGTTATTTTTTTCTTCGATGCTCACGAATTATGTATTTGAATTTAGTTACTTGACTCGTCCAGCTCAAGAGACTTTTGAGCGCATCAGACTGTACGTCTCCTCTATGGCTCGCTATGGCAAGTCCCCTTACCTTTATCCCGTCTATGGCTTGGGCGACCTTCCTCAAGGATTTGCTCGGTAAATATACTTTAGACTTTCTAAAAAAAAAAAATGATGAGCATGTACATGTATTTTTCAGGCATTAAGCAAACCCCCTTATTTTTCTCTTTCCTTCACGCATTACTTAGTCTGAGTGCAGTCTATGGAAGCACATATATGCTGGATAAGAAGGTGGACGAGATTGTCTATGATGCGAATGGCAAGGCTACTGGTGTTCGTTCTGGGGATGAGGTTGCTAAAGCTTCACAGATCATCTGTGATCCTTCCTATGCGCCTAATAAAGTCCAGAAGAAGGCTCGTGTCATCCGTGCCATCTGTTTGCTCAACGGCCCTATTCCCCATACCGATAAGGCCGATTCCTTCCAGTTGATCATTCCTCAGAACCAGGTCAAGCGTAAGCATGACATCTACATTGCTGGTCTGTCAGCCACCCATGGTGTCTGTGACAAGGATTACTACCTGGCTATTGTCTCCACTATTGTAGAGACTGAGAACCCAGAGCAGGAGATCCAGCCTGCTTTGGACCTTCTTGGACCATATGTCGAAAAGTGAGTAGACCTTTTACATTTTTCAGGTGATGCGCTGCATTTCTATCTTTTTTCTTTTTTTTCCTAACCTTCTCCAATTTTTTTTTAAAAAAAAAAAAAAAAAAAAAAAAAAAGATTTGTTCAAGTTGCTGATATTTGTGAACCAATCCAAGATGGTACTCAAGACCAAGTGTTCGTGTCAAAGTCATACGATGCCACTTCCCACTTTGAGTCCGTCTGCGATGATGTCAAGGATTTGTACAAGCGCATCACAGGCAACGAATTGGTCTTGAAACAGCGACAGACCTTGGAAGAAGAATACAAGGAGGCATAAAATACAATTAAAAAAAGTTTAGCAAGTAACGTGAGAGAATACTATTGAATTAATTAAATAAAAGATAAAAAAAACCCCGTTTAAATAAATGATGCAACTTTGCTTAATCAGAAGACATGGACGTTCTGTTTTTTTTTTTTTTTTTTTTTTTTTTTTTTTTTTTTTTTGACGAAAATCAGAGTTTTTTGCTTTACTTTTTTATTTTTTTCTTTAATTTGAATGTAATATATAGATGGTGATTGTTATTTATAAACAAAGGAAAGTGCCTATCCTTTTCTTGTTTCTTTTTTCTTATTATTTTGATAATATTTACTTGCGGATGCTGTCAACGTTCTCCTTGAACCACTCGACTGTCTCATTGAGGGCAACTTCGAAGGGTGTGAACTTGAAGTCGGGATTAAGACTCATCAACTTCTTATTTGAGGCAGTCTTCTTATATTGACCATCAGCCTTGGAAGTATCAAAGCGGTACTCGCCAGTGTAGCCCATGGCCTTGACGATCGCGTCACCAAGCTGCTTGATCGAAACCTCTTCCTCCTCAGGGACTAGTAGTTTTTGAATGAAACACATATTAAATATATATATATATATATCGTCAGGATCAGCACGACTCATTCAGCATGAATTATCCTCATAGGAGAAAAAAATTCCCTGAGGCTCTTACCAGAAAGAATAAGAGGAGTGATCTCCTTGTACTCGCGAAGGGTCCAGATGAAGAGCTTGGCAAGATCACGCGAGTAGATGAACTGGCGGAGGGGACGACCGGTACCAGCCATGATGAAAGGGGTACCGTTCTGCTGGGCCAAATAGCACTTGTGAATCAAACCAGGGATGACGTGAGAGTTAACCAAGTGGAAGTTGTCGTGGGGCCCAAAGACGTTAGTGGGAATAACAGAGGTGAAGTTGCAACCATACTGGTCGTGGTAAGCACTATCGAAGGATAAATAAAAGCCATCCAAGATAAAACAAGTTTAGATGAGTTCTGCATTTAACTATATTGCCAAAGAGAATCTCGTTTCTTTTTCGGTCCTTATAAAATATATCATTTTTTTAAAAAAAAAAAAAAAAAAAAAAAAAAATACATACCGGTTCATGACGTCGACCATGCGCTTGGAGTGGGAATAACCATAGTTGGAATCGTGAGGAGGTCCGAGGTGGACCATGGTCTCATCGATGGGATATGTGGTCTTGTCGGGAAAGATGCAGGTGGACAAGCAAGAGACGACCTTCTTAACGCCGAATTCCTTTGCGTGGTGAAGGATGTTGTCGTTGATCAACAAGTTGTCACGGAAGTAGTCAAGGTTGGCAGCCATATTACCGAAGAGTCCTCCAACCTTGGCGGCAAGGTGAATGATGTGAGTAGGGCGATACTTCTCAAAGATAGCCTTAGTGGCAGCAGGATCACTAAAAGAATTGCACAGAGGAAAAAAGTCAAACTTTCTGAAAATACAATCTACTTATCCACCACGCCTTTTTTCAAATGAAGGAATAGAACGTGATGAAAAAAAGGCTATCATTGACTTACATCAAGTTTCCATCCTTGGAGCTAAGGTAGACCCACTCCTCGCCCTCACGCTTGCCGTACGTGGAGTCGTTCTCAACAACCCACTGAATGGCCTTGCCGACGAGACCAGTACCACCGGTGACGAGAATGACAGACTTTTCAGACATGATGTGCAATGACAGAGGAAATGAGAACAAAGATGAAAGAAAAAAGGATGACTTTTTTCATTTTGCGTGAATAGTTAGTATTTATAGCACCTTACTTAAACCACAAAAAGTTGGATTTTGGACCTGAGACGTTTCTAGCACAAATCCCGTGACTTTGATTTGAAATTCTTGTTTAATTTGTAAACACAGTGCTTGGTCCTACAATGAAAGATGACTTTGGATCAAAACACGGCATTCAATTACTCTTTCTTTTGACTCGTCTCGTCTCCTCAGCATGCCCCGTTCTGCATGGAAAGGCCCTTTCTTTGTGGCACTGCCTGGTCTTAAGCAAGCATTGACTCAAAACATCCCTGTCCGGACAAATGCTCGTGCCTGTACCATCATTCCTTCCTTTGTCGGACTCAAATTTCAAATTCATAACGGCAAGGACTATGTACCCTTGACTGTTACTGACGAAATGGTTGGACACAAGCTTGGCGAGTTTGCTCCCACAAGGAAACGCTTCTCTTATCGCCAGACCAAGAACCGTTAAAGCATCAAGAAAAAGAAATGATATATACATCTTGATTTACATTTCAGAAACGCACAGAAAGGAACAAGAAGGCAAAAAGAGTGTTGTTTTTCGGAGAACAGGACGAAGCAGGATCTTGTCAGTTTTCTTTTTTTTTTTAGACGGGATACAATTGCAGTATTTTCTTTCTTTTTTTTTTATACATAGAATCATCCAACATTTTCTTTTTGTTTCGGAATCACAACATCATTGCATATGTGCTTAAACCATTATCGACAAAAAAAAAAAAAAGAAAAGAAAAGAAAAGAAAAAAGAAAAAAAAACCCTTCCTTTTTCATCTTTATTTCAGTATCTTTGTTGATTAGTCGAGCTTCATCAGTCATATCATTAAAGAAAGAACAGAATGGGAAAGAATGAAAACAAAAGAGTTTCTTTTAGTAACTGTAATTATTTTCTACGCCGCTCTTGCAACAATGCATTCACACGCGATAAGATACTTGGATGGCCTTTTCTTTCTTGAAAGTAATGCAACAGCGACATTACTAAATACTGAAAATTTACATTTACCACTACAATTGCTTCACAACTTATTAGTGCAGCTCCACTTAGTAAACTGGAATTGCCATAGAACCTTTCTTTTTTTTTTTTTTTACCTTGCTGCAATAGTCTATTCATGATATAGGAATGATGGCTCCTTCGACATGTTGATATTCTTGATCCGTTTGTTTCCGCATCCCATTCATAACAAAGCAACATTTGTACTATGATTGACTTCTACAACGCCTGTAACTACCTAAAAGGATTGATACCTTTCAGATTAGTCATATCTACATACTTTTGGAAAATTTCATCGACGTATCAAAAAAAAAAAAGCTCGCAACAAGCTTGATTTATTGAACATCATCGCAAACACTCCATTTCAGAGAATAAAAAAACGAGAAGGATGAAAACCCTCCTCTGAACAACTTGGATAAATAGAAACACAAACATTTATTTGAAAACCCTCCAAAACACGCCATATTGAATGTCATTAAGAAGGGAATAGAGACACTAAAAACCAAAAAGAAAAAGAAAAGAAAAACAGAATTCAACGAGCAAATTTTATTTGATTTGGTTGTTACGGAGGACGAGACCAGGGTTTTTTTTTCGATCAAATAAAAATTTACTTCTTGGACTTGTCAGTAGTCTCAACACCAGCTAAGACAGCACGCTTCTCAGCAACACGCTCGTTGCGGCGAGCACGGGCAGCCTTAGTCTTGTTGCGGTGAGCCTCAGCCTGATCAGCGATCAACTTGGCACGGAGCTTCTCAGCCTTGACCTTGTGGATGTACTCCATAAGGACACGCTTGTTCTTGAAGACGTTACCCTTGGCCTTCATGTACAAGGAGTGGTACAAGTGACGATCAATCTTGCCAGACTCGCGGTACTTGCGGAGGAGGCGACGGAGAACACGCTGGCGGCGCATCCAGATGATGTTGGAGGGCATACGGGCCTCAGCGGTACCCTGGCGCTTACCAGTGCCAGAGTGACGACCAGCACGCTTGGCAACGAGCTTCTCGCGGTGACGGAAAAGCGAGTGCATGGTCTGGGGCTTCTTGATGATGAGACCATCCTTGACGAGCTTGCGGATGTTCTGGCCTAAAACGATGTAAAAAATATATAACCAACAACATAGCATTAAGATAAACTTATTCGACTAGTTTGCAAAGTACGTCCCAACAATGAAAAGGTCGATTCCAACGAAGTCTCATAAAGATTCATTTTAGGCAATGAGAGTACTCTTGTAGTCCAATATTGCTAATAACTCATGTTTGATATTGGACTCTGTTTTACAAGACGTCTCCTGAGTACTAGCAGAAAGTACTGCATAGACTGTTTATTGGACTGATGATAACATGATTAATGACTCCTGAAAAGGCAAAGCGCAAATCAAAAAAAGAAGGGTATAGTCCCGAGCTGTGGCTGACTGCGGATTCAGTTGAATGACTACGGCATAAATTCCTGTAGCTCCAACTTTATGAATCTTTTTTTTTTTTCCTTTTTGGCCTCCATGAATAACTTTGGAAAAAAAAAAAAAAAAAAAAAAAAAAAAAGAAGTGTTTGTAGGGGTGATGGGTAGAAAAAAAAAGGGAAACTTACGAGAGTTGGCGTTAGCGATCTCGGTGACCTCGTTAGGGTCCAACCAAATCTTGCGCTTTCCGCACTTCAAGACCGAGGCGGCCAAACGTTTCTGACTGCTCAAAGAAACCCTGTTGGATTGACGATGGAGTAGAGTAAGATGAGGAAATGATCATCAGCGATTTTGTCGGTGAAATAAATAAATAAACAAACAAATCAGAAAAAGTTGATGATTCAATTCCTGAGGACTGAGCATAAAATCTCTTTTTTTTTTCTTTTGTTGAGCGAGGTGAAAACATGGTGTAAGAGTAAATGTCAAATTTATAAAGTAGTTGGAAATGTCGAATTATAATTAAGAATCAGATTGACAGCATCTAATTCACTAATGATCCATCTTTATGATTGAAATTTCATTGTAGAATGTCATCCTGACAGTAATTCTAAGCATGATCTCCTTGTAAACTTTTCGACATGATCCAGTTACGCACATGTTTTAATACGACAGAAGCAAAGGAGGAAAAAACTGTGTCTATCGCATCCACGCAAAAATAATTGAGGCTCTCCCTTGAAATTTTTTTTACATCCGTGGCTTTGATTGGATGGGTCGTCCTTAAGGGCATCACTTTCTTTACTTGGTTTTTCACTTGACGTTTCTCTCGATTCTCGAGTCGATCCTATGCCGTTGTTATGGTTATATATAATACAATATAAACTTATGTAGAATGTTGGCAAAAGAACCATGTTGAAAGTGAGTAGTAATGCCTTGTAGGCAAATATCTATTATTTGTTCTTTTTTAAATAAAGCACTATCCAAAGACAGTAGTTGTCGTCTAATGAGAAGTCCCCTGTCAACCCTCGCACCAGACATCGCTACTAACTAAGCCACAACGACTAAAAATGTCTGCCCAAACAATCACTTGATACTTCTTTTTTTCGCACTAATCAAACCAAGATGGAAAGTGGCCCAACTTTGAGAAGACAACAATGCATTATGTTGGAAGAAGGATCCTTTCATCCATTCAGATATCATAACCATCGATCTAAAAAAACAGACTTAAAGTGTTTGTTAATGAATGCCTCATCATCAATATCATGATTATTACAGGAGAACCTATGCCCAAATATTACACACTCTTAATAATCAGCGATCACTATGATCAGGATGGACATGCATGAATGGATGAGGAGGACATGTGCATCATCAATATTTTTTCTTTATGAACGACGAATTAACACTGGAAACTCTGTCTATTTGTTTATTTCACTTTTGCACTCATTCATTGACACCAACAGTCTCTCCTTGTTCCCGAGAAAGGCCAGTTCCAACACATTCTTCGTGTCCTCAACACTAACGTTGAGGGTAAGACCAAGATCATGTTCGCCATGGTAAGACGAACCTAACATCTCGAACTGTTCATTAAGCCGTGTCTCAAAAAAAAGAAAAGACGACCCACTCGCAAATTTGAAATATTTTTATGAGACCAATATACTAAACCATGTTTATTTTATTACTAATTCGGTCGCAATAGACGAACATCAAGGGTGTTGGTCGTCGTTATGCCAACTTGGTCTGCAAGAAGGCTGATATCGACTTGAGAAAGAGGTGCGTTTTGTAGTCGTATATATTCAGAGAAAATAGAGGAAGAAGTTTGCTGTCAACTTGCAATCAGGAAGAGGAGACTGCAGCAAGCTAAACATCCGAAACATTAATTTTACACTAAGAATTATTAATAACAAAAGAATGGCAACAATTAAGGATAATGGACTCCCTCACCACTGATCCTTCATCATCTTCTCTACTCAGGACTTATTCTTTATAATGAATGCCCACGATACCGCTTATCTTATTAAATACCAGAACATTCAGAAATAGTTTCAGGAGTATCTCACTCACCAGAGCGTTTTCTACACAATATCAACAAAAAAAGGAGAGTCGACTTCTTATCTTTGTGTACCATATTGGGAACTAACCCTCGTTATTTCATCTTTATCTCTATTCATGGATCTTACTATCCATCTTTTTTTTAATAAATCTAGAGCTGGTGAGCTCACCAATGAAGAGCTCGAGCGTCTCGTCACTATCATGCAAAACCCCACCCAGTACAAGGTTCCCCAGTGGTTCCTCAACAGACAGAAGAACTTTGTCGATGGCAAGTACACCCAGCTCTTGGCCAACGGTCTTGACAACCAAATGCGTGAGGACTTGGAGCGCCTCAAGAAGATCCGTGCCCATCGTGGTCTTCGTCACTACTGGGGCGTCCGTGTCCGTGGTCAGCACACCAAGACCACCGGTCGTCGCGGTCGCGTCGTCGGTGTCTCCAAGAAGAAGTAAATTGTATGTTTTTTTTATTTTTTATTTTTTATTTTTACAAAAATGATGTTTGAAAAAAATCTTATCTACATTGTCCGAAACTATATGAGGACAACCCTTTTTTTTCCTGATTTTATTTCTCCTTGGCTGGACTATTATTTGTCGTGTAAATTCACAATTAATGGAACTGTAAATGAGAGAAAATTTGATATTTAACCTTTGTGTACTTGTTCTTTTGGATATATACATATATAATAGATCTTTTTCGAATTCTTTGTCATTCTTGGGTGCATTAGTTGTAGATTCTACGGAAATAAACAACTCAGTAACAAAAGAAAAAAAAACATTATTAGATCTTCATTTGTGGGAATTGTGGATGTTTGCTATATACAGAAGTAAAACACTCTTGAGCGTGCCTTTGTTCCCCACACATTGCATTAATTGCATCAGTTGGAACCTAAGATCCGAGTACTGGTTATTAGATACCATTTCACAATGTATTTGCATCTAGACTTACTCACACATGAGAACTTCCACAGAGGGCAAGCGGCTGAACGAAGGAAGAATCGCTCAATCCATGTGCCCTGTGCTTTGAGTCGGCAATAATACGATGGCTGTGCTGTGTTACTAAAGGTTTAATTTTTGAATGAAAGCACTTTTGGGATATAATAAACGCATCGAACAAAGTTTGAAGAACATACCGTGTCGAAGAGTTGCTTGGGTCCTAGATGATCGAACGTATATTTTTTTACCTCTTTTCACAACAAGTATTGCAATTCCCTTTGTTTCGAGATTACTGAAGGACAAGTCCAAGATCCTGGTGGCTATAAACTGGGTATTGACAACGGCAACAGGAAAACTAAGTATGTTTGAAGGAATATACGACTTTATTATATTTTTTTATTACTCTATTAGACCCATTTTTTAATTATTATACTGCGTTTTTTACATTCGCGATGATAAGAATTATTAATCAGTTACTGTAGTTGCACTAGAACGTACAGAATTTGTTTTACGATATTCTCTAATGACTAGAAAAAGTGCTTGAAGCTCAAAAAGCGATGAAAAGAAAGCTGTACATGGTACATGCAGTGCAATCATTGCCGGTTATTAATTGAGTAAATAGGATCGGAAAAGGAAAAAACACGATCTACGCCGAAGAAGAAAGCCTGAGATTAGCACAGCCTTCATTCACATCATGTAGAAAGGGAGAACGTTTCTTTACTCTTTCATCACCCCTGCATCAATCTTTAAGCAATATTCACATCAAAAGCTTGGGCTATATAAAGGACAATTCTTTCTCTCTTTGATTTTTATCCTCATCCTCTTTAACACAACAGTCTCAAGCTAACAACCACACCAGCATCTTCCAAAAAGTGTTTTTAAAAAAAAAAAAAAAAAAAAAAAAATACGCGTTCCTTTTATAATGGCTCACGAGTCCTTCGATCCCTCTCAAGCCGCCGTCTTCAACGAGTTTAGCCATAAGAAGGATAATACCTTTGAGGTTTGCTACTTTGCTATCCACGGTTTCGCCACTGTCACTTGTCCCATCCTCGCAGCCGCTGGTGCAAAGCTCACCAACATTTCCCCTGACGACAAATGGCAAAAAGAAAAGGCCAAGGCGCCCTTTGGTGTCATGCCTTTTACTCAAGGAAATTTCGGCCGATGGCAAGACTGCCCTGCAGGCTGCAGAGCCTGATTCAATTGGACGTTACTTGGCTCGCAAATTTGGTTTCTATAGTTCCAATTTGTTTGAAGAGACTGCCATCAACACCTTTGTCTCTCAAGTCCTTGATGTGGCCTCAAAGATCGCTCTTTATTATTTTGCTGTCATGCATGACAGGGAGCTTCAGGAGGAGAACAAGTGCTGATTGAAGGCTCTATCATCACTTGGATCATATACAATGAACAGCACTTGAAGGATAATGGAAGCAACGGTCATTTCGTTGATGATAAGTTGACTTATGCTGATTTCAAAGCCTACTTCCTGATCTACGCTTTGGAGTTCATCACTGCGAAGAAGGATTTGATCCTGCACGAGAAGACCCTTGCTATCTGGAAGGTCAAGGAGGCTGTTGACTTAGATCCTTCAGCAAAGGCTTGAAGAGCCTCTGGAGACTACCAAATCATTCCCAGGACAATGCTAGAAAACTTGGCTACTCTTAAGAGTTAGCTCGAAATGAATATGTGTATATATAATAAGTAATCACCAAATGACAATAAAAAGACGTTCTATATCATTTATCTCATTATTTTACATTTGATCTCTAATAGTGCTAGTCAGCAGCAATAGAATTCTCCCAAAAAAAACTTAGCAAGTGCTTAATAAAAGGATTTATCTATTTGGCAGCCCATTGCCAAATATAGTCAACTTTCAAGACTCTCTTTGGCAGCCCAGTTGCCAAATAACATTCATTATTTACTTGGCAGCCTACCCAGCGTTATTTGGCCTCTAACTATTTTTTTTTTTTTTTCATTCCTAGGAACCGTATATGTATATAACGCTCATACTTTAAATTAATAAAGCTCCCGTCTTCTACGTCAAAGTTATGTGTAGTGACATTGTCTTGTCTCATTTAGAAAACTAATGACTTTTTTTTAAGTAGGTCGCTCATACAGTTTTGGAGGTGCCATTTGGAGATCAATGCCTATGAGAGGTTTTCGCTCGGAGCAAACGCGTCTCACCTGTTACCTAGACGTCTTCAATAAATCATTCCCTAGCCGTGTACATTGAAGGCTGTTTTGTGAAGATGTCATCGCCGCTGCCCTTAGTACCTCCGGCGGCATTAGCTGTGCAAGGCAATGTATCTACAGAACGCTGCTTGTTTTACCACTGATGTTATGACCCTGTTATCAAAAAAAAAAAAAAAAAAAGAAAAGTACTGTATTTGGCAGTCCCCAGAAGTAGGCTGCCAAATAGATTAATCCTAGTACAGATACGTCCTTTCATAGGAATTACTTCGAAAAAAAGAGGCAAAAGTATCGCGTCACCTGCAGGGTTCGAACCTGCGCGGGAAATCCCATACACTTAGCAGGCATACGCCTTAACCACTCGGCCAAAGTGACATTCGATTCTGAGTTTCAAATCATCATTACAGAATATATGATAATAATGATAAAGCACGTGACTAATTACACATTTACTCTGAAAATGAGCTCCTTAAGAAGAAATAGTATGATGGATATCGGTGTATTTGCAACTTTAGGAATGGGTCAGGAGAAAGGGCGACGCAGCTAGCTTTCTGAGCGGCGGCCAGCAAGAGGAATATATTATGCTGAGCAAATTCTAGACGAGGATTCGTCACTCAAATCCTGGAATGAGGTACGTACGAAAAGGAGAGACCCAAAGGCATCTCCAGCATGGTTCCACAATGTTCAAAATGCCCTTCATGAGTCCCTTTACACACACAACTTTATCGAAGTATGGTGTAGAGACAAAAAGAACATTCTTCAGAGACTAGACGAAGAGGAAGAGGGAGATTTAAGGGAGATCCAACAGCTAAATGAGGCTGAAAACAATGAGAGAGCAGAGGAACTACTCACAGAAGACAATATGTTGGAGGAGCAGCCACTGAGGATGATGAGGATGATATATAAGTTACCTCAGTGACGTGGAAGAAGACCCCAGAGAGCCACTTGATCCCCTAAGTGTAGAACAGCGGGAGGAAAGAGAAAGAAGAGCACAGTGTTACATACAAGAGGGTATGCAGGAGTATGAAGGATACACTGAGTCTGATCGCGAACTCCAAAAAGAATACTTGCGAGAAAATTTTGAAAAACACTGGACTGTCCAAGACTTGTACCACGGTTTGGTGCCGAAGGAACTGATACAAAAATGGAAGACGATCTTCAGAACCACAGCATCGATCTCAGGGTACATTGTTTGCCGCTTTGTCAAGTCAATCGAGGAACTCGGCAGGACTGAAATCTGGAACAGACGCTGCAAAGTCACCGTCAACTGGGAAAGAGACAATGGTATCACCTCTGTGAGCAAACGCGCCAAGGGACGCAACTGTGTTGGGAGGCACAGACGTAGCAGAGGTGAATTCTTTGGCTCTCACCAGGGACAACGACGAACAGCAGATGTGAAGGCGATCAGGACTGAGGCAGACCGGCGAGTGGCGACAAGCTACCGGCAGCAGGTGGAATTGGCGATTATGGAGCGCCTGGAAAGCTGTAAATTTTTGATGATTGAGGACAGCGGCTAAAGGATGACCTTCGCGCACAACAGGCCAAGTAGGGAGTAGAGCCGTGCCACAGGTCCTCTGGGACCAAGAAAGTCTACTCAATGCTGACGTGGTTTATGAACAGGATGTAGTACTGTGGCAGTATGACGATGCGGCTTCGGCCGATTATTGGATACCGCTTTATTTGCGACCCCAGTAATGGGGCAACCCCTTGTTATCAAAAAAAAAAAAAAAAAAAAAAAAAAAAGCTTTCTGAGCGGCGGCTCAGACAGGTCTAGAAATCTTACATGACCTCATGGGGCCTCGTTATCAAAAAAAAAAAAAAAAAAAAAAAAAAAAGGAGCTTATACAGCATGAGGATTGATTCAAGATATTATGCTGGACAAGTACTTTTTCACAAGCACCATTGCACTATGTTGGTACAGCCTGGAAGCCAACTAAATAAATTCTACATGACCTCATGGTTCTTTGATATCAAAAAAAAAAAAAAAAAAAAAAAAAAAAAAAAGCGTGGAAGTCAAAAATCCCGCTATCGATAATTATAATAAATATGAAAAGAAAAATGCTGCGTCCTTAAGCTGTGCACCTTTCGATGACTTTGCATTATACGCGCGCTTAGTATATATCACTGATTTACTAATGAAGGTTTCTCATCTGGAAAAATAAATAAATAAATAAAGACTGCAAGAGGACAGAAAAGGCATGCGTGTTCCTTGGCTTGCGTGTTTGGGAACAATATCAATCAGATACAAATGTTTAAAGAATGCTCTCTTTCTTTTTTTTTTTTAAAGGTGTGCGTGTATGTTTGAGGGGCGATCACAGTCTAATCACCATGAAATTTAAGGTTGTACGCGGCGTTGTAATTTGCGCAGCTTTTCTTTGGATCAGAGAATAAAACATCTCGGATGAGGAAGTCTCCCTATTTTTGCCTCTCTCAATGCTGTTCAAGATTCTCAAGGTGTCAGGAAAGATGTCACTTAGGTAGAAGATGTATACGTTCTACAGGTCTTTTTTATTTATTTTTTCCTTTCTCGCTCCATGGTTCAGTGTGATTGACTATTGGGAGATCGGGAACTCAGTAAAACAATTTTAAAAGAGAGCAATCTATTTTCTATTCCCGCCCCTCCAATGTGCGGTGCTCTAGGTTTGAATAGGCTGATTATTTTTTTTGTTGCCTCTTCTGTTTCCACCCGTAGAGAGGATTGAACATGGTGCGACAGCGAACAATGAATGGGAGACCCGTTTTTTTCAGGAGGCGATTGAGGGTGGATACAAAGATTTTGCTTGTATATGATCTGTGCACCACACAAGTCTAATGACAAGACTGTTTTCTTCCTAAACTTTCTTTGAATTTGTCATCACACAAAGCGGAAACCACAGTTAGTCTGGTTTCACAGGACAACAGAATTAAGGGCGAAGCGACTCTTTCGTTCTTGCGCAGATGTCAAGATGAAATGGAAAAAAAAAAATCGTAATTATATATAATTGTTGTTAGTTGTAGCTGTTAGCTGTAGCTGTAGTGCTTTCAAGTCAACAGCATTATTATCAACTGGAGGAAGTAGTTAATGATGATAGATGACAGGTTCTGACATATTCATATAGATATACATGTAAACATATTGTCTGATGAGGCCAGATGATGCCACTTCAACTGAGACGCTCAATTGACGATCATTAGAGCTATTTGGGAGAAATATTTTGTCATTTCTAAAAAAGTTATCGATTGGAAAAAAAAAAAGGTGCCACGCAATTTTTGTATTAGAAATCAAAACGCAACACCCCAAACAAGGTTGTTGCGTGGTCTATCTTGTATTCCGCTGCTCTTTTTTCTTCTTCCGCCTTCTCTCTGTGAGCTGCACTGTATATTTATTTGTCTTCTTGATGTCAATTGATATCATCGAGATCAAATATAAATATCCAAGTTTTCTGTTTCCCTTTCTTTCTTTTTCTTTTTTTATTGCTCTACAGTTCGATCCAATTCTCGCCTCTTCTGTGTCTAAACCATATTATTTGGCTTCACAAGGATCCCGAGATTTGTTTTTAATATACCCTCTGCTCCTCTCACATTCATATTTTCTCAAGTTCACACTCATTCACCAGTCAACTCATTTGATCAAATCATATCACTTTTTCATACATTCATCAATATACCCTCATACATTTTAAAGCGTAGTTGTCACTCTTCCACATATTTTCTGTCTAGACAATATGGGCGCTGAGGCCTTCTGTCATGACCAAGAGGGATGGGTAAGTTTATTATCTATCATTTCCAAGCTCCTTCCCTTGATTTCTCTTTTTCATTAAATGGAGAATAAAACGTATTTTTTGTTTACCATGTGCAAAATCTGACACCGGCTTTTTTTTTCCGAATTGTGATAAAAAAATATGAAGGGTCCGACGAGCAGTCTTCGACCAAGTTTGACACCATGTGTCGAAAATACCATCCTCTTGACATTGCCTTCACTGATCTTGTTGATCGCAATGGTCCACACTACTTTCAACATGTGGCGATATGGAAAACCTCATAATCTGGGCCGGACCAATCTGATCTACTGGCCAACCCAGTTTTTCATGTTGGCAAGTATTGTAGCCTTGATTGCTAGGGCAGTCTTGCTTAAGCAAATGGACTATGCACCCGCTACGATGTTGAGCACCATCTCTCTTATTGTTGCCTGGGTAAGTCATATACCACGAAATGAGATAATGCATGCACTACGTTTTTTTTTTTTTTTTTTTTTTTTATTAATGTCTAACTCTTTGATTTTTATTAACCATAGGCATCTGCAATCCCCTTGAACTACTTTCAACATCAACAAGGCGTCCGCTCCAGTGACCTGATATTCGCACTCTATTTCTTCTCGATTGTTGCTTCAGCTATTAACATCCGCACTATGTCCTTGATCGGTCAGACACATGAGGACCAATTTGTAGCTTTTGTCACCTTCTTTGGCCTTAATATCCTCGGATTTATCATCGAGGCTTTCCCTCGTGGACGGACGCAGGTTCAAAAGAAGAGTCAAGTTGGCCGATTTGAGAAAGCTAACTTGGCCTCTCGTATTTCATTCAATTTTCTTCAACCGATTATTTCCAAGGGTTACAAGGTTCCATTGACAGCTCAGGATATCGATGGGATGGCTCCTGAGAAGCTCAAGACCGAGCAGAGTTATCAGAGGCTGAACACTCGTTGGGAAAAAGATGTAGCCAAAGCTGTGGCAAAAGGAGAGAAGCCTGACTTGTTTTGGACCATCTTGAGATCGAACCTTCGAAGCTGGGGTCCTGTGATGTTTTTCCGTATTGTTGCCTCCACATTCACATATGTGTCACCAACCTTGATGGATGAACTCTTGGGATTCATTGGATCGTATGCGACAGAAACACCCAAGCCTGTCAGCTTGGGTATTATCCTAGCCTTTGGAATGTTTTTTGCGACGTTGTGTAACTCATTCTTCATGGCTCAATACTTCCAAACGTCCATGAACATTGGTATCGAGGCCAGGACAGCATTGATCTCAATGATCTACCGTAAATCTCTCAGGCTATCCAGTGCTGCGAAACAGAAATCAACCGCTGGTGAGATCAACAACCATATGTCGGTCGATGCAGAAAGATGGGCAGATGCTACTAGCTTCATGCCCATGTATATTTCTATCCCTTATGAGCTTGCGATCGCTCTTTGGCTTTGTAAGTTCTACTTGTCGTTGTTTCTATCATTAAATATAGAGAGCGCAATGTTCTGACTTTTTATTTATTTTTTTATACGATTTATTAGTGTATCGACAAATTGGATGGAGTGTGTTTGTAGGATTTGGTTCCATCATTGCTATGATACCTGTTCAAGGTCTAGTGGCCAAGGTCTTTACTGCCGCAAAGTCTGGAAAGCTCAAGGCCATGGATGAGCGTGTCCGTCTCATGAATGAAGGTAATACACTTAGGGGGTTTTTTTATTTTTTTTTTTATTTTTTTTTTATAATTATATATTTTATCATATACTTATTTTATTTGATTTTCTCCTGTGCGACACAGTTCTATCGGGTATCAAGATCATCAAACTCTATGGTTGGGAAAACTCCTTCATTGAGCGCGTCCGCACTTTCAGGAATCGTGAGATATCAATGCTTCGACGGATTGGCACTGTCTTCTCATTCATGTCCATCATGTTTTCTGCCATGCCTTTAATCGTTTCTTTGGTGTCGTTTGCGGTCTATGCATCTGTGGGTGGACCCAATTTCACCCCTGGAGAAATCAGTCCTCAAAAGATTTTTGTCTCGATTTCATTGTTCGCCTTGTTGAACCGTCCTATTGGAATGTTGTCTCATATCATTGCTTTTACCATCAATGTCAAAGTGGCTACGACTCGTATCCAGAAATTCCTCTTGGCAGAAGAAATCGGCCCATCTGCTACAGAATCCATCAAGACCTTACCAGAGGATCCTTCTGAACCTTTGATCCAAATTAAGGATGCAGTCTTTGCTTGGGAACCTGAGGGCCCTGAAATCGAGACTGAAAAGGAGAAGAAGAAACGAGAGAAAGAAGAAGCCAAGAAGCAGAAACAAGCTGAAAAGGAGGCTCGCAAGGCTGGTAAACCCATTCCTGAAAAACCTGTACCTGTCGAGAAGGATTACGGTCCAACTTTGACCAACATCAACTTGACAATCTCTCGTGGAGACTTGACTGCAGTCGTTGGAAGAGTTGGACAAGGAAAGACTTCGTTGTTGAACGCGATCATTGGCGACGTAAGTATCTATACCGCCAGCAAATTATTACAATTTTTTTTTTTCTACATGAAAACATGAATTACTGGAACTGACTTTTTTTTTTTTCTTTCCCTTCTAAACACAGATGTATAAACGTCAAGGAAGTGTTAAAGTGTACGGACGCTTAGCTTATGTAGCGCAGTCTGCTTGGATTATTAACGCGAGTTTGCGAGAGAACATTATCTTTGGAAACACGTTTGATCAGGAACGATACGATCATATCTTGATGGCTTCAGGACTTTTACCCGATATTGCTATGCTTCCTGCCGGTGACATGACTGAAATTGGAGAACGTGGTATCAATCTGTCAGGAGGCCAAAAACAACGTGTTTCATTGGCTCGTGCTGCTTATGAAAATGCAGATGTCTATCTGTTGGATGATCCTCTCAGTGCAGTCGACGCCCATGTAGACAATCATCTTTGGCAGCATTTGCTCGGACCTCAGGGATTGCTCAAGGATAAGACTCGAGTCTTGGTGACGCATGCGATCCATCATCTCGAACAAGCAGATCAAATTGTGGTGATCAAAGGTGGCGAGATCACTGAGGTTGGAAAATATGATACATTGATGGAAGCAAGGCAATCGTTTTATCAGTTAATTACGGATTACTCTGTGAATCAAGGCAAGAAGCGTAAGGAGAAGAAGGATAGCAGTAACGAAAACGACGATGAAAGTGACACAGATGCGGCTTCAGAAGACGGAACCGATAAAGATGCCACAACGGTGGCAGCCAAAAAGGACGACAAGGCTGAGTTGATTGCGGACGAAAAGATGGTTATGGGAAGCGTCTCCTGGGGGGTTTACAAGATCTATGCTAAAGCCGCTTCTTACAAATTTGCATTGCTTGTTACAATTCTCTTCATTGTCGGCCAGGCTTTGCAGGTAAGGAAGAAGCGATTTTTTATTTATTTTATTTTACTTTGTCTATTCTTCTATGGTTCATTAACCGACGATACCCCCTTCTATTTAGATTGGAACCAACGTATGGCTTAAGCATTGGACATCGGTTGCAAGAGAGAGTAACCGCCCAGTTGGTGAATTCTTGGGGGTTTATGCAGCACTGGTGTTTGCAGTCATGGTGATGAACGTCGGTGCCACCTATACGGCCATGGTCAAGGCAGCCATCCGAGCCTCCACCCGCCTTCATGAGAATCTATTGACACGGCTGCTACGTTTACCCATGTCCTTTTTTGATACAACTCCTTTAGGTCGTGTTGTGAACCGATTCTCGAGTGATATCTTCTCAGTGGACGAATTGACTCCTTGGAACTTTATCAATGTCTTCATGTGCGGAACCTCAGTGTTGGGTACTATTGTGGTTATTGCCATCACTACGCCTGTCTTCTTGGCCGTCGTCCCTCCCTTGTTTATTGTCTATCTTCTCGTTCAGACTTATTTCATCCATACCAGTCGTACTCTCAAACGTATCGAATCCGTCTCAAAATCACCCATCTATCAACATTTCAGTGAAACCTTGGCGGGTGTGACCACCATCCGTGCTCTAGCAGCGAATGAACGTTTCATCCATGATAATGCTGCCAAGGCCGATACTGCCGCCAATGCTTATTTCTCTTGGGTTGTCACCAACCGCTGGTTGCAGATTCGTCTCGAAGCTCTAGGTTCAGTCGTCGTGTTGGCTGCAGCTTTGTTTGCGGTCTTGAGTCGAAACTCGCTCAGCTCTGCCAACGTCGGTCTTGCATTGTCGTATGCTTTGTCAGTCACTCAGGATATTACTTGGCTTGTCCGTTCGTACTGCGATCTTCAAAAGTAAGTTTTTTTTTTTTTTTATTTTTTTATTATTATTATTATTATTATTTTTAAATATTATTATTATATAAATTTCCATTGTAAAGGAAAAAGGATGAGAAACTAAAATGTGTCCCAACTTTTTTTTTTTTTTTTTTTTTTTTTTTTAAATAATACTTTAGTCAACTGGTTGCTGTTGAGCGTGTAGATGAATACGCCAACAAGAACCCAGAGGCACCTGCAGAGACAGATGTTGTGTTGCCGGAAAACTGGCCCAATGAGGGTCGTGTTGAATTCAGGAACTACTCGACACGTTACCGCGAGGGTTTGGATTTGGTGATCAAGAACATTTCCTTTACAGTTGAACCTGCTCAGAAGATTGGCATTGTTGGCCGTACAGGTGCTGGTAAATCTTCGTTGACGTTAGCTCTCTTCCGTATCATTGAAGCTGCCAACAGCCACTGGGCTAAAGCTAGTCATAATGGCGCTGATCTGGATGCGGACTTAAGCAAGAAGGATATCACCAACGAGAAGGCTGTGGATACCTCGGATGTAGAGAAGATCACTGATTTAGAGCAAGTCCAGGTCGAGGAAGATGGTGGATCTATCTGGATTGATGGTGTTGACATCTCAACAGTTGGTTTGAATTATCTTCGTCAGCACTTAGCCATCATTCCTCAGGACCCAACCTTGTTTGTTGGAACTGTCCGTGAAAATTTGGATCCATTTGAGGAATTGCAGGATGCAGATCTTTGGGAGGCATTGGAGCGCGCTCATTTGAAGGAACACATCTCTTCCTTAGCAGGCGGACTATCTTTTAAGGTCTCCCAAAATGGTGATAACTTCTCAGTCGGTCAAAGATCTCTTATTTGTCTGGCCCGTGCGTTACTTCGTAAGACAAAGATTCTGATCTTGGACGAGGCCACGGCCGCTGTGGATGTCGAGACCGACGAACTGATCCAGCGCACAATTCGAAAGGAATTCAAAGACCGTACCATTCTTACTATCGCTCATCGTATCAAGACTGTCATGGACTCGGACAAGATCTTAGTTCTTGAAAAGGGTCGTGTTGAAGAATTTGAGTCACCTACAGTCCTACTTCAACGTCCCGATTCGTTGTTTTACAGTCTTGCTAAACAGGCTGGAGAGATCAAGGACACCGATGACTAAAAAAAAAAAAATTGACATTTATCATTTGCACGCTTTGCACATTATCCAATACCATCTATTTGCTTTTTTTAAAACACCTAATCAAAAATACATTTTTTTATTTGCAAACATCATATTACTGCTACACACTAATAAAATCATTTTAATCGCATAATTGCTCCCATGTGCTAAAACTGTCCTAAATGGCAGTAATTTGCTTGCTTGACATTGCAGAGCGATGCTTTATACATTCAAGTTTTCATATGTTTCTTGATAAATTCTTCCATTCGATCCATCCGTGCGCTTTCTTGCTCCGCCAAGGTTGGACCATCCTCTTGGCGCAGATCCGTAGGGATTTTGTGAAGGTCATGATCATAAAACTGCGTGATTTGTTGCATTATCTCATAACTCTTTTCGTCGTGAATGAAGTTGACGCAGACGCCAGTCCGTCCAAAACGTCCAGTGCGACCCATCCTATGGACATAGGTGGTTGTATCAGCCCTACCATTAGAGGCTATAGGTAGGTCATAGTTGATCACCATCGTAATGCGTTCAATATCGATGCCTCTTGCCAACAAGTTTGTGGTAATTAGCACCTTTGTTTGAGCTGTACGGAATTTTTCCATACGAGCGTCACGTTTGTTTGGGGATAGGCCTCCATGAACGAAAGAGACATGGTGACCCCTTTCAGTCATTCTTTCTGTAATCGTTTCGGCTACAGCACGTCGCTATGGCAATAGGATTAAAATGTCATTTATAAGGGATGTAACCAAGAGACTCTCACTTATGCCATAACATGCGAGTTGAAAAAAAAAAAAAAAAAAAAAAAAAAAAAGGCTCAATATACCTCTACAAAAATGATGCTCTGAGAGATGGTCAAGATGCTATACATGGCAACTAGGACCTTTAATCGATCCTCTTCGTTTTCACAATCAACATAAAACTGAACCACATTGGAAAGCATCATCTCATACGTCTGTAGGCGTATACTGTTCGAAGGTGCACCTCCGAGAAAATCATTTGCAAAGCGAATGATTTTGTCGTTCCAAGTGGCGGAAAAAAACATAAGCTGGACGTCTTTTGGGAGGAGCCTGTAATTGTATCAGATTGATCAGATTGTAAATAATTTTAATTTACAGCCGCTTAAAAAAGGTACTGATGTATCATTTTTACCTTTTGATAACTTGCACCTGCGAGCCAAGGCCTTGAAGGTCAAGCATGTAGTCGGCTTCATCAAGAACAAACATTCGAACCTTGGATGCTTCAATAAATTTCTCCCTTATCGTAGTACTACGACGTTGCTCGAACGTCGCATAAGGAAGGTATCGCTTGAGCCTATCTTCCATTGTTCCAGGGGTCCCAATAAGGATTTGACCCATTATGGGTTCTACAAGAGAAGCTTTTTCGCGGACGACTTCGGTAATGACAACGCTTGTATACTTGGCTAGCATTCTCATCACTTCAACAATCTGTAAAGCCAATTCTCTTGTAGGCGCTAAGACGATTGCCTAACAGCAAAAAAGTGACTTTGTTATTCTTTTCTTCACAAGGACAATAAGACCCGGCTTCCAAGGTAGACCGACGGCATTGATATATAAATTTTTACCTGAGTAGAAGGGTTGTTAGAGTCGATGCGACTCAAGATAGCTAATGAAAAGGCCGCAGTTTTACCGGTACCTGATTGAGCTTGTGCGATGAGATGCTGTGGTGGATCCTTCAGTAACAAAGGCAATGCATGCGCTTGGATCTTGGATGGCACTGAAAAACCACTATTATATACACCTCGAAGAAGGTCTTCTCTCCTATGTGATTCTCTCCAATTCAAGAGTTAGATGAGAGTTGTATACATAAAGCAGCGGTAAACTATAAAACCATGATGGGAGCATTGAAGCTTCAGACTTAAGAGTGGTTCAAGGCATACAGTTGTAGTTGCTCGAACGTGGTGGCAGACTGCAGAGGCGAATCGGGGTTCAGCTGTTGGACTTTGATATCATGGGCTAAATGTAATGTCTTTAGCTGTGACGCCGCTACAAGTTTGATCAAATCACAAGACACTCTCAACTTATTAGTTTCATCATTGTCTATAAGCAGCTTAACGTCATTTTCTGTCAATATTATATGGATTCTCAAGCACTCGATTGCTTGGGGTCACTCACTCTTATCGTCTAAGGATCGGTCGTCTAGATCCATAGTGAGAGAGCAGAAGGAAAGGTTCAACGGGTTGTTATAATGATCACTGCTGTATTGAGGAAGTTTGAGCTATGAAGTATGAACCAGTTTTCGCGTCAAGGATTTCCTAAAGGATAGAAATGTGGGATGGAAAAAGAACAAGGTAAAAAAGACTTTTTGAAAAGGAAGAAAGGAAACATTCTACATGAACGAGCTAGAAAGGGACGCGTTCATGTTCACGTGATTGTCGCGCCCCGTAGGCCAACGAGCACCTGTGCTTTGCAGCAGGTTATGCTGAGGTCTATGAGTTCACTCTAACGTCAAGGCAGCCCAAAACAAAATAGATGCAGTTTTAGCTTATCGTTGCTCTTTAACTTTCCATTCTCTCCTCCCTTTTCTTGACTCATTCTCAGATTCTTCATCACTTCAGACATGGCATCCAAATTCGCTCTCAAAGTCGGTTCGCGGTCCATTCCATTAGTTGCAGCTTCAGACAAGATCAATCTTCAGGCGGTGTCAGAGTTCAAACCGCTTCAAGACTGGGCAAAACTGTTGGCAAAAGAGGAAGCAGCACCAGCAGCGACTTCTGGCAATGACGCTCAACAGACTGGAGATGCTTCTCAGTCTGCTGATAAACAATCCAAGATTCCTATCAAGGTTGACAAGATTGAAATCAGAAACGTAGAAAATTTTGGTTCGCGTGTTGGCTTCGTCAACCTAGCAGTTGATGCTGAACTCACAGAGACTGGCCAAAAGCCCCCAGGGCTTGTTTTTATGGTAAAAATACATGAATGTCTCTTTTTCCTTTTGTTTTCGCCGTTAGTACGGGAATAGGGACTGACCAAGATTATTCGTAATCCCATGTATTTGAAAAAAAAAAAAAAAAAAAAAAAAAAAAAAGCGCGGTGGAGCAGTTGGAGTGCTTTTGATCATCAGATCCAAGAAACCATCGGGTGGAGCAACCGAGCACGTAGTGCTCACTAAGCAAGCAAGGCTCGCTGTCCCATCTTTTGCTTTTCCAGAGATTCCAGCAGGCATGTTGGATGGTAGTGGCGACTTTGTGGTATGCACTGAAACACTATATAAAAAAAAGAAATGCTGATGATCGTTTTGTCCAATGAAGTGATTCCTAAACCTAGTTAGTCCTTACATACAGGGTAAATGTGCAGATGAGCTCAAAGAAGAATGTGGCATCACCCTTGAGCACGACAAGTTGATTGATATGACACAACTTGCTTATGGGTCCGATTGGAGAGGTGTCTACCCATCTGCAGGCGGATGCGATGAGTTTCTGCGGTTGTTTCTCAGCCGAAAAGGTGTGTTCCAAAAAAAAAAAAAAAAAAAAAAAAAAAAAAGACTTATTTCAAAGAATCTAATGACTGACAATGCATTCGTTTTCGTGTTTTTTTTGATGTTTATTTTCAATATAGATATGGAATGGAATGAACTACAAGCGTTAGAGGGTCGTCTCGGGGGGCTACGCGACCATGGCGAGAATATTACCTTGTCATTAGTTGAACTCAAGGACGCGTACAAGGCTGCACCAGATGCCAAATTGCTTAGTGCTCTGGCGCTCTTTAACGCACTGAAGACCGAAGGCAAGATCGAGTAGATAGTCTTTCCCTCTTCATTGTGAATAATATTAATATAATGTACATGTATATTGCTCTATTCAACACGAATTTGTTCAATTGTTTGTTTGTTTGTTTCTTAACCAGAGCAAAATGATTAATGAGCGAGAGCTCAAAAAAAGATGACCAATCAAAAGAATAAGTGGTCGCGCGCTAAAACATGGTATGCTCGGTCTCCAGCATGGCTGGGCATAACGTGCTCTTTTGCGCCCACTCTTTCATTTATCGAGGCGTACAGTCATCAGTGTGGAGCAAAAAAAAAAAAAAAAAAAAAAAAGAATGATGCGTAAGAATCTGAAAGCAGCCGATGGAGGAAATATAAAATGATTCGTTATTCCAGACATAAAAGCAAAGAGGACTAATTTTTACTATCGCGATTTTGATACACAGTTGTAAAGGACATGACCATTCCAACAACAAACAGAAAGCACGGCGGTGCACTAGCCAAAGACTGGGTCACGAAGGCATGTGCGGAAAATAGCACGATTAATCATGACATGATAAGAGAAAGAGCAACATTTTGAATTTCAACATTTGTTGTGGTTGCATATCTTTTCTTCAATGATAAACAAACAAAATGAAGAACTGGCATGTTCATGTGTAAATGTGCTAGACTCTTTTCTACGGACCCATGTCTACGCCCTTACTTTGTCCCACGTTCGTTTGGAGTGACCATGTAGTGCCTTTTGTCCATGCCCTATTCCCACTCTTTGTGTTAAAGTGCTAACGGTCAAACTGTCAACATGAACAAATACAAAAGCATCGGTGGATGCTGAGAGAAGAGTTACAGGCCTGTAATCAGTCCTTCTCTTGCACGCGCACGCTTCTTCTCTTGTTTTGGCTCTCATCCAGAGGGTAGAGTAGAGTCAGAAAGAGCTTTCTATCTTTTTGTTTGTTTATTTGTCAGACTGACATTACACGTTACAGACATCTCTCTTGTGGTTGCTGATGTGGTTGTGAACCTTTCTCTCTCTCTCTCGCTTTTCTTCTCTTTGTTCATTGTCCTTCATTCCATCAGCTTCATTTCGATTTGCTCTTGCTCTCCAATTTGATTGTTTCAGCATTTGACAAAGAAAAAAGTGAAAGGGAGGTTAAATGCGCCCTGCATTAAGCTGTTCCTGATATTTTTTTTTTCTATCCTTCCCAGCCAATCCCAGCCTTACTCCCGCTTGTTTATTCTCCCTTCCCTTCTGCTTCCTCTTCATTCTTTCACCATTCACTATTCACAATTCATTATTCATAATTCATAATTCATAATTCATAATTCATAATTCACTTCATAATTTACAATCACCTTGAATGCTGTGCATGCATTGCCTCAACTTTATACACAGCCGCACCATGTAAAAATTTCTTGCCTGCAACTTCAACCTCAACGCCTTTTCCTGCTCTCTAGACTTGTGCTGATTCTTTTCTTTCTTTCTTTCTTTCTTTCTTTTATTACCACTACCTTTAATTACTACTCTACTTCTGTTCACGGCTACTGAAAACGCTACGTAATTGCATAGTTGCATTCCTTCGACTCTCAGCAACGAACAACAGCCTTCCAATTTGCTAGGATCAGTCTTTACAGCTTCTCCACATTCCATTAAAACTCTTTTGGTCTAGCACAACCTTTTCAAACAAAAAAATTGATCAATATCGGATGCGTGCTCAACCTGTCATAAAGAGCCATTGGGCGGTGGCGCCTCTTCTACTTGGCATCAGTATAGTATTGGCACTGTCCAAAACATCCGTGGCTGCAAATGCTGCTACTGCTGTAATACCTGTAAGTGAATTAATACTATGCCACATCCACACATGCGCACCATCATACATGCAAAAGCACTATCCGCACCATGTAACGAATCATGAACTCAGTCGTTTTAGCGCCCAACAACGCGAGTACAGAATCTTAAAACACCATCCGAAAGCCGTTTTTTCTTTCTTTCTTTCATTTTGTCTTTGTGCAACGCGCGTGTCATTGAGCCTATCATAGTTACATACCTACACTTGTGATATCTCGCCTGTAAGCATGTCTATCATATATACTCATCTTCATGGCTTTCCACAATTTTATCCGATTACATCGCAAGCACAGTTGCTTTTTATGGTGGCTACACTGGATGTTTTTCCATCGATTCATTTCATCATCTCTATTGAGGTTGACTTGAGAGCCATGAACAAAGTTTTTCTAGTTGGTTGAAAAACAACCATCGTTGTCCGGCTCTCACTCTTGTGAGCTTCTTTTTCTTTCCTCTTTTTCGTTCTTACCCATTTTTCATTATCGGCCTGTCCACTGACTGCTTCTCTTTTTGCTCCACATGTACATTATGCAAAGACAATCATGTATCAGTAAATGTACATTCCAGACCCTTTCTAATTTTGACGATCGTTGTTGTGTGAATGTTCCCATGTGTCAGTGCATTATTTCACAAACTTTTTCCCGTGCTTACTCATTTTTGCGTCATCTCTCTGACTTCAGGCAGGTGCAGAGGCCCTGATCAATCCCAGTGCACGCACGGCCAATTTCGGCTCATTGGCTCCCATACCTGAAGCAATCGAGATTGAGATTGAGATACCCACACTCTGGGGACCTGAGAAGTCAGAACCTAGGGACGCCCCTCCAAAGCCAACATCAACATCAACATCAATATCAACATCAACATCAACATCAAGGACAATGGCAAGGCCCACATTAAAGCCAACATTAAAGCCAACATCAAAGCCAACATCAAAGCCAACATCAAAGCCAACATCAAAGCCAGCATCAAAGCCAACATCGAAGTCAAAGACTAAGACAAAGACAAAAACAAGCACCCATTCGAAGGACAGACCTAAAAAGACCAGGACTCCTGTAGAACCAACGGAGACTACAGGAACCAAGCCAAGGAAAACTCAGACCATTACAGCAACTCCTACCGGCCGATCTGTTCTTCCTCTTCCACCTTATAATACCCAATCCACTAATACTCCTACCATTGCAACCATCACAGTCCCCGCCTTTCCTTCTTTACCCACAGTTGTCATTACGACATCTCCCGACTCACTGTCCTCAGATATTCTACAGCCAAGCATAACAAATATCTTGACTTCTGCACCCTTCACTACCACGGGGTTGGACACAGCACCAACGCTAATACCGAATGTCACCACCAGCGCTGCATTTCCAAGTGTATCAGACGGCAAAGTATGGGCGCCTCGGACGACCAATTCGCAGAGTCCGGCAGATGTACTCTCCAGTATCTCTTTGACAATTTCACTTGATCCTAAGCCTACTGAGAAATCAACCACCATAACCGTTACTACAACGGCACTTACCATGATCACGACCACAACAATTACTGCGGTGCAGCCCTCCACCACATCACATTATACCCGACGAACCAAAACCACAACTCCTTGGTTACCGAGCACAATTGTTCCAGTCGTCCCTACTCAAACTATTCCTATCCCTTCACCAGGCACATCTCTACCTGAGGTGGTGATCCCTGATCTCCATCCTGATATCCCACCTAATTCGATCAAAGTCCAGTTGAGGCTTGAGCATGTCTCTTACGCTCAAGTAATCAATAACGGTGTCCTGGCTGCACAATTGGTCTCATTTATCCCAGCACAGCTAGGCGAAGTGCTGAGTGTGGATCCGGGCTTGATCCTTGTGCTAGCCATTCGAGATGGATCCATAGAGGGTCAAGGGACGTTGAAAAAGATGAGGAAACGTGCATTGGTGACGACCAAGAATGTGGAGGATGCTATTCTGGTTACGGTGGCAATTCCTCGAGCACAGTACTGGACGCTGAGTGAGTTGGTCAAGGATAAGAATAGTACACTTTATACTCCTGACGGAGATACTTTTGGGCAATATTTAGACCCCACATTCCCCTTGAGCAGCCGGCCTCCACCAAAAGGAAACGGGGGAGATAAGAATGGAGGTGACAGTGGTGGCGATGGCGGTAATGGCAATGGCAAGAACAGGGGCGACGACGAGGACAGCGGCTCTTCAGCTGATCCATTGACAGGGGCCTTGCCTGGTTCAGTAGTCAATGATAGTAGTAATGGCAGCGATAACAAAAGGCCTGCCAACAAAGGACCGTTGATTGGATCAATTGTTGGATTGGTAGCATTAGCTTATGTTGCCATTGCAGTAGTTGTGGTCCGTAAGTATAGGAAAAAGAAACAAAGACAAATAGAGCGGGAGGCTCTTCAAAGGAGTATTTCATCCCCGATCGAAATGCAAGGCAGTTCGAATGGATGGGGAGGTTGGTACAGATAGTCTGTATTAAATATGCCGCCCACTCTTGAAGTCCCTGTGAATGCCATCAAGCGCGAGTTTTCAGAGATCTTCAGCCTTGTCCTATTCCCTTATTTTATTCTTATTCTCCCTTTTTTTTTTTTTTTTTTTTTTTTTTTTTTTTTTCTTGCACTACAAGAATAGCTTAATAATTTATGACCCATATACCCTTTCTTCAAAGAGACTAGAAACATCTTGACGCCTGAAAAAAGGCAACCAACGTAACTATTAATCTAATCATTAACAATAAAAAAGATCAAGTCAAGACAGCAAGTTTGATTTTATCATTTTTTATTATTGCTTATTGGATTTAATATACATCAGGAAGGAGAGTAGAGAAGGTATCAAATATGGGCTTCAACGATGAAAAATGACTCGTGAAGGGAGTGGGGAAGGAAGGGGAGAGTCATAAAAAAGATAAAAGAGGGGAAAAGGAATCCACCCCTTTTAGTTTCAGTTTTTCGGATTACATGCAATTGAATTACTTTTCATTATTGGGCGCATTAATGAAAGCATTGGAAAAGTATGACGACGACGACGACGATGGGCGCTGAGGGTGGGGCGCCAAGAGAACAGCAAAGCTCGAGCAAGAATTGGATGATGAAGATCGTACAAGGGCTGGAGCAAGAGATGTTGTTGAGAATGAGGCTACAGTTGTGGTTGCAGTTGCAGTATTTGTAGCATTGTGAACGTTAGTCCCGGGAGTCCCGGGAGGAAGATCAAGGTCCTCACATGGCAAGAGAGCTTCATATGCAGGAGGTGGCGATGCTTCAGCAGCAGCGACGTTTCTGACATTCGCATTAGAATGGGCGTTAATATTGCTATTGCGACTCAGGATTGTAGTCGCGGTTGCAGATCCAGTTATGGAGTGTGTCCGTGGTGTAATAAAGTAATACCCTTCCCCCCGGATCAAAACATTTGAAGGCACTATGGGGCCAGTCGCAGTAGCCTGTCCTAGACCTACGCCTGTCCCCGCTTCTGCTCCTACTCCTACTCTATGTTCTTGCAGTATACCGGAGCGCGCGCCGAACACTTGAAGGTCTTGTAGATGGTTCAGATACATAGGTGGACAACCTTTGTTTTTCAAAAAAAAAAAAAAAAAAAAAAAGGGTGTGAGATTTAAAGTTAATGCATTTTAAACACAATTCCAACCTTCATAAACTTTAAAGATGGTCAATGCAACTTACTCTCATAGTCAAAGTTCTTAGTTGCCTGTCGTCTGTACTTGCGTTTAACAAGGACAACCCGACTAAAATAAATAACTGCAACTAAGAAGCCGATGAAGAGTGTTGCATAGATGAAAACATTTGAGTCAAAACTTGTAGTTTGGTTTTTAGTTGCATTGTTGCTGGTATTTTCAGTATTATCCATTGTTGTCCTTTTTTTTGTTTGTTTGTTTGTGATTGTAGATAATGAATAAATAAGGGGAAAAGATGGGGGGTATGATCAAAGAGGATCAGGGCAGTGAGGTGGCATGAGGTATAGCTCTATGGCCTGTTTGGATATAGAGATAAAGAGGTGTTAAGTCGAATGGATTTTGAATGATGTAGTGAATATTATAGTGATGAGACTTGATCAAGCAGGAAAAAAAGCGAATAGATTGATGTATTAAGTAAAAAAGTGAGTGGAAAAGAGCGAAGAATGAAGAAAAAAAGAAAAAAAGGGAAGAGAAAAATGACAAGGTATAAATATGTATACAGTGTAATAACAATCCTTATCTTTTTAATAACGGCCGAAATTAGTGAAGATTGAAGGTAGAGGCATGTTTAAGATCGAGAACAGCGTAGATCTAATCCTTATGTGCTTCCCCTGTTGTACGCAATGCTTGATAAAAAAAAAAAAAAAAAAAAGGGCTCCCATGGTCGTGCATGGATAGCAAGCACCTTCAGCCTGCGGCCGCATTCCCCTTTTTCTCGCCCTTTTTTTTTTTTTTTTTTTTTTTTTTTTCTTGCTGATTCAACTCCCTTGAAAATTAGTAAAAAAGAAAAAAACGAATAAGTTGCATAGACCATTTATAGCCTTTTCTTAATGGAGAAATAGAGAACTCTTGGCAAAAAGACGGATTAGAAAGGAGAAGAGAGGGAGGATATGGGACGAAGATTGAATGTGGATTATGAAGGTTGAGTGGTTTTCTCCCCCTCTTTCTGAGCGGATCAAACTTGTATATATTTAAATGAATCTAATATGACATAAACGAGCGTCTCGGTGATGATAGAAAAAAAGAACCCGAGTATCTATTTTCAGGTTCCATGCCTCCCTGCTCTGCTTCCTACTGAAGAAAGTGTACAGTATATTGGTTTTGGGTACCGAGAGCCAGGGATTAGGAAAATAATAAAATTTGTAATGCAGGAAAGCATGAAAGGACTTTGGTTCACTGACGAAATACGAGATGAGCCGTTCTTAATGCATTGAGTTCCTACTTTTAATTAGCATCAAGGAAATGAAAAGCTCGAGGCTTTTTTATTTTCTTTTTGTAGTACATAGTGCATGGAGCATCAATTGAACGGCCACCAATTGCTTAAATAAATTGCCCAATACAGAGCAAGCGAGCCAGATGATGGCTGCCTTCGTTGCTGATGTTGATTATTATTATTAATATTAATATTATCTGTCTTTATATTCCAAGTGAACCTCGCTTTTTCATTTTCATTGGAGTTATGGCTCCAGGATACAAGAATGATTCATTTCCTGACCTAACCTTCGAACGCGAGCTATTAAAGTAAATAATAATCATGCTACCAATAAACGCCATCCAGACCCCATTTCCCCCTTTTCTTCTAATTGTGAGATCCTGTTCAATAGTTTAATGCCTAGGGAGTAAGGGCCTCTTCATCGAAAGGGTTTGCCTAGCCTTCCTAGGCACTATGAATCCTAGCCCAAGTGTGAAACACTCTCCAAGGTTCACCAAACATGGGATATACAGTCCTTCTGCATAGGCACCCCTTTTGGAAGCCAACTCAAATACAGTTCAGTTAAAAGAGCTCCTTCCAGTTCTCGTTCAAAGACTGTTTATTGTCAGCAGCCTCATGGCTTCCTCGTATCCATATGTCTTCATTCTATGCCATCTTTAGCAGCGCACTGTCGTCCTCGTGCCGCCTGTGGGCTGATGACGGGTCGTCTTTCTGACCTATCCTTTTATTACTAATCTTACACAGTGTAGCCAACGGATGGCTGATGCATGTTTTAACGAGCAAGTTAATGTGCTGGACATGGAATCAGGAAAGGTATTGCAGTCGCTTGAAGGGCACAGCAAGGAGATAACCGAGATAGATTATTCGCCTAATGGGAAGGAAGTACATTACCTTAGGCAATGAAGACATGGCAGTGCGAGTATGGAATCCGGAGACAGGCCAGTGTTTGGTGAAAATCCCATCTGAAGGCGGGTATGCTAGAGCACTCATATGGGGTGCATTTGAAGAAGGCTACTTTCTAGTCACAGGATATGCAGATGGCTCTCTTAGGTTGTGGCATATTGTGGAGGAGGACGATCAGTATTAGTACCGCTTGAAATGGAGCACTAGACAAACGACTCTTAATGCTCGCAACATGCGTATTCAAGATGTAAGTGGATTGAGTAGCGTCAACAGGAAGCCCCTGGAACAATGAGGAGCTATAGACGAGCAATTCCTTTGGTCGTAAATGAAGCATCTAAACAGATTGCAATAGCATCACCAGTGACATTCAATCTGGAAGCTTCCTTTAGCCAAGATCGTCATCAAGACCTAGTAGAGGCAGCTTCAAAGACAGTGATCTTGAGACAAGAGATACCGTTGACAACGGCAGCAGTGCCAAGTAGATCGAGCAAAGACTACTGGTTCAAATACAGTGTGTACAGCGAAAGTAATTTTGTATGTTATTTCATGTAGATCTTACGACGACTAAGGGACTCGATAAATAAGATGGTATTGGGGATAAAGAATAAAGTAAAAAGATACTTGTTAACTAGCCAACATGAATAAGATTGATATAAACACGTCTTTTGCATGAGTAAATTGATACAGTTGGTTAGTGTGAAGATAGGTGATGAGGTATATCAACCGCTGCTTTTTTATTTAATACATCCGTGCAAATGTGTGGGATATTCAGTAGCACCCTTTATGTAGTGACACTTAGTTGGTTAAAAGCTGGGCTTTAGACAAATGCTTATTTAATAAAGCCCTGGTTCAGTTTGATAAATTCATAAAAAAGAGAGTGTCAACTTCTCCATTAGTTCCGTTGGTTGTGCTTTGAAAAAAAAAAAAAAAAAAAAAAAAAAAAAGAATTACACGGGCCAAGCAACCTAATTCCCCTGTCATGTCGGATATATATTTTACTCCGGTTTCCACTTTTTTTTTTTTTTTTTTTTTTTTGAATCCCGAAGAACTGAGCTTTTGCTTACTTTGGAAATAATCGCACATTTGAACAAAAAAAAAAAAAAAAAAAAGAAAAAAAAGAGCATTGCAGCAACAAGTCCTTGAGGATTGGAAACAAACAAGACAGTCCATTTTACAAGAATAGGAAGCAACAATGACGCTTTACACATTCACAATAAAAAAAAAAAAAGGATTTTTTTAATTGACAATGCGGATGAATGATGATTAGATACAAGAGTGAAAATAAGGCTAAAGAAGAAAGAAGGGTATGTAATAGTAGAAGGAGAGAGGAAGAAAGTTGATGCTATTTTACAATTTTTTTTTTTTTTCCTGTTACTGCATAGAAGCAACTGTGTTATATGAAGGTGGTAACGGTGGTGCTTCTTCTGAAGAGGATGGAATATAAGGCGGTGGACCTATGCTTCTCAAACGGTACAAGGACGGAGGCATAGGCGAAGGTGATGACGACGAAGAAGTGTTATTGTTCGGACCCAATCGACTACTCTCACTCCTTTCCGTCATGGGGCTGATACTGATGACATTCTCGCGGGAGATGCCATTATTGTGATAATCGACATTGTTGTCGATATGCGCAGTTACGGGAGAATTGGAGAGATTTACTAAATCTGCGGAGTCGTCGGACTCTGTAATCGGAATAATCGTAGAGTTCCTGTTATGGGGAGGCGAGATGCTTGCAGTGCTTCCAGTCCGACGATGAGGAGATGTAGATCGAGAGCCGCTAGGAGAAGAAGCAATGGAGGATGATGTTGAGGTGTGACGGTGGTGGCCCTGAAGGGAGGCACGCGAACTCCGGCTACTGTTACTATGATTCTGATTAAAGTGATGAAGGCCTCTCCTTAAGATCGATAGGTGCCGACGATTCAAGAATGCTTGAGTAGGCGGAGGCACGCTAATCACTGGATCAGATACATTGTTGTTACTGTTAGACAGGGGTGAGGCTGAATCCGAGCCTGAGGTCTCTCTTGGCAAAGGTGTTGATGTCGTTGAACTAGTTGCAGTTACACCAGCGTCAGCAACAGAGTTTATACGAGAAGAAGAGGAAGAAGAGAGCAATGAGGCTGCAGCTGTTGTTGTAGTAGTCGTGGTAGTCGTGGTAGTCGTGGTTGTTGTCGTAAGAATAGGTCGAGTTGAATCTATATAGTAATCCGTATCCAGATCGTCCAAACCAAGTCGCTGCTGTTGCTGTTGATGATAATGAAGATGATTCTGTTGATGTTGTTGATCTACAAGAGCTAGGTGTTGTGTCAATCCTTGTTGTTGTGAATCTTCAGCGACGCTGCAGTATACAACACGATCTGGGTACACGATTGTAGTTTCTGAATCAAGGTAGGGCTGATCATTCATATAGGCCACATATTGAGGAGGACTCACTAATAACAAACCAAAAAATAAGAAGAGTTAGAATCAATATAATAAGATTGCTCTATTTTTTTTTTTTTTTTTTTTTTTTTGACCCAACGCATTTGTCATTGTTTTGTCTCAAAGCATCGCGCAAGGGCCCTGATTGAGCGATATTTGTCAGGCACAAAAACATCAAGAGAGCATTGAGAGCAAAAAGACAAGGATGATGTCAGGGTATAGCAAAAAAAATGGCGCGCGAGATGAATTTGGCGATAAGGAGATAGAAGCTGAAAGGAAAAACAGAATTAAAGAAAAAGGAAAAAGGCAAGAGAAGAACATCCTCTTTTTGATTCTTTTTATATATATAGACTTGCCTTCGTCTCCAGAATCTGGTCGATATGTCGTTGTTGCTCGCCGCTCTGCCATCTCGGGATCATTTCTACCTCTGGCGCGGCGACGGCGACGATCTCGACGGGCGACATAGATAGTGTAAAAGATAGCGAGCATTAAGCCCAGGGATGCAATGATGTAAAACGCAGACTGTAGAGGCATAGTGGGGTCGCCGGTGTTGCTGTTGTTATTGGATGATGACCCTGGGATGGCCGTAACGGAAGCTGTGGCCATAATAGTCGATGTCGTTGTCATGACCATAGACGTTTCAGTGGCAGAAGAAGAAAGAGAAGGGGCAGACAAGGTTGGTGCGAATGTACTATGTGTCGCCGTCGTTATTGTTGCCATAGTATCGGTTGTGGAAGATGTCGACGAGGACATTGTGGAGGAGGGGAGTACTGTGGAGACAATGCGGAAGGAATGGTGGATAACGAGACGGGTTGTTTAGAGATGTGGTGATAAAGACGACCGTTAAGAAGGAATGCGGACTAAAAAAAAGGAAGAGTAAAGAAAGAACAAAAAAAAAAAAAAAAGAGAGAGAGAAAAAGGCGTAATTGATTAATTTGAATAATTACAAAGTAGGGAATGTAAAGGGTAGTGGCAATTACCAGTGCAGGAGATAGAAGAAAATAAAAAGCGGAAGTGGAGGATTGTAAATTACGAGAGACAAAAAAAGAAACCAAGGGAGTATTACAATGAAAAAGGGTCTTGAAGGGAGGAGAAGAAGGAGTAGGAGAGGCGAAATGGACTACTTTTATATGGCGGAATAAAAACGAATAAAGTTTCGTCCCTGAACTGGTTTGTGAATGACATGCAGATACAGGACATGCAGGAGGGAACTAACCAAATGCAAAAAATGAGACAAATTGCAATACACATCATATCCCCAAATCTTTCTGGAGGAACCATGAAAAAAAAAAAAAATAAAAAAAATAAAAAAGAAAGAAAGTAAAAAGCGCAAGGTGCGTGTTTACTCGAGTGAAAATGATACATGATGTCAAGCAAGAGGACACATGTTTTCTTGTCTTTTGTCGTTGCTCTTGTCAATCAATGAAAAATAACTCATAAAGAACCATTCGCTTTTAAATCCTCTCATTGGAAATACCCCGATAGCCGACCAATACAGACTGGACATTCAGGCACAGCATATAACAATACGAACATTTCTTTAATTCTGCACATTACAATACACACCCTTCTTTCTCCTCAAGAGACACCCGTGCGCATCTAATGAGGCGTATCATCCCAGAAACCTGAAAAGCCTGATTTCTGAGAGATGTCTTATTGCTTACAGCAAATGGTATCGCTTTTTTGGACTGCGCAAAGCGCGTTTTCCTTGACTCCCGTCTCGCCACAGCGCAATCGTTCAAAAAGGACATGTGTGTTTCCAGAATATCTTTTTTTTTTTTTTTTTTGCCTTTCGCAATGGAGCTATTTAAACTGTTAGTCGAAAAAAGTGCAGAAGTCTTCAATCCCTTTGACATCAAAAATTGAAAATCCTTATTATACGTTTTTTATTTTTTATTTTTAAGACTAAGGACACTTTTATCCATCGTCATTGGCTATCAATCTTGTCTATAGCAAATGAACGTAATAAATTGAGAGGCATTTTTCGAAGACACGGCAAGATTGTAAATCCGGTCGGATAATTTGATTGTAAAAAGCGCGCGTGTTTATTTTCATGTGCGTATACATGCGTATAGAAAAACCAAACTTCGAGAATTTTTCCTTTTACAACGTAGCGTAAAGCAACAGTCCTACGCGTCTTAGTTTTTGTTAGAATGAGTGTATTTATTCAAGCCTACTTGACAACTTTTTTCTTTTTTTTTTTTTTTTTTTTTTTATTCTTCATCAACAAAATATAGTTATTCCAAAGAAGTTCTTCTTATTATCGTAATATTACAATTCTTTTATATATTTTTATTTTTATGCCTTCCAGGCCCTGAAGATCAATTCAGTCAATCCAACGTCCGAGGTGTTGAACTGGTAGCATCCGATGAGAGTCAAGACAGTGGCGCCACGAAGGGTCCAGCTAATGGCCTTGTTACCGAAGACACCGACCTTACCAGGGTGGAGATAATCAGTGATCATAGCATCAAAGCCCATGTGCGAGTGGATGGGAATAACAACACCCAGAAGACCGTCTGTGATGGGATTAGCACCATTGATGGCAGAGGCAGCGAAGAGAGGAACCATCGAGACACTCAGGATACGCTCAAAGTCCCAATGGTAGGAGCCATGAACCTGGTTAGGGGCAGGGATCTTGAATGAGGGAGCTTTGTAGACCTCAGTAACATCTGCAGAGGTCTGTCCCGAAGTAGAAGCACTGCTACGGGCTTTTTTTTTTTTTTTTTTTTTTTTTAAAAAAAAAAAGGAAATAGAGGTGAGGGTTCGTGTGAGAAGAATGGATTTTTTTTTTTACAGTCGTGCTTGTCTGTTAACATGACATTGCTGAACTGTAGTCGATCCCGTGCATGAATGTATACCAAGGTAATTGGTCAAAGGTGATTTCAAAAACTAGCGAGAATAGGGTGAGAGCAAGGTTGATCGTGGGTTGTTGGTCGGTTCATCCCCAGATTATGCCACTTTCGGATTGTCATAATGCACACATAAAAATGGAGCTCGCGTGTTACTTCCGGTGATCTAGTCGTGTTTCCGTGTGCCACCATAATGCAAAAGGATACTTTCTGGAGTTGATGTTCCTTTACATGAATAAAACAGATAACACCTCTTGTATAAATAATAATAATAGCACTCTTTTGAATCACTAAAAGGTTCATTCATTACAAGCATGGAAATAGACGCGGGTGTTCAAGGCAGTGGACGAGCGAAGAGCGGTAGCCATGCGGAAGGAAGCATTGGAGCGGCTCATAGCCAAGGGAGAAGCGGCAAGTCTAAGAGCCATTGTTATTGATGATTGAGTAGAGTAGAGTGGAGTGGAGTGGAGTGAAGAGAATGAAGACGGGATCGAGAGAGAGGAAGGTGAGGATGAAAAAGAAACGGATTCTCTTGCCCAAAAGTTGACACTGTTTGTCCGATTGCGGAATCTCCGAGCTTGTTCCCTCGTGTAAATGAAAATTAAAAAAGGTCTGTAGCAAATACGATCGGGGAAGGATGTTCATGACAACTTTTATAGATAACCTGTGGGCTAAAATTATATACCCTGTAGAGTAGTAAGTTTACAATGGAGATGCCCCTGAATTAACTAGGCTGGAAATCTCCTCCCCTTAATCAGAGTTTGATTTGCGCACTTTTTGCATTCGTGAATGTTCTTCCCGGACAAGTGTTTCTGTGAGAAAAAAAGCTTTTCTATTGTCTGATCAGATTCTTTTGCATCCCATTCTTTCGTTCCACACACACAAATACGCACGTCATGGCTTCCACCCTTCTGTCTACCGCCTTCAGGGCTGGCCGTCTCAACTTGGCTCGCCAGGTATTATAACTATTTGCATCCCCTTTTCTTTTACCTTCCCATTCTTTCTTTACAGAAACTATGATTCCGAACATATTTTCGGGAATGTTTTTTTTTTTTTTTTTTTTCGTACACTTCAGGATGAGTGATGGACAATATGGCAGGATAATGAATAATCTTCGTATGGCAGGATTCCATTGCAATAGCATGGTTTGGATTTGATTGAAATGCCTTCAAGCCATTTTACAACAATGCGCGAATCAATTAATATCTGGAACTCCTCGGATTAAATGATGGTTGATTGCTTTGGCGACACATACGACTATCAAATAAATAAAGGCAGCCATTAACTCGGTTTTTTCTCAGCTCTCTTCATCCGTTTATAATCCATTGGCTACATAAAACGATTAGAGTCCGTATTGAAAAGGGTAATTCATAACCATTTCTCTCTTATCCACTTTTTTTGGCCTTTTTCTTCAATATAGGCTATTCGTCCTCTTGCCACTGCTGCTGCCACACAATTTCCTGGGGCTCGCATCACCAATCTGAAGAATGGCTTGACTATCGCCACTGAGTCTAATCCCTCAGCTCAAACTGCCACCGTCGGCGTATTCATTGATGCCGGTAGCCGTGCTGAGAACGCCAAGAATAACGGCGCTGCCCATTTCTTGGAGCATATGGCTTTCAAGGTAAACCAATTCATCATTAAAAGTTGTTAATCGAGTTTGATTTGTGTCTTCGGCTGCAGTATTATGAATGAGTAGGAGATCATACAGGAGTTAGTTTGATATTAAATCCAGATGACTGTGCGCAGTCAAGGCTTAAAAGAAACTCAGGTCTTGTGATCCGATTGTTGGACTTAGAAGGAAAAGAATGCGTTGTAGAATAACGACTTGGCATATCATACTATGGAGCTACCAACTATAGAGCTAACCTTGCGGAAATCGTGACATGGCAAGGAAAAAAAAAAATGCGGTACTAGATAACCAATCTTACATTGAAAAATTTGACATCTGGAAATAGGGCACCAATACCCGTAGCCAACACGACATCGAGTTGCAGATTGAGAACATGGGCGCTCATTTGAACGCCTACACTTCTCGCGAGCAGACCGTCTACTACGCAAAGTCATTCAAGGCTGATATCCCCAAGTCTGTCGAGATTCTCTCTGATATTCTTCAGAACTCAACCTTGAACAACGATGCCATCGAACGCGAGCGCGATGTCATTCTCCGTGAGCAGCAGGAGGTTGAGAAGCAAATGGAGGAGGTCGTCTTTGACCACTTGCATGCCACTGCTTTCCAGGGCGAAGCTCTTGGACGTACTATTCTGGGACCCAAGGAGAACATCAAGTCCTTAACCCGCGATGATCTTGTTAACTATATCAAGACTAACTACACTGCCGATCGTATGGTCCTCGTCGGTGCCGGTGGTGTTGACCACGATGCTCTTGTTCAGTTGGCCGAGCAGCACTTCAGCAAGCTTCCTGTCTCGGCCAATCCTACCGGCCTTGGCAAGACCTATGCCTTTGCTCCCAATTTTACTGGCTCCGAGATCCGCCTCCAGGATGATACCATGAACCTGGCTCACATTGCCATCGCTGTCGAGGGCTGCGGCTGGACCTCACCTGATTACTATACCATGCTCGTAATGCAGTCCATCATCGGCACCTGGGATCGCTCTCTCGGTGCCTCTGCCCACACCTCGTCCCGCCTGTCGAGCATTGTTCATGAGAACAAATTGGCCAACTCTTTCATGTCCTTCAACACTTCTTACACTGATACTGGTCTCTTTGGCATCTACTTCATTACTGAAAACAAGGACTCTCAAGACGATTTGGTCCACTTTGCTCAGAAGGAGTGGGCTCGCTTGACTACCTCAGTCACCGCTGCTGAAGTCGAGCGTGCTAAGCAGCAACTCAGATCATCTCTTCTTTTGGGATTGGATGGCACAACTGCTATTGCCGAGGATATTGGACGTCAGTTGGTTACAACTGGCAAGCGCATCTCACCTCAGGAGGTTGAGAAACTGATCAATAAGATCACCGTTGGCGATGTCCATCGCGTTGCATCTCAGTACCTTTGGGACCGTGAGATCGCCATGGTCGGTGTTGGACCAATTGAGTGCTTGCCTGACTATGTCCGTGTTCGCAACAATATGTCTTGGAACCGTTACTAGAGCCCTTGATTCCCTCATTCCTTTGTTCCTCCCACTTTTCATGTCATCTTTCGCTCACTCACCATCCTTAAAATCTCGAATATAAATACACTCTTTATCTTACTATGCAAGCATAACGATTATTATTATTATTAGTGTTTTTTTTTTTTTTTTTTTTTTTTTAAAGAGATAGACAAGACGAACAAGTCTGTGAATTAAAAAAAATGGCACTTTCTGTAGATCTGACACGTTTAAAAAAATTTCCATTTTGTGTTCATTGCGTATAAGCCACATGCAGTGGCAAATTGTGTGTTTTGTCTGTCCAAAAAAGGAACCATCAGGAACCTTACATTCTCTCATTCCATGCACAGAAAACTTGGTTGTTCTCGCCTTTGCCTCCCCACTCTTCAATCACTCTCTTTAATCCTCACCATTACGTAGCCCTCTTCTGCATTCTCAGTCATATAAAATAGTATTATAGAATAAAAGGAAAAAAAAAAAAAAAAAAAAAAAAAAGTAATGATTCAACGGTCATGAGTTCAAGGTTGATCACAAAGTGTATACCTTCATTACAACCACGAGGTATTTCTTACCTTTTTTTTTTTTTCTTTTTTTCTTTTTTTCCTTTTTTTTTAAAAAAAAAACATATATTCAGGTTGTCGCAATCGCCTAAACCTTTTTTTATTATGCTTAGCCTGGTCTAGTCGATCCAATGATACAAAGGTCCAGATCTACATTATGCATCGTAGATGGCTCTCTACAAATGTATCAATATCAACAGCAGTAACAGCAACAGTAACCCCATCATCAAAAGCCTCAAGGCTCATAATAACGAACAAAGCGAGGGCTGTATCATTTCAACAACTCTTGAGGCCATTAGGGACATGTGAGATCAGTCATAGTAGATATGAATTAAAATTGGGACGAGGACTAGAGCTAGGGTCAGTATTGAGTCCAGGATCAAGGTTGGAATTAGGATCAGGATCAACGGTATCATCATCATCACCATTATTTAGTAGGCGAGAGCACTTTTGTAATACAGCGTTGACACCACTCCTTCGCCTTGATACCCCGGCAACTACGATGACGACAACGCAATCACTGCAAAAACAAAATTGGCAGCATCCTGTCCAGGGGATCAGAAATTCACATCCATCAATATCTTATTACTATCACTACCATCAACATTTGTGCATTGGATCTCCACGTAAATCAATTCCTGCTGTTGCTTCAAAGCGTTCGCTATCAACATCAACCTCATCATCCTCATCGTCATCCTCATCCGCATCATCATCAGCTTCAGAGGTTTCACAAGGAGGGACTGCAGGGTTCGCACCATCATCATCATCTTCTTCTTCAGAGATACAGGCTGTACAATCTTCCTGGCATTTCCCACAATCCACTCGAGATCAAATGAGTCAGCGATCGTGGCTACCAAATCAACTCGAGCCATTACCATTACCAATTGCACTTAAAGCCTTCCGCTCATCCAATACAACAACAGCATCATCAACATCATCAACATCGTCATCATTCATAAGAGGGGATTTTTCATCAATAACAAAGTATAGAGCAGATAGAGTTGAAGAGCGTAGGTTTCCACGCCCTCCAGCAGTGATTGGATCACAACCTCTATATTATTTTGCAAGGAGATTTCCAATCTTGGCCGAACAAGAGTTGAATGCAATGCCACACAAGACTGCACTGGATTATTCGAGTTTCCTATTAGGAGCAATGGAGACCTCTTATCCATCTGCCACGACATTGCGAAGCGTAGTACGACAATTTAGGAATTTCTTAAAAGCATCATCTTTGCAGGAGCAATTGGAGTTACCTAGAGCTAGAATATGGGCACAAACTATTAGAGGTTTAATCTGGTTGAAGCAATATCGTCAAGCTCGAGTGGCAATTCATGCGATGCAGAAACTTGGGATCAAACCTACAGGTTATGCATGGCGAGGGATCTGTCGTGGATGGATTCAACAGGGGCAATTGAATCGAGCGGAGGCATTAGCGGCTCAAGTGTTCACAAGACCCGAAATTTCGCATGATTATCAATTGGAGGAACGTCCTTATTATATGACGGATATGGAGAAAACAACGACAACGTCAGCCCGTCGAAAGCATCGTTCACCCATGTCTCCTAATTCTGCCCCTCTCTTCTTGGTGATTGAAGCCTTAGCGGAGGCTGGGGAGATGGAACGAGCTCGTTATTGGTTTGATCGGATTCCAGAGCATGAGATGACGGATTTGTTAACAAGTGATATGGTGGCAGGATACTTAAAAGTGGGGCAACAGGATAAAGCTCATGAAGTGATCCGGATCATGGCCCGATGTGGTGTTCGACCAACAGCCATTGTCTTTAATCCAATTGTAGAACACGCAGTGAACCATTTAGGGATGGACACAGCAGAGCAGCTGGTTCGAGATATGATGGAATTGGGAACGTTTATGAATTTGTTCACATACAAGATTTTGATCCGTGGATATGTGGCGACAGGACAAAAAGAGAAAGCTTTAGAGTGTCTTCAACGGATTCGAGCCTCTGGAATTGAAACGGATCGAGCCTTGGGTAGGATTCTGTTGGATGGGCTTTGGAATCTAGGTGAAGTCCGTCGAGGAGACCATGGCCCTCCTGAACATTTCTCAGGATCAAATCGTGATACTGGTAACAGTAGTGACAGCAGCAGCAGCAGTAGCAGCAGCAGTAGCAGCAGCAGCAACAGAGATAGTAGGGATACCTTAATGGGGAAGGAAACCACGACAAGAGATGGTAATGATATGGATCTTGAGATTGAGGATTTAGATTTTGTGGGCCAGCCTGGATGGGGAGCCAAATGCGTCGAGTATATTCAACATGGTAAAATCGAGTTGGCAGAGGAAGCGCTTTACATGGCATTAATGTTGAAGAGCAGCAGCAGTGGCAACAATAAGAGTAAAGCAGAGTTTGATAAGAACGTATTGCAGGTTATTAGGGCAATGATTGATCAACGAGAGATGACTCGAGCTAAACGCTGGTTCGATTGTCTCGTCTCATCATTATCATTATCATCGTCATTGTCTTTATCGAGGTACGAGTCACGAGACCTTGACCAGCTGGTAGATCTGATGAACCATATGGTTTCTGGATATCTTCAAATGCATCAAACAGGAGAAGCAGAGGCCATCATCCAGACGATGGCTCAATATGGAGCACAGCCCACGGTAGAGACTATTAATTTGATGCTTCAATGGACTACTTTGCAGGCCGATATGACGGACGCGGAAGTTCTCATAACCAAAATGATTCAATCAGGGGTTGAGCCTAACCAGAAGACGTATGAGATCTTGTCACAGGGTTATGCAATGCGTGGCGCTGTCGATTCATTACAAGAATGTATCTCCAAGATGGAGGATGCAGGCTTTAGACACTCAGATTTGACACAGTCGACCCAAGAGCTGTGTTTGGCGCTGTTAGGTCGTGGCAGTAATGATGGTGGTGAAAGAGAACAGGCTTTTTCTTCTACTTCTTCTTCCTCTTCCTTCATGTCTACAGATATTTTGGACAGACTATGTTTACAGTGGATCAAACAGGACGAAATGTTACGAGCAGAAGAGTTTGTGAATCATTTGAGATCGAATCCGAATGTGCCGGTGACCAAGATACCGTATACGACCCTTATCCAAGGTTGGATTGATCAAAGTCAACGCAACACTGTCTCAACCTCAGCATTACAGGCCATTACTCAGTCACGTCCCGATAACAGTAGCGATGGGCTGTCAGGATCTGAATCAGGAACAAAGGCAACAACAACCTCGGCCTCAACTTTGACTCCGACTTCATCCTCAGTCCCTAGTAGTGAAAGTCTTCACCAAGAGTTCCGACTACGAGAAGAGAATGTATCAAAGATGCGTAAAGCTCGGTACTGGTTTGACAAGATGCCCAAGGAGCAGCAGCAGACATTAGATCTGGTGAATAGAATGATTGGGGGTTACATGGCCTTGGGATTAGAACAAGAATCTGAAGAGTTGATTCAATGGATGGCCTCCAAACGAATCAAGCCTGATGTGAAGACATACAACCATATGTTGGGACATATGATCCAGAGACTGACGATGCCAGCTGCTGAAGGAATGATTCATAGGATGCAGAGAGGAGGGATTCAGCCCGATATTGAAACCTGGAATTTGATGATCCGTGGATATGTCATTCGTGGAGAATTGAAAGAGGCGATGGGATGCTTGGATCGTATGGCTGGTATTCAAAATCCGCCAGCATCAACATCAGCATCAACATCGGCTCGGGCCACAGCCACATCTAAGAACAAATCCAAGACACGTGAGGCTATTGACGCGTTCGATCAGGAAATTGTAGAGATGGTTATCCATGAAGAGAAAAAGGAAGAGGAGGATTCTGTTAAGGAGAGCGGACTCGATGAAGAGTCAACGATGGCTTTAACAGCCGATACAATCCATGGCAATCAAGGCTATCGTCGTAATCATCGTCGTCCTTTATCATCAGGGGCAGAGTCAATGTACGTTAACAGTGTTGTTGCAGTGGAACCGAATGAAACGACAGTGAAGCTTCTTCTGTCAGGATTTGGTCCAGAGGTGAAGCCTATTCAAGGACGTGGAGACTATGGTCGCGCACTAGAGTTGTATAAAAGCAGAGTGGCACGTCAGAAACAGCAACAAGATCTATTGCTTCAAGGCCTTGCAGCATGGAGTCAACAACAACATGATGGTGGTAGTAATGATGATGAATGGGTATTGGACCATTTAGAAATGCTTCAAAGTCTATCAAGTGAATTGAAAGGATCTGAAATTGGGATGACAGATATGGATTGGAAGAATGAGCTCCGATGGGAGGAGATGATGGAGATGGAAAGAGAACGAGAACGAGAACTCTCTGGAGGAAGAAGTGTGTAAAAAAAAAACTCTTTTCCCACGCTTGATTGATTTTTTTTTTTTTTAGTTTTTTATCTTTGTAGAGAGAGATCTCATTTCATGAACATGTACATTAAAGTATATAAATATCATATTAAGCACAGACAAAAAAAACCATAAACATGCCACCTATGCATTTTAATTTATTGATTTTTTTTATTGATTTTTTTTTTTTTTTTTGTTCAGCTCCTTCTCACTTGTTGAAGGCGTCAAGTTAAGAGAAAGTTTTTGTTAAAATACAGTGAATAAGGAACAAAAAGAGGGGGAAAAAAAACTAAACTTGACTATCTTGGGTTATAAATACTAAGAAACGTTTTTTCTTCCAAAGGAGAAAAAAAAAATATCATAACGAGATCTTCTTTTTTTTCTTGCCCCTGGCAAAAAATATGTTTGATAAATATCACTAAGGAAATAAAACAAAGTTGCAAATTGAAATAGGAAGTCATTGACTGAGCATGGGTATACAGTTACAAGTAGTTGTTACAAAACAGAACAGAAAAAAAAAAAAAAAGGGCGAATGGGAAAAGAGATGGTCAGGAGAAGATGGAAGAGGAAGGGGGGTTTTGAAAAGGAAAAAAAAAAGAGCAAAAATGGAAGGTGGGGGGGGGAGAAGGAGGCCTGCCACACTGCGCACTGAGAGAATACAGCACGCTCTCCCCCCCCTTCCATCCCACCCAACAACCACCTCCTCATCCTGTTCCTTTGCCATCTCATCTCTTTTTCATTTATCCATTCTTTGTTGTTTTTTTTTTAGTAGTAGGATTGGTAAAAGGTGGTGGCATCCATGGGGATAGTACTTGGAGGGGCTGCTACACGTTGATAGTCAACTGTAGTGGGAGCACCGTTCATATCTGGATGGGAACCCAGATGGGCCAAGAAATGCTGGTAATTGGGACCAAGCTCAGGAGGTTGAAGAGGATGGTGGTGTGGAGGCCTGGCAGAGATTTGGCCTGGATATGGATCATATTCCTCCTGTTTAATGTAGTGATGTTCTTGAACATGATGCTGTGGCTGACCTGAGTGCTGATGTTGGTGTGGGTGTGGTAGATGCATATGGTGTTGTTGATGTTGAGCCTTGGCGTGAGTGTGCTCCAACTGAATCATTGGATGCAACTGTGCAAGCGGATCCATGGGATTCAAGTTCATTGAGGCCATTGGGGTCATAGGGGTCATAGGCGAGAGTGGCGAGATAGGAGAGAGCGAACCCTCATGAGGTGGTGTGTGGACTGGTGACATGCTCTGAGGATAAGCCGGAATGTGAACCTGGAGTGGATGTCCGTGCGCGTGTGCATGGACCATCTCGTTCTCAAGCATGGGTGCTCCCACAATATCACCACGCCAGACAGCAGGGCGGCGCATCATAACATGCTCCTTGCGGTGATGTTTTGTCAAAGTGGTCTTGCGGCAGAAACTAAATTTACAAATAACACGTGCATAAAATTGAAGAACCAATAACCAGTTAAGCATAAGTAAAAATTTCTTTTTAAACAACCTCGGTGTTACACACATTTTTTGCTTGCTTTTGTTTGAATACTATTTTTTACCTCTTGCCGCAGCCATCGATATTGCACTTATAGGGTCGCTTGCCAGTGTGAATGCGACGGTGACGCGCAAGTGAACTGCTATCACTGAAGCGCTTCTGGCATTCAGGCTGCTCGCACATATGAGGTCGCTCGCCAGAGTGAGTGCGTTGGTGCACTGTCAGGGCAGACCGTTGAATAAATGACTTTGTGCAGCCGGGTTCATTGCATACGAATGGTCTATCATAAGAATAATAACACGGAAATGACGTCAGTCAATCGTATCGATGCGTTCATGCTTACTCTTTTTCCCATCCTCTTCTCTTTTTTTTTTTTTTTTTTTTTTTTTTACCTCTCATTAGTATGGATGCGACCGTGGCGGGCTAGATCAGATCGGCGTGAGAACGCTTTGCCACAGTTGTCCCAGGCACAGCGGAAAGGTCTCGAATCATGTTGATGGCCCTCAGTATGGATTAATTCGAGAATGTCCATCTTGGGCGGATACGCCAGGGAAGTAATGGTTGAAAGCCGAACGGCAACGAGGAAACACGGACAAACTAAAGGGGATTGAAGGCGCCTTGGGAAAGCTGTTTATAGAAATGTCAAGGAATATAACAGTAAGGACGAAATACATGATGTTAATAACATATTCATTTGTGTTTAAACCAAAAAAAAAAAAAAAAAAAAAAATATAAAGTAAAATAAATTCAGAGTCGAGACCTCGGCTGAGCAGGGGAAGAGAGATTAAGATTACACAGATGAGGGAGGAAGGGTCACTGATTGATTGACTGGGCGGAGTAGAAGGGGGAAGGGGAAGTAGGGAAGGGGAAGTAGGGAGGGAGAGCGAGAAGAGGGAAAAAAAAGAGGGATCAAAGTGCATTTTGTTGTTGGCGTTTAGTATTAGCCCAAATCTCATTGCCCATCGTTAGTGTGCACTTTTTTTTTTTTTTTTTTTTTTTTTTTTTGCTCGCTCCCACACTGTTAAAAAAAAAGGACTATATCCAACTTTAACTGCTAAAAGCAAACTTGTCATCGTTCTATTGTCTACTAATATAGAAGTAGTGGATGACACTAAAAAGGTAGTTTGGATTCATGCAAGCAAAAGAGAAATATTATAGTTATGATACTCTTGGTGCTTGGGACTTGACTTTGTCCAGTGGTGTCCTCCTCCAAATAAAAAAAAAAAATCGACGCACGGTCATTCTCATCAACTCAGTCAGAGTAGCTGTAGATGATAGTCTCCAGCGCACAGAGAAGAGCAGAGGCACTCGGATGTTGGTTGTATTAAAATCCCGGAGCATTGTCAAACCCTTTTTTTTTTTTTTTTTTTTTTTTTTTTTTTGGCTCTCTTGTTTCTAATGCAAGATGTTTGTCTTGGAGGAAAAAAAAAAAAAAAAAATGCACAAAGCACGAACCCACTTCAACCAAGAACAGGTGGCGATAATTTTAATGAAAAAGTGCAGGGGCCTCTTTTTTTTTTTTTTTCCTTTGAAGAAAGCTCTTTTGAAAATGGTTCCTGTCGAATCTCTTCCACATCTGTTTCATGGATAAGGTTATATGAAGAGAAAAGGGGAGGTGGGGGAGAATGTAAAACTGCTGGAATAGGGCATTACCTGTCTTCAAAGAAAGATCTCAAACAAATGAAGGTCTCTTTTCAAACAAATGAAAAGAGGAGATATGGGATAGAAAAAATTAAAAGTAATAAAATAAAAAAGGTGTGAAGAGCGAAGAGCGAAGAGTGATTGATTAAATTGCTTATATCGTTTAGATGCGCGTTGTCAAGAAATGCGGTCAAGAGATGAATCTTATCGTGAAGAGAGTAAAGAAAGGTAGAGAGGAAGGAAGAAAAAAAAAAGAGGAAGTTGTGCGTATTTTTATACTTGTGAAAATTGGCGTAGTGTAGAGCGTGGAGAGAGATGTCAGTGCATGAATCAATGGATTAGTGCCCACATCAAGGGGGATGAAAGAGAGAAGACGAAAGAGAGAGCACTGAGCATAGTCCGTTAACGTCTGGAGTCTGTTCTCTGAAAAACTTGTAATACTTGCAATAGAATAAGGAGAGAATGAATAGAATGGGAGTGCACCACTGAGGGGCTTTGTTGACATTATTGAAAAGCATTGAAAGCATGACTTTTTTGTTTTTATATCTCTCTATACGAAATAATTTTACTTTTTACTTTACTTTACTTTACTTTTTACCTTAATAGCATTTAGAACTATTTCGATGTTGATTTCCCCCCCTGTCCAGGGTATACAAAGAAAACGATCAATCACTTTGTTATTTTTTATCGACACAATAAACAAAGAGATTGATCATATTGTTAACCACAATAGCCAAACAACTAGTATACATGGTAAACAATCTCCCAAATTCACACACAGACTTAGTTATACGCGTCTAATTCACTTGTTTACGTCCTACCCCACTCAACTAACCAAAATATAGAAAAGAAAGAAAGAAAGAAAGAAAAAAAGAAAGAAAAAAAGCAGGAAGCGGAAAAGGAGCTGAAAGAGAAGGAAGAGGAAGAGACAGCATCGATGTAGATATTTATAATTCAGGTCGGGTTGTTCACACCATCCTTCTTTACTTGCTCCTGATTGGATTACTCCGTCTCTGAACTTTTATTTCACTACTTTGTTTTTAAGGTCTTCTGGATGATTGATCATATAATGATCAATCCCATGTTGTCCCAACATTTCTACTCGTCGTTAAATATTAAAAGATAATAGGGCAGGGGTTCACGAATGAAAATAGAGAATGGGAAAGAAAATAGAAACACGGAGGAAAAAAAAAAAAAAAAAAAAGACATGAGGTTTCTAGTTTCTTAATATTATCACTTTATTATTACTATTGTCTTCTTGTATGAGGATTTAGTATAAAATTATAATATTAACATTAGCATGAGTATTAGTTTGTGGCAAGAATTGCAAGGATAGACGCTATTTTACTCCATTCTTATTCAATTTCATCATTCTAACCTATTAAATTCAAATAGAATATTTTTTTTAGTC